CAACCCTTTCCAACGGGGATCCTGCAGACATTTCTCAAATTTCTTGGGTCAATTTAACCAATAGATAAGCAATAGATATATAAAATCCCCAGTACCTTGTAGATAGTGGTTATCCTCTCAAGCCTGGTCAGAACCAAGCACTTTTCGAGGCTGAAGCCCTGAATCGCATTAGGAAGTATATGGAGTAACATGGTCTAGAATATCTATCTAGATTGGTAATCAACCGATATTTGTTTTTCGCAAGAATAGTAAATGACGCTTCGCTGGTCCTCCGGGGGCCATTGCCATGGAGGCCGAGTAGTATCTGAATTGGGTTGGAGATGTCAAATATGGTAATGAGTCCACGGAAAGAGGATAGACAATCTTCACAATCGAGCTGAAGTTATCAAATGGGCAAGGGAACAAGGGAAGGGTAGATATCAATAAAACATTCATGGCTAGTAAGTAAGTAAGATTCTGCCTCTGTATATCCAAACTTCAACTCGAATACATACGGAGTACCCTCGATACCCAGACTCGAGCCAGGTATTCATCAGGTGGGTCTACATGCTGGCATGAATTTATCCTCAACCACCCCTTGGAACATCATCGACCCTGAAAATCGAAAGAAACCAATTATATCTTCAGAAATCACCTCACCGAGGGATTCGACACAGGGATTTCTGTAAGGTTACATACTAAAAATACTAAGAAACACTAAAATGATGTTTGTAATAGCCGCTTTTAGCGTTGGGGAGTTTTTCCCTAGACCAGAAACAAGAAATTCCCAAGATTTTACTCGTTACAACGTACAACTAACAAGAGAAACATCATCGTCCAAAACACAATTCTATCACGACCGACTACCTATCTATCGACTGGGTGGCATTCATCAAACTTTGAAACAAAAAAAGCAAAAAGTCCTACTCATTCCATCATTTTCCATCCTTTTCATCATGCATACGACATTATTACACTAAACGCCCTACACGGCATGGCATCTTTTATAACCCCCAGAAACCTCTTATAAGAACGACCTTCTGAACACAACCTTGACCTGAGACTCTTGAAAGTGGTAACAGTGGCGGGTCACTCAAACTCTTCCCATTTCATGAATATTTTCTATTCCCCAGTCCCGAAGATACATACATACATACATACATACATACATATATACACACATACATACACATATACATACACACATACATACACACATACATACACACATACATACACACATACATACACACATACATACACACATACATACACACATATATACACACATATATACACACATACATACACACATATATACACACATACATACACACATATATACACACATACATACACACATACATTCTCATTAGACTGCAACCCTCGTGACAGCGGGATAGCGGCAAAGATACCTAGCACACACGCATACAGTCCTTCCTGGGAAAACAAAAAGTCTGCGTATTCGTACCCTGTCGATCAATTGAATCCTGGGAACAGGGCACTACCAATCCCTAGGGTCCATCATCATCAAACACGGAGAAAGGACCTCAATTCGCTTGTTCACCCGGAACCATCCAATTATATTCGTCAATTCAAAAGTGGCCGTGAAAGTGGTCGGTTTGGAGTACGCAACAGTCAGTGGTACTACATTTCGGGAACGGAATTAGGGATTTCCATCAAATGGCTTCGCGGGGTTGATAGCACTCAGAAATTACACACATAACCTCCCAACTCTTCTCGAACCAATCCAGCCTATTCTTGTTCTTTTGAATCGACGATCCCCCTCAAAGGACTAGGTATTCTACCGCCTCAGTTCAAAGCAATTACCATGTCCAATCACCATACAAAAATAGTACCACATACATCTAGCTCCATTTCTATATAACCTCCCTAGTTCCCCCCTTTTCTATATTTTTATTTTCCATTCATCACATCACACTTTACACATATCACTTGTTGAAAGGCCAACTTCGAGTCTTTCGATTCACATCGTCTGCCGATAGAACTGAGCATCTTATTAGAGATACAAACGCCAGATTCTTCAAAATGGAGACTACTTTTATGACTATTCACAGTGAGTAAATTCTTTCTCTAATTTTACAATGATGTTGGAGATAGTCCTTAGTGGTATGACTTATGGAAGAGTCAATGTTTGTGGGGAAAGAGGGGTCGTTTTAATGTGGATAATGATGATGGGGGAGATGAGTAGGAAATCATGAGAAAAAGTTTTCTTGTTGGCAGTGCTTTGTTTTTTGGTATCATTTGGGAGCAAGATCCAGAACCTAGGGTGGGTAGGGAAGGACTGGGGAACCATCTCTTCATTCTAAAACAACCAGAAAAGTTTGTGAATGATTAAAGATGTCATTATGGGGGCAAGCCCCCAAACCCCCTTTGCTCGCTACGCTCGAAGATTTAATTTTCACTACTAGTCGGCCCCTACGGCAGTAGCCCCCGGAGGACCAGCGGAGCGTCATCTATTTTCCTAATGATTCAAGAATGCCTCATGAATTAGGCTAACGTTTACTTTTGATCAGACCTTACTCCTCAAGCCAACATTCTGTTCGCTTCAGAGTCGATCTCTGAAATTCTTGGGTATGAACCTGAGGATGTTGTAGGCAAACCTTGGTTCGAATATTTCGATAAGGACAACGACAATACGCCATTTGCTCGTCAAGCTACAAGTCAAGGTGTTCACTTGGAAAAAGCTGCTGTTATTTATCATGCCAAAATCGCACACAAGAATAGCAAACCGGATGGAAAACCTGAATGGGTCACTTGTGAATGTGTTTTTTCGGTTGTTCATGATGTCTTGGTTGCTTGTACAAGTTACTATAACGAAGATTCGCATGAGAATTACATGGATAGAATTCGTGGGGCTATCAGTATGACCTTTTCTCCCTCCCCCCCTATTAACTCACATTTATTAACATTGATTTAGAGAAGGAAACTTCTAAGAGTTTGGTTAAACGTTTCACTGCTCCTCCAAAGGATCACAGATACCATATGTTGGAAAACCTTTCCTTCAAATTTCGAGACCCGGTTACGGAAACTTCTACACGCGAACCAAGAGCTGCTTTGATCCTCAATCGTTTCACTCGAAGCTTGACAGTTATGTATTCCACTGAAGCAATTGAAAAAGTTATTGGCATCAGTAAGGAATATGTTGTTGGTAAAAGCTTTTACGAGTGCATTCAACAACAATGCTTGGCCGAATCCATTGCCGCTATCGAAAGTGCCAAAGGAAATGATTCTATAGCTCACCTCATCTTTTGGTGTCGTGATCCGCGTCATCCTCATGAAATCGAAGAACTCAATCAAGCTCTTGATGATGCTAGTGATATTAGTGGAAGTGAAGATGAAGATGAAGGTGATGCAGTTGGTAGAAATTCCAACTCAGCATCTTCTCCAACGACCACACGCACTACTTCTCAACCTGGCAGAGAAGGAGTCGTTCGACGAAACAATCGTCAAAGATCTGCTGCTAATCCCAGTACTGGTCAGGTTTTACCCGTCTTTCAACCGATTCAATTGGAAGCTGTCATTTCTTGTACTTCGGATGGTTTGGTGGTTATTCTTCGCAAAGCTCCTGCTACTTCTCGTATCGATCATCAAGCTATTGCTCCATGGGGTGTTAATCCGATTGCGCCACATGTTGTTCGACCGGATCCAAATGATCGTTTTGTTCATGGTCCCGAAGCTACGGCTCTTCAACCTGGTGCATCTAAAGAAGAATCCATCAAGAGCATTCGAGAAGTGGCTGTATTTGCTTGGGCACTTTGTGGTATCAATGGAAACATTGGAGCTTATGCACGCGGCGTCCCTGGTCCCAAATCCCAACCTCCAGCATTACCAGTTTGGAATCCTTATGGGCCCACTGAAATGGAGCCGCCTGTTAATCAAGCAGAAGTAGACTGGGCTCGAAGACTTGGAAAGAGAAAGGAAACGGGTCATTCACTTGGTCTTGTTTTTAGAGAGGAGAGAAATGAGAGAAGAGAAAAGAGAAGAAAGTTGGGGGAAATGAGACCAGATGGTTATGCTCAGCATGATTATCAACCGGTTGGTCCAACTGGTTATGCTCATCAGAATAATGGATATTCTGGTACTTCCGCTCCTGGAAATGGAAATGGAAATGGAAATGGAAATGGAAATGGAATGGGAAATAATGGTTATGGAAATGGACATAATGGTTATGGAAATGGACATAATGGTAATGGTAATGGTAATGGTACTCATCATTAGTACCTTTACCTACCAGACGAGCTTGCGTAAAGCAGTAAGACTTGTATCAGATGAGTGGATAACGGAGAGCTGAAATGGAAAAGGGATCTGATTGTAGGTGGGAGAGGAGGAAGGATAAATTCACAGTTTGCAGTGAGAATTTGGTCAAGAGGTAGTTGAACGTTCTTTTGGGGATACAGATGTTGCAAGGGGATGGATGTTGATGATTCTTTTACGATTCAATTGGTGTTTATTTACCAATATCACTTAATGGGAAAAGTAGCCATAGCAGTACACTCTTTTATATGCTGCGATGAGTTTCTTATCTAGTATTTATGGATGAATATTTTGTGGAATTTGTAGTAAAATCCTGAATATCTATGAAATGATGGAAATGGGCTATTCGCAGAAGAAAAAACAGGCGGTACTCGATTATTTCTAAAACAGCCTTTACAATTCAATTATTTCCCTCTCATATCATATAAAATAAAATCTCGAAATATTATTTAATAAATAAGAAGCTAATATTTCTTTTTGTCTTTTTAAATCTATATAAATCATTTGTGAATTATCTTTTATTTAATTAAATTAGAAGATATTGATAGAATATAAATTTTCAAATTCCGCCTGTTTTTTCTCCTCCTGCAAATAGCTTGGGAATGGATAGAGAAGCTTGGACCTCGTATATGTCAAACGGGAGATCTAACCATAAATAGTTTAGCACCATGTCTAGAATACGCAGCTCATGTTTAGCTTAAGGAAACCGTGGAATTTTGGATAGCTTCATGAACCTAGATACCTTATCGTCAGTAACGAAACATCCGCGAATAATCTACACTCGTTCATCCACATTTAGAAATTTAGATTGTTTTGCGCTACGAACTGCTAGTTGATTCGCACACGGTTACGACTTCTTAAAGTTCACGAAAGGACAGGACGGTTAGTTCGCACAGAACTTGGTTCGAAGTGTTACTCAGTACTTGGAGTCGCAATTGCATGTACCAGTGCCTCTACTATATCATCGCATTGTCAGCGCGGATACATCTTCGACACGACGGAATCACCAAGTAGGAACCATGGCTTCGTCTTCAAATCCTTACCAGCATTATGATCAACCTCGTGTGGAGGATGATTTGATTGATCCTGATGATGGTATGTTCATTTGATTTATGTTTCTCTGCAGATTCTCTTTGTGATTGAACGAAGGGAAGGTGTAAAGGTTTCAAGCCTGCGATCATTTTATACTAAATCTTGAGAGCGAGGGTTAAGTTAAACACATTGATACTCCTATGATTTCTCCCCTCCTTCATATACTCCTGCATTGATTCCCCGCTTCTAATTCTCACATCCATCTACATATGCTGATCAATCCACCCAGCAACCCTCGATGATCTCGACGATCCACTCAATGCTACTACCTCCCGCACTCCCCTCACCGGAAACATCCAACAAACGCAATCCTCCACCCAATCTTCCCAAAACTATCTCACCTCCCGTATCCCAGGCGAAGATCGTCGAGCTCCCACAAATACCCTCGATGAATCGGTTTGGGACACCCTCTCGCGCGATCTCACAGCCATCTGGTCTAAAATGCGGGAAGTGCTATATCCTAAATATCTTTTTGGAGGCTCGATGATTGATTCTCATGGTTTGCGAGGCGCATACTCGCAGTTTCGAGAAAATGGGATTCAAGGGGCGAGAGAAGAATTGAGGGGCATGATTGGAAGAGTAACGGATGTAGAGGGATTGACTCAAGGGAATGCGATGAGTGAGGGATTGAGAGATTGGGATTTATGGGGCCCGTTGGTTTTTTGTTTGGGGTTGTCATTGTTGTTGAGTTTTAGGGCGAGGGGAGATCAAATGAGTAATGTTTTTAGTGGGGTTTTTGCTATGGTTTGGTTGGGGGAGGCGGTGGTGACGGTGCAGATTAAATTGTTGGGTGGGAATATGTGAGTTTTCTTTATATTTTGTCTTCTTCCTTGTTAAGTCACTTTCTCTTTTCCTCACGCCTCATACTCGAATACCAGCTAACCCTCTCCTCAAGTTCCTTTGCCCAATCCGTCTGCATCATCGGCTATACCCTCTTCCCTCTCGTAATTGCCGCACTCCTCTCAGCACTAGGTCTTCATCCCATCCCGCGAATCCCCATCTACATTGTCCTGGTGGCGTGGAGTATGGCGGCGGGAATTAGTATCTTGGGAGGAAGTGGAGTGGTGAAGAATCGAGTGGGCTTGGCGGTTTTTCCTCTATTTGTGTTTTATTTGATGTTGGGAGCGCTTTGTTTTATTTCTTAGGGTTTGATGGGTTTGGGGGGATTATGGTAGAGGAGAAGAGGGGGGGGATGTGGTGTGTGAGGGGAAGGAAGGAATGGAAACTTGAGGGTTGAAGAGTGTAGGAGGGTAGAGTGGATTCAAAATGAAAAGAAAAGGGAAATGGAAATGGAATGGAATAGGAATGGAAGATGGATTTATGAAAATCGAGGAGTTTTTTGGTAGGGTGAGGTGAGGATAGGAATATTGTTATTTGATTTGTTAGTTTTGAAAATATAGATTTATGATATCTTTTTTTTTGGTGATGGTTTTAGGTTTTAGGTTTTCTATTCTGTGTTCTGTGTTATTGATTGTATTTTCTTGTCATTCTTATTGATTATTGGTTATTGGTTATCGTCTATTACTAACTGATACTTATATATCTCTATTCATCGTCGTGGAATTTATTAGATATTACTATTACTATTATTATTATTACTACTTCTAATTCTTTTTCTAACCCCCCCATACAAACAGATATCTTTGGTATCTTTTTCACATATTCATCTTGTTTCGTCTACTCGTTTATGTTGATGCTGGAAATACAGGGAGTGGCATGTCGTATATATTACTAGTTATTCAATTACTGACGGTCCCTCTAATACGGCGGGGCTAACAGAGGAAAGAATGGCGAATTGTATGCTTCAGACAAGTTCTTTTGATATTAGGTGTTGTAGCATTGATTCCTGACGTTGATGGTGGTGGATCTTATTACACACAGAGGCATTCTCTTGAGTCTTTCCTATTTTATACTCCAGGTTTGGAGATAGACGATGAGCAGTGTATACTGAGGTATGAGACTAGCTTTATGTGGGGCCGGATCGCTGGATTGAATTTGAATCGCAGTTATGAAAGGATAACGTTTAAAGAGAAGGGTGTATAAATCTCGAATTGAGCAACCTATTTCTTTTTCCGCACAAGCCGACAGAAAAGATAGAAACAACGCCCATATGGGCGAAGCTACAATCGTATATTTCCCCAAATATCTAGTGAGCTTTTCTTGCCTGAATTTCCCGCAGAAAGTGGTGACTATGATCGAGCCACGAAGTTTGGAGTTCCATATGTGAATTTTGACAGCGAGATATCTTTTAGCGTTTGAATAACAACCATAACAATAATTCTTGACAGTGATCTTTATTTACTATCTATGTACTCAAGAGTGTGGAAAGTCGATATTCATATTCCGAGATAGAGATTAAGGGGGGCGCTTACGATCAATCTCGAAGAGTACTTCGCTCGCGGGGTGCACGCGATCACTACAATTCAAGCATACTATTTTCCGAGATGAATCATAGTTCTCATGCTGATTTTCGGATTTTGAGCAATCAACTTATTTTTATATTTAAGTCTCCATAGGGAGTAAGTGTATACTTAGTTTCACTTCGAATATTCGTGATTTGCAGTTCGGATTGGCTTTATGATTTTTAGTTTTTTTGCTTCTACGAAAATTAGTAGAATAAGTTTAGAAAAGTACGATTCCTCCCCAGAAGATGGAAATCAAAAAACGACAAGATTCGAGAGGAAGAACGACAACACTCGAGAACGTAAGTGAGTCATGAGTGCTACATATAGACAGTGAGTACCTGCGGAGTCAAGTAGAAATAAACTCTGAGTCCATTCACAAAGTTTGATATTGTTTCCTTTTTTGTGAGTTTATGCCAGCCGATATGTGTAGTTGAAACCCAGAAATGCATTTGACTTGAAATGGTCAGGATAGTTAACAATGAAGTCGTTGATCCTGAAAACTGGGTATCATAGTCCTGAGTATACTGTGAGCATTGAAGAGATCTGTCTTTGCTACTAGCGAGTTGGGTCAGATGCTTTTAAACTTGAGAGAAAAGAGAGATAAAAACTGGATTTCAAGTGAATTGTGATGCCTTTCTCTCTCGAGAATTCTCACTTCAACAGACTACCTACTTAGAACCAATCGAACCTTTACGAACCTGCAGTATGATGTTAAGTTTGTCGCTTCGAAACGACAACCGCAACGCCAGCGCATTAGCTATTAAACCAAGAGACCAGGCACTTAATGGCATTGATCAGGAGCAATGATATCACTATAGGAGCTACTCGCGAAGGTATTGAAGAACAGTTTTCCCAAGATCAAACAAATAGTCAAGCGAACCTTCGATTCCCGTGGAATTCCTTTATCACTTGAAAATTTTACCGCAAGCCTGCTTCGCTGTCGTTTAATCCTCCTTCACAACTGCCACCCTCTGCTTTCTCATTCTCAGTACATAAACCTCATTAACCCCCAGAATCCCCCTATAATCTATCCTGACTGCAAAACAAAGCATGATTCCAAACATCCCGTTTCCTCTAAGGCTCTGACAAAAAAAAGTCCATAAACTTGCTGCGGTAAACGTGGAGCGCTAGTACGACTTTGATACGCGAAGCTCAAGCACAGAAATCTCTTTATATGCTTATAGATGTGAGGACTTTATGTCAAAATATATGAATGGGTGGATATCTACCCGGCATACTATGCCTTTGAGATACCTATTCGCAGCTAGAAAGATTCGCTTGGTCTTCAACTGTGAGTATTAAGCGCAGTGTAGTCGGGAGATCAAATCCCACATGATATGGATGAGAGCAGCTTCATTGATTCAGGAGTGCGTGGAAAGAGAAGATCGGCGTTGTATACTGGTTCGTCAATTAAGCATCTGAATGCTATCATTTATCACCTATGAACTTACTAAACAAAAAACAATCCAAACCACTTAGAGTGAGCGTCCTAATCATTATCATTGTCATTTCCAATACCAAAAGCCGTCACCACTCGCATGACTCAATTACCGTCATATAATTTTCATTCCACTTATGACACACCTGGGCTTGAAGGCGACAATCCCGTTCATGATAGAAGGAAAAAACTGCAAAAACTCTTATGGTAATGGCGCGGAGATGAAGCAGTATATTGCTGGCTCCCCTCTTGAGAAAATCGAAGGTAGGACGTTGCATTGCTGTTGATATTACACAGATGACGAGATTTTATACCAATATCGCTGGGATTGAATGTGAGAAAATCGATATCCTGAGGTGTTGAGTGAATGACTCTCTCATCTGGATACCTATGTAGGTAATTTTACCCGAGGCGAGAGTCCTCCTCGAGTACGTATATAAGCTGGGCTTTTTTCATGAATTGTATCCATATACTTGATAATTCTGGAAGAAATTCGAATGGTCTCTTTTCGCTAGCTGCGAGAATTCCTTCCACCCACGCATTGTTAATTCGGGTCCCACTCTTTGGGAGCAGTATATCTCAACCCATCCGAACTATTCCCAGCTGAAATATGTCGATTTTCATTCACATTCACATTATCATTGCTATTAAACACGCTATAAAACTTTCTTGTCAATTCGAATCCCCCGTCAAACGAATCATTTCACACTTCAACTACTGGACAGAAATACTTCCCTTTCGTCTGGCTATAAAGCAAACTAGAACCCGGAAACCCAAAAAATCATCCAGCAGAGTCCTGAATTTGTTTGCCCCCTAAGCAGGTCGCCCATACACTTGCACATCAAACCCAGGCAGTTCTTATATACCCAGAATCTCCACACTAGTGCCCTCCCCCATAATCTCCCAACCATCCCCCTAACACCAAAAACAGCGAAAACGAGTGAATACACCCCCCCCCCTCCCCTCAATACCATATCATCACACTCCTCCCTCCCCCCTAAGCACCAAATATAAAACCCATTCAAATCTAAACACCATCCTCCAACCCATCCACAAATCAGAAGGCAAGCCATACAGGGTCCGGAAAGTGAAAGAGATGCGGAAATAAATTCGTATTTTGTGGATAATTGAAACATACACTGTGCAGAGCAATATGTTCTAATTTATACAATTGAAAGAGAAAGACAATTGAGTACCCCATGCTAAACACCACGAAACTCTTCGCCATCGGTCGAAACCGAGAATTTAACTATTATTGTCAAATCATGAATCATTTGCAATCAACTCATCGTGCAAATCTCAATCTTTCAATACCTACTAGGTAGGTAAGTTATATAAAATTCCCTGTAAACAAGCAAGCAAAATGAGATCGAGGAATGGAAATACAAATTTGTATCGTGATGGACTTCCCATTCATATATCTCTTTGCAAATTTGAAGCAAATATGTCTATGGATGGTCTCAATGGTAATCACTTGCTTTTATAGTGGCATTGAGCTCTACAAAAGGACTTGTATCTGAAACGCTGCCAGAAATCGATTCACCAGCGCATCACGCACGCCTGGGTGAAAACTTGCAGTTGATGTACGCTCTATAAAAGATCAATTCCGAATCTTGAAACGGATTTTGATTTAGTATTGTCGTTTCAAGTTCAAATGCATCCTAGGATTGCCATAGTTGCAAGTATGATCGATATGCAAAACTCGTGTTGAAAAGCAAGACAAAAGGTTATTGGTAATGTTATCAATTGATACTAGAGGAAAGTCCACTATAGATACCTAGGTACTCAAGTACATTCCATCAAAGTCTGAAGTCACAGAGAAAAAAAACAAGCAAAAACAACAATGATATATTTCAATAACAACAATCAAGACTCGGCTCATCTTCCCATTCCATTATATCAAAACTCAGAGTCCTTGAATATTGTTGGCCAAAGATTCCTCCAAGCTGGTAAAACCAGCACGCCCAAAGTCCCTTTTCAAAAGCTCTTCGGCTCTTTGATTAGCAACCTTGGATAAATCGTTGATACTATCATCATGAAAGTCATCCATGATTTTGGCATCGGGTCGAAGTTTGCGGAAAGTTCTCAATAAAATGTTATTGTTGAATGGTTTGGCAAAAGCAAATAACCTCTCATTCTTCACATCCTCATCGATTAAAGCAGAGACGTGAAGACGACCTACATCCTGTACATCTATGAAATACTGAGGAGGAAGGTCTTTCATCATGGAGTTATCCCCCAAGTAAAGTTGTCGAATAATGCCACCGGTAGAACCTTGTGTTGGATCTAAAACCAAACCCATGACAGTGTCTGGGAGGACGGCATTGGCTACAAAGCCTGGTTTCTTTTCCTTCACGAAGTTCCATACCGCTCGCTCGGTCTCAACTTTACTAGAACCGTAGACAGCCCATGTTCTCGAGGGCTCATATGGTGGTGGGGCATGCGCTGCTTCGACAGCTTCATCATTCCATGTATTTTCATCGATATAGAATTCCTTGTTGGGCTTCGGACTTGTTGCGGCTATGGCCGAGGACGTAATGACGAAACGTTTAACGCTTGGTTCTGCGGCTGCAGATTTAAGAAGACCATTTACACCAGCGAGACATTCTGGAATAACCTGAATAAAGGTTTAGAAGTTAGACACGTATTATCAATGGAATGAATAAAGTCTTACATTATTTGGGTTTGGTGAGAAAGACAAGTTTGATGCTACATGTGCAATTCCAGTTACACCCTTCACAGCTTCATCAAAAGCTCCTTCATTGGCCATGTTTGGTACAACTGCCACCTCCACTCTATCTTTTCCATATTGCTCCTCCCAAAGGTTGAGTAATTTCTTCACCTTGGAAGCATCTCTCGTAGTACCTCTTACTCGATATCCTGCTTTGAGTAGTTGATCAGCGACGTGAGATCCAATGTAGCCGTTGACGCCGGTAACAAGGACCGTGGAATCTTTGGGAATTGCAGGAGACATCTTGAGAAAAAGGAAGCTGTGCAAATAATGTTGAGTGAAGTCTGAGAGAGCTCTAAGTATGTTTCTTAAGCAGTGATCGTCAAGGCGGTGATCATCGAAGTCTAAACGTGTACAAAATCAAATACTTATACCTAAATGGAAAAGAGCTGATATCGCAAGCGGGCAAGCTGTAGTCAGCTGTAGTCATAGTGCAGATGGGTTATGGGTTAGCAATCAAATATCTGTGTGATTATCAAAGCATTCCAGTGTCATCCAGCGCACATCGGACCTCGCAGTTCGGCCTGCTTGCAGACATGACATCTATGGATGAAACCTCAGCTAAAGTTGAAGGCTTCGGCACTTTTGGTATAAAGTTGGATTCTAAGTTGCCGTGCTGACAACGGACTTTGGAGATCGAACTTGCCCATTTCCTAAATTGGAGAAATCCGATTTGCAAGGTAAACTTTATTTGAACTTTAACCTTACATAACCTTAAGGTTATGGCGGCTAAATGTTGTTCCGCATCCGGATTTCTTCAACTGGGCACCGCAACACAATCTTCATCGATCACTGCAGGTGGTCAATTTTATTATCGATGCCATCATCACAGCTATCAATTGCAATGCTGATATTGATGTTAATAGATGTTGAGGGAAATTCTGCAATCGAGGAGTTGTACACCGTTCAAACAACCTACAACTCTACCTCTCGATTCCATCATAGAATGCATTTCAGCTAAGCAAAGATGATGTGGAAGTCGCGATGGCCCTTCCTGGTTATCAGGCAATATAAAAATGGTAGGTGCAGCTAATCAATGGCAGTAACGACTTCCGGTCTTTCCATATGATTTCTGCTCGTAGGTGTTGCCATGATGTTCTTTGCTGCTTTCTCCTCACTTCCTTCGCCTTCACCTTCTTCCACCCCCCACTCAAAAGAAAACACAACTCAGCTCCATCTCAACAATGGCATCTACAAGAGCACTCACCCCGTCAAATGGCTCTAGAAATTCCGGTGGTCTTCGTCCGCCATTAAAGCATTCGATTCAGATCTCTTTTTCAAGCCTACCAGATGAAGTTATTATTGCTAGGAACAAAGCTCGTGCAGAGAGTGGATCTCCACAAAGTACTGAAGAAGATCGACTCATTCCTGGGTTCGAGGTAAACCACCTAGGATTTAGGGTGACAACAGGTATTGCCCCAGAGGGTGAAAGTGGTCGAAGAGGATTAAGTCCCATCAAATGTATTCAACTTTGCTGGAAATCTTCAAGTAGTGCTTCACAAGCCGTCAATTTTCTTTGGCCCATTGTTCCTGTTGCCATCGTCATTACATATGCTCGTCCAGAATGGCATACAGTCATATTCATTCTCAATTATTTATCCATGATCCCTTCTGCAAATCTTATAGGTTTTGCTGGTCAAGAACTTTCCCGGAAATTGGACAAAGTATTCGGCATTTTGATGGAAACCACCCTTGGATCTGTGGTTGAAATCGTAATGTTCATGGTACTTCTTGCCAGGCAACAATTTCAAGTCATGCAAGCCGCCATCATGGGTTCTATATTGGCTACTCAGTTGTTATGTTTAGGCATGTGCTTCTTCGTAGGAGGATTGACACACGATGAGCAAGAGTTTGATGAGGAAATTAGTGAAGTTGGAAGTGATTTGCTTCTTCAGGCGTATGTGCCCTTCCAGATCTCTTAAAAGGCATCGTCTAACCCAATGAACTAGTGGACTCGGTCTCATTGTACCCGCGGCTTTCAACATGGCAGTCAAAAGCGCCAACTCTGATTATGATCCTTTCGTGCTCGCTGATTCCGTTCTTCACATTTCACGAATGACGTCTATCTTACTGATAATTTCGTACGCCTTATACGTATACTTCCAAATGCGCTCTCACCAATCTATATACGACGCTATTTTTGAGGCCGATGAACATAAACAAGAAGATTATGAAGAAGATCTTTTAAAGGAAAAGTTGACATTTACGGAATGCGTCGTGGCATTGATTGTTGCAATTAGCATGGTTACATTCACTGCTATTAGACTTGTGGAAAGCATTGAATTCATTGTTGATGAAGATGGCATTTCCGACAGCTTCGTCGGTTTGATCTTGGTTCCACTTGTTGAGAAGTTTGCCGAACATCTCACAGCCATTGACGAAGCTCATGACAATTCTATGAACCTGGCTCTTTCCCATGTTTTAGGTGCTACCATTCAAACGGCTCTATTTAACGGTCCCCTTGTTGTCATTATTGGCTGGATCGTTGATATCCCAATGGATTTGAATTTTGATCTTTTTATTATCGTTGTTTTAATTCTGTCCATTTTGGTGGTGGGAAACTTCTTGAAAGATTGCAGATCCAACTACTTAGAGGGTGCTCTCTGCGTACTTGTGTACATCAACATCGCTGTCGCAGCTTTCTATTATCCAAATCCGCCAAAAGTTATTCCGCCACATGTTTGAAGTGAAGAGAAGGAAATAAAATGCCATGAAGGGGCATATGGTGTACTGTACTATGTTGATCTTGAATTCGTCGCGTGCGGAATCTTCCAGTTGCTAGCGATTGAGGCACAATCGCCAATATAATTTGTGATTCTTGCTCCGTCTATACTTATGTAGATCAGATTTTGGTAGAGCATCTTACGAGGCTCGCGAACGGGTATCTGCTAGCTTTTCCTGTAAATATTGATAGATCTGAGAATAAAAATAGTCTTCTAGATAAGCCCGTGAGTGCGGTGCAAAGTATTTGATGTGATTCGTGATATACTAGAGTATTTGAGGTGAAAAGCGGGAACGGCTTTGATGCCGCACGAATATCAATGCGACGAGAGTCTAATAGTGTGAATGAAGATCCTTGCCAAGTCTGGTGAATTGAGTTAATGGGCTTTTAGAAGGACGCACACTTCACCATGTCGATTTAGATCCTACAGCTTTGGCAATTTGATCGCTAGAGCTGTAGGGGAGCTTTTTTCTTTTGGCTTTCTGGCTTGATCATTCATGTCAAAGCCTAATTAATCCTCAGTATCAGGACTCATGAGCCTACATTACGCCTCGGTTTCACCACCATTGCAGATTTGTTACTTGTGCTCTTGATAACACACCTCTTAGACCACTTAAAAGAAGACGCACAAAGCCCAGCTATCACCCATATACACGCACTATCCAAAAAGAAACGAATAAACTCGGATCAAAGGGCCTATATGAATCGCTAGGTGCATGGCATTAAATTTCAAAATCATCAGGTCGGATTTTGTAGGATTGGACGAGCTGTATACAAGACCCATTCGCGTTCGGAATATTTGCTCGAAGTTGAAAGTCTAGAAAGGAAGAAAGACGGACAAGTGCTATACGATGAGGATCGCTTCGATGTTTCACGAGATGCCGCTCATAAGCTGGCAGATGAAAGGCTGTCATGATAAACCAATCCAGTGCCGTAAATTAACTCTTTATCTAATCAAGGCGATTCCTTTAGTTTCCGGATAATCGAAAATTTCCTATGCGATCAAGCTTGAAGCATGGATCAGGAGCATACCAGATACGATATCCAACATTCGGCATCTCCTGTTCGACATAAAGCTTGAAACTTTTTACCGCCGACTCACTTTGACTACGGATAGACGAAAACGCTAACTCGACAATTTTCCACCCATCTCTCTGGACCCATTCTTTGTTCGTGACAAGATCGAACTCAAATCTGCCCCGAAAGAATACTTCGACAGTTTTTGCCGACAATTCGGTGGCTGGGCCTTTAATTCTGACTACTCTTGACATTCTTTCATATCGACCTTCCGCCGGCATTACTTTAATCCTATTCCACATGACCGTAAGTCTCTCCCCGCGAATATAAAGGCCACGGCCGAACTTTGCGTCATGGAAGAAGTCTTGTGCTGCGTCTCGTGTGAGGAAGACAAGATCGGCAGCGGCATGAGTAAAAAGTCCTTCGACGGGAGGGGTGTAGTTGAATGAGAAAACCTTGCCATGGGTAATCACAGCGAAGATCTCGGAATGACTGGCTTCTGGAGGAATTTTATGGATTCTCACCGAACAATTCTCGTGGTCGAGACACATTGCATTGCGGAGATTGAAGTTGGTGAGCTCGCCTTTGTAATTTGGATTGGAAGGAAGACCAACTTCCGCAGCTTTACGAATCATTTCGGGATTGGTCGGACGGCTCTCACCCTTGAGGATTGCTGACGGAATGAACTCGGATTTCTTTTTCTTCACGTCTTCGTTGACTGGGTACTTATCTAGCACCACGACGTCTTGGGGTGTCTTGGCCAATGATTCGTATCTATGAAGACCGTTTGAGGTGTCAATAAGTGGCATGGGCATATTTTTATCCCAGCTGGGTATTTGGGAATGGTTTCCGTCAAGCACTGGCGTCGTAATGTCAGTCGATGCAGTCGATGTAAACGAAGACGATAAACTTGGACCTGAAGACGTTGAGACGGATCGCGTGTAAGATTTATCAGACGAGGACTTGTTAAATCCGATCTGCCTCTCGGTGTTCGTTCCGAGGTGTTGGATCATGGTACCTTGATAGTTTTCATTGAAAACTCTACCAGATATTGCGGTGGATGTATCTTTGGCATTGGATGCTACACTCAATTTTGATGAAAAACTGCCAAGCTTTTGTGCATAGTCAAATAATTGTATCCTCCCGTTTGATGGAACGTGTGGAGTATGTTTTTCGTAGGGGATGACCGCCTCAGTTATAGACTCAACCCACGAATCGAAGGGAAACTCGCTATCATCTGTCTCTAGTCAGCAATGGATAGTGTGAGCTTGGTCTTAGTACAAACGGTTATTATCCTGATTATGATCAGAACTCGTAGTGGTTCTCACTTTGGAGCTGGTTTTCATCGAACTTGGCAGCTTGCGGGAACCCCTAATTCTCCCATCATATTGACATTCGTGTTGGTGGTCACGAAATTGCTGCTTCGCACGATCAAGAGAGAGTTCCCACGTACTTGGCTGATGGACCATTTTCGTTTGTGTTTAAGAACACGAGTTGGGAAAGGGATCAAGACTGATGTAGAAAGATCAAATCTAGCGGTCTGTTGTGATGATAATTTTGAAGAATATTGTGCAAGAGATGATGATAGCTGATATTAATCAAGCTCAGATTTCTGGAGAACGCAAGAAGTTTTGAAGTTAAGTCCTGTGTTCGAACTAGGATGTAACCAATTATCCAAGTTAATATGCAGGTAACCATCGGGAAAAACCTTGATTGGGTGGAAAGATCTCGAATCAGGCTGCAACTCTACATCGATACAAAGGAGGAGAAACAAACGACTATGCATTCGAATGAGCTTTGTTTTTTTGATCGGCACTTTTTCGTGGATTTGTTGGAAACCTGAAATGCAATGACAAGGCGGAATGTACCAGGATGATACCCGGGTGGTGGTGGATAGTAACAGATAGTTTGGAAGAAAAAGAAATTTGCGGATTAGCACTTATTTGGTTATGTCTGCTTTAAGGCTGCATTGCATTGTTGGGGAAGCTGCACTCTTCGTTTATTCTGTTTGGGATTTGTATTGTGGGCTAACAGACTTTACGAATGGGATCTGGTGTTTTCTGGATATCACTTGGCAGTTTAAGGATTGGTTTGGAGCCTCTTGAAAGGCAGATACTCCGAGTTTCGTGAGCACATATGGACATATTCTCCTTCCTCCAAAGCTTGCCCGAACGGCTTGACGAGAAGCATCTGGACTTCTAGTGTCATTGTATGCATTTCCAGACGATATTGTACAGATACTGGGTGAGCTCATACTGGATTATGCCTGAATCATTCAAGGCAAGGAACAACTGGGGATTTCCCCTCGGAATCATTCAAGGCGATAGTTAGAACCATCCGAGTTATCTCACTAGCAGGAGTCATCCGTCATGGTCAAGTCAGCCTAGGAGTTCCTCCTGTACAAACGTTTCTTCGAGCGCAGGACAGTGAGTCGCATTCATCTTATCACATCACATCACATCAGAGCCAATTATGCGTTTGTGTTTCTCATGATAGTAATCAACGATGAACTTTTGACCCGGAAGCTGCCCGGGATATCCTTAGTATGCAATAAATCAAACGCTATAACCACCAACATAGAGCCCCTTGTGATCAGGCTCTTCCTTCACTAGACTCGAAGAATCTGGAATAGGAATGAAGAAGTCGAGGTACCGTCACTCGCTGTAAGTGTCGTAATAAGTGGGGAATATTTTGTCGGGGTTATGTATATTTCTTTGTGCAGAGCAGCTATGTGGCGAAAATATGATACAGACGTCCTAGTCTGGTAGATTTTGCTCTGACAAAGCCTTTCAGATGGAAGTCGCTCAAATCTGTTTGGCTGCAGATGAGGTATGGCGTGGGGCTCCTTTCGCTGTTGGTTGCATAGATGTATAGCGGGGGGAACAAGATGGTCAATGATATGGCTTTTGACCTTGATGGGCCCTTCCCTTAATACGGAAGGAAATTATGACCGAAAATGTGTGCGTAGGGGATTTTTGCTTCTATAAGACTCTTACTCTAGAGTCAATCTCATCTCGCTGGTTGCCTCACTCAGTACGTCTCCAATACTTTGCACCTGGGCCGGTGCCCTTCTCATACTTTGGTCCAGCTCGTTGTGCGGAGTTTGGATTCCCATTTCGATTCGGTCCGGAAGATGCCCCAAAACGCCAACTAGATGTACGAATACTATCCAGTGTGCGAGGTTGTCGTGGCGGTGGCGGTGGTGTGACTTGACGTGTACGTGGTCGAGGCATGAACATGTCTCTACCTTGAGCCGCACTTGGATCACATGGATCAGCAGCAAATCGGATGTCGAACTGCTCTCCTAATCCTTGTGCCGCGACTTTTTGCTTGAAGCAGCGGAATGCCATTCTCGACTGAGCTTTGATGCCGCAAAAAGCTAACTCTACCACCTTTTGATCAGTCTTGTGATCCCATTCCTTTCGGGAGATGATGAATAATTTCATGTCTTTGCCAAAGAAATCTAAAAGATCTTGAGCGGAGAACCCGAAAGATCGTGGACCGCGAAGTTGCACCACGCGAGATTGATGGCTTTCATCTTCTGGGACAGGACACTTTCTGTTTCTGTTCCATTCTACTGTGATTCGCTGCCCGAGAATTTGGATCCCATCACCTATCCCACTATCCGCGAGATATCTTTCTGCAGCTTCGCGTACGCAAAAGCAAAGTCGTGCAGCTGCATGGGTCCACTCTTCATTCGGTGCGTTCCACGCAACAGAATACACTTTCCCGTGGTGAATCGTGGAGAAGAGATCTGCCATCTCAGCTTTGGGGTGGATGTTCGTGATGTGTAGTGCGCAGGTTTCCTGAGCTGAAGTCAATAAGTCGTTCAGAACTTCGGCGGTGATTTCACCCTCGTATTTGGGGTTGGGTTGTACTCCGGCTGCGTTGAGTAGAGCTTGGATCTCTGGTGTGATCATGGCTCGTTCGCCTTTCTTTAATCGAGCGGGAACGAAAGGGATAAGGGGTTGTTCGCTGGGGAGAAGACCTCGCGATGGTGGAGGTGGAGCTTCGATCTCTGTGTCGGTTGTCATGGTGCTGCATTCCTCCTCGGAGGTCTCAGTATCGCAGTAATAGTGAGTGTCTTCTCTTTATGTCAGTAATTACTCTGGATGATGCAAAAAGTACATGGAAGACGTACCAAAAGATATATCGCTAGTATCACCCGAAGTCTTGCTTGGCTCTAACGCATTTCTTGCACCCTCCATGGTCGCATTCATGATTTCCTCTGCAAGACCAGTTGATGAAGTTGGTGGTATTGAGCGAGGGGGTTTAGATGGATCGGTTGTTGTACTATTCTTGCCAGGACCGCCTGAGAAGATGTTTCCTCGACCAAACGATGGCGGGAAGTTCGACATGTTGAATATTCGAAGATTGCAGCGGGATGTATGATTCGAAAGCTCAGTTGTTTCTTGCAGATCGAGGAAGATTAGAAGATATAGATCTTGAAGGTGTCTTTAGATCGATCTAGCAGACGTGTGAATCTTCGAACTCGGTCTTGCGCGTACAATCACGTGGAATTAACGAGACTGAAGAGGATTGTGAAAACAAAACTGGTGCTTAATGTCCGCTATACAGCGACGGGTGGATTGAAAACAGTTTTTTTATTCCCCAAAATGGTTTGTCCAGATGCAAATGCAAGAGTCTCGAGCTCTTGGAAATGGAAAGAACAAGGAGATTTGTTATGGTAATTAATGGATCGGAGATTGAACCAGGGAAATGTGTGATGTGGAAGATATCTCGAGGTTGGAAAGATGGATGTTCGGAGTTTGTGAAGTGGGGGGAGGAGATTGGGAACTTGGGAGGTTTTATGAGGGGTTGAGAAGTTCGAGATGAGTGAATAGTTGGGGATGGGTGAATGTGTGATGGGTTTTGGAAGTGAAGTTGTTTTTGGAAGTACAGGGAAGGGTTGTTTTAAGCGAGGGGATTGGAGGGGATTGGTTGGTTCGAGGGGGTTCGTACGGTAGCTAGGTAGCTAGGTAGCTATGTAGGTGGTTTTGGTTCGTTTAGTAAAGTACTACGACTAGGATTTAATTTGGTATTGAATTTGATATTGAGTTCCTGGTTTAACTAGAATTGACTGGGAGTGGAAGATACTGGAATGAAAGGGTTATTGTGAGAAGTTTTTATGGTACGGTACCTATATATCATGGAATGGAAAGAATTCAAAGGATAGCCAGAGGTACATGATGTTCTTACAGGATGATTGGGGAATCTTGGTGAATGTTGGAGAGTGCTTAGCAGTGGGTATATATTGATGAGTGAAAACTATTTTGTGAAATTGTGTCTGAAAAGTTGGTGGTTTTTTCACTGTATGTCATTTTTGGGTTCTTTGGTGGTTAGAGAGAATGTGTGTATTCTTGGATGGATGGAGGGCTTGAATGTATGGGTGGATGGGATAGAGTCTAATCAAGTTTTGGAAAAGAGAGAAAGGAAGATATGGAAGAGCAAGGGATATAAAGAGTAGAGATTTCAAAATATCATTTGTCTTTTTGGATGCAACTCAGATCAGGATGTTAGATGAGTAGGTAGTGTTAGATAGTTTGAGACGGTGTTGATACTGGACTAGAATGACTTTTGGGAAGGGATTGGTTCGTGTTGGTGTTATGGTGTGGGTTGTGGTGTGTGTAAATGTAAGCTGTGGTATAGACTGAGGAAAGTTGGAGAAGTGGGTAGGGTATTTGATGGTTTGGTGTCTGCATGTTTGAATGTTGGTTTGGTATGGAGAATTAGTGGATGGATGGTTGTTGGGAGTTAGGTATGTTTCTTCATGTTTAGAAGGATAGAGAGGGGAGGGAGGGGGAAGAGTGAAGGGGGAAGGGAGAAGGGGGAAGGGGTGTCTGGAGATATTTAGTCATCATAGATATGGAGCTGAAAGCTATAGAGTAGAGATGTGAGATTTCATCAGGATAATTGTATTTTATCTATCTATCCCATAATTCAGGAGCTGGTACTTGGAAGTTTGGAGATCGCGCTCGTTAGGGGGAGTAAAGGATTCATGGAATTTGCCTGACGCTATTTCTTAATTGAAGAAAGAAAGTGAGTGAGATGAGATTGATATGTGGTGTTTCATAGTGTTTATATATCTTATTTAGATACCTTTGCTTATAGGACTTGTTTGCTTGCTTTATCTTGTTTTGTTTTATTGGAATCTGTTTACGGGAGCATTCCATTCGTTTGTATGGATTGGATATTGTAGCAGTATATTGTATTGTATGTAGATTTCAGTGAAGTCTGAAAAGATCTTGTATATATTGGTTCATCTCATATCAAATCAATTTAACAGTTTTCATAGTCCAAGATTCCAACCATTCCGGTTCATGATGAACCACATAATTTCCTACTCTTTCATAAACTTCTATTGTATCATCATCGCGATCCTTATCTCCATCAACTTTCTTCAAAATCAAACACTCAGCATATGGTCTCTCATCCCCATCATCTCTATTTGTTGACGCAACAAGCAAAACAATATATGCTTCCTGCATCCATTTCTCCTCTTCAATATCAATGACTTGTTTACCATGCGCATGCGTCTCCCAACCCGTCATTATCTGCACTCCTAGATCCTCGTCCATTTTCCAAAAAGCCTGTTGCCACCCGTAATTCTTAGACCACTCCGAAGCTTCAAAATGCGAAATTCCGGCCGGATCATCAAAACAATATGTACCCGAGTAACCATCATAATCATATCTTCCCAGATGTCTCGTTTGCCATGCTCGTAGAACAGGAAGGGTCAAACCCTCAGTGATTAGATACGCAGATTCTATCTCGCCGTAAGGATTGTTCTCGACTTTCGGGATTACATGATAGTCTATAACTTTCAACTCGGCAATTCGATCTTTAGGTGCGATGACGGTGCCCCGATGGAATTTGACGCGATCGTTCGTTACGGCCCATGACCATGAGGGCGCACGATAGGGCTTGATGTGAAGACATCCCAGTTTCATTTCAGGAACCCAACAAAGCTCAACGAGTAAATCGCAACTCCACAAGCCGGCAAGATAATCTCCTCCAATGGCTGGCTGAAGAAGTCGTGATACACCTGAGATTGCAGGGAGTTTATCGATATCGTATGTCAATTTTCTTTGACAGTATTGCCAAACGATATCACGGAAACTGTGAAGAAGTATGAGTCGTTCAATGTCTGTAATCATATTGTTGTCCTGTGTGGTGGAATGAAGAACTGGTAACAAACGATTTATGTGCTCTTCTTGTGGAAATCTGTATCCAGGGGCATTCCTTTAAGATCGTGAAATCCCTGTGTACATCCCCAGTATATTTGTTTTTTTCCGTAGTAGATGTGACGAGGAGATAATACGGATTCTTGAAATGTCCAGCCTCTACTACTTAGCGGAGAAGATTCTGCCAGACGATGTAAGTCTTCGTCATAAACATCCCTATCTGCAGGTTCCACTCTGACGGTTACCTCCATTCCATTATCATCAGTAAAAGTCAAATTGGTGGATGGCTTTTCAACTGGCTCATATGCAAGATTTGAAATGATACCTCCAGTGCTGGCCTCTGATGACATTGCATATATTGTGACCAATGCATCTCGATACACTGTTCCCATCTTCTGAGATTCTTGTTCCCAGTCATGTTTAGAGTCTTGGATGATACACAGAGAGTCAATCCAGAGATATTGACTCCTAGCTCTCTAGTGATAGTTATGGCATCTCGAAAATTCGCAGGCAACAATTGAAAAGGAAGCTCGTTTTGGTATTGTCGTAGTGTTGCTGTCGTTGATGAAGTGGGTATCGGACCACCCCAACAGTGACTCAACGCAATATAGTTGGCCATGATTCCATTTGAATGAATGATTCTTGTCTGGTTAGGCGTAACATCAATCACGCGAGTGGGAAGCTGTGGTAAATTGGTATTGTGACAATCATGACACTCTAGGCATTCTCTGAGCCAAGCCCTCGTAATATCGAAATTCAGTTTAGACCCAAGATCAGGATTGATTTCGGCACTTCCTATCTGGAAACCTTTCAATTTAATTGGAGAGTCTATGAATGAGGCAATGATAGATTAGCTTCTGCAGACACTAGCTGCCGTCAGCTCAGATACATTCGAGAGTAACGTACCGCGTTTGTGACAACCGTCAAACGTTGCTTAGGGACCGCGAAAGAGTGCCCATGATTCTTGATGTCAGATCTGAAAATCTCCGATATTACCAATGTGAACGGAGATAGTATCAAACATTTGTACTTCATCAAGGGTAGCATCTGGATACACATGACTACTATTAATCGAGATCTTAATATCAGTCTCCCGACGACGGCTGAAATCTGTCCAGTAAATCTCGTCCGAGTTATCTCCTTGGCTTTCTTTGTCCTCCCCTGGAATGCGCTTCTTCAAACAGGTCAATATCACTTCACACAGATCACACCCCATCTCTGCGGACTTCACAAGATCTTGAAAACACTTGTGATGTGGATAAAAAGCCATTGGCTTTTTTTCCTTTGGTGAATCATCCGGATTCGCCAGCGACGAAGTCCAAGCAAACGGACCCATCAAATCTCCCGTCGTCGGTTGATTCGGAAAGACATGACCTTTGAAGTCTATCTTTGCGAGGTCGATAAGGTGAGCCAGAGAAAGATTGGCACAGTATGTACATCGCTGTATCATGTTGAAAGTAAGTGTAAGTCTATTGCCAATGGGAAAAGGGGCTTTAGACTTTAATTAGTCGGTAGATGCTAGCGGGAAGTTTGCGAAGAATGAAATATATGCTACATCGACTCGAAAGAAAATACCCCGCGTTATAGTACACAAATCGACATACCCAAAGTAGAAGTAATGCTTACTGGCACGTCAGAATAGATCATAGATTTGATCCACAGGATTTGTAATTTGAAGATCCCATGTCGAATCTTGAGTAACTTCACAGATGAATGATTTTCAACTACATCGGGAACAAATCCCTGCCACGTGATAAAACACCAGAAGTATAAAAATAAGTTGCCATTTGGATATCATATGACCACTAAGTAAAGAACAATAGCAAGATAGACCGATCAAAAACAATACTCAAACCTCACCAACAGCTGAATTCCAATAAGAAACGAGATCGAAGACCCTTTATATCAACAGGCACATCAACACCCCTCCAAAACCCAGATTTAAACTCATAAGGTATCTTCAATACAGAAACAAACCCCCTCCAAAATAGTAATAGGTAAAGACTACTAAGTCATTTACTCTACTCCCATGTTCACCGATATAGTATCACTAAATACTCCTTTCCTTGTCCCTCCGCCTTTTCTGCCCCTAGCCCCCTTCTCTCTCCTCTTTTCCCTATCTCTACCTCTCCATGTTTCACCATCACCTTCGCCAATTCGTTCTCCCTCCGTTTTCTTCCGCGTCTCCTCACTTCTCACTTTCACCGAAAGCCTCTCTGGATACAAATATATACCTACGACATGACTCCATCTTATACTTTCCTGCAAGATTCCTTCATCTATCTATCCATCCATCCATCCATCTCTCACCTCACTCCATCACTTCACTCCACCTCACAAGACCAATCAAATCACAAAACCCAACACAAACAATCCATCACAATCCAGCATAATAACATACGAACATAAAAATCCATTATATTCTCATGTCAATATACCTACCCAACCTAATTATAAAGAAGGTCCAATCCTCAATCCTCCAATCTTTCTCCATTCGTATCTTCTCTCCCTCCAAAATGCAAGTCCGTTCGCCCCGAATTTTGCCTGCCCTTGCCGCCCCCTCTCCAAAATCACAACCCCCAAAATCCTCAAGATCACCCACCCCCATTCGCTATGCAATTCTCATCAACCAGATGAAGCCCAAGCGTCCCAAGAAAGGCATCGCCCTTAAAATCTCGCCATCACTCACAAAATTGATTCGAAAGCTTGAAAGGAAAGAAGAAGAAAACGATTAGGTAAAGAAAATAGGCAATGCCTGGTATATTATTACTCCACTCCACCCTCTCAAAAACGAGTGAAGACAACGACGTTGTAGAATTATGACTACCTTAGAATTCTTATCGTATCGTATCCATGCCTCCATCCATCCATATTCGCTTTATTCTAAAAGTTCTCCTCCCAAGCAAATCGACCGACTCGGCCGGAAAGCATAACCTTATGCATGATAGGAAACGATACCCCCCATAATACTCATCCTCATTATTGTGAAGATAAAGATCTGGGATTTGATCAAGGTGATGTTGTGTATCGGTTGGTCTGTTGTTGTATAATGTTTTAAGCTTATAGCTCGTGTTGGATGTTTTCGATTTCGTTTGTAAATAATTTGTAATTGTTTTCGTTCATCTGTCCATCCCCAAGGAAATTAGAAATTACGCCTCATACAAAAACACATGCAGAGAGAGTACTAACCTTGAGAATCATATTAATAGGTTTGGCCTCCGTTTCTCCTTCAAAAGCCGTGAATAAAACCTGTGCCGAAGTAGTTGAGGGTTTGGGTTTAAATTCCATAGCTTTCAGTACTACAGTATTCAGAATAACTCTGTGAGTATTTTCTTGTCGCATGACCAATCGTACACTATTTCCTTCTAGCATTGATGAATCGAAACTGCCAGGAATTGCATGACCGTTGTCGTCGAAATCGACGCATGATTTTGGTGCATTAATTTTCAGAGTGCCGACTCCTCTTTCCTTCCAACCTAGCTCCTTGGATCCCATTGCGAACAATTTAGCTCGAATCTGTAATATGGTTGCTTCGTCGGCTTCGCCGTCGTCAATGTGGACTAGATTATGATTAGAAACAAGAACATATCACAATCGCAGAATCAAATTTTTACCTTTCTTAGTCTTTTTCTTTTCCTCAACAACTGCCCTCTCCCCTCCTTCCTCTTCATCGCCCTCAGCACCATCATCGCTATCGTCTTCGTCATCGTCAGAGTCCTCGGCATCACTAGCTGGAGCACCAAAGGGTTTGGCTGGCTTGCTGCCTAATCCAGCATTGTCTTTGCCCGGAGCTGCAAAGCTCGAAAGCTTTGGTCCAGATCCACCAGCAAATCCATTTTTTAATCCACTGCCAAATACACTCCCTGATGCTAGTCCACCAAAACCTGATGTGGCACCGCCACCGAATGTGCTTCCAAATCCAGATGTAGATTTTTCTGCCGAGGAGCTTGAGATCGAGGATGTAGGTGTGGAGCTTGCTGGTTTGGCAGAGGCAAAAGATCCAAATCCTGAATGTGGTGATTTTGCCCCCGAACCAAAAACGCTAGGTGTAGATGCGCCGATTGTGCCAAATGGAGAAGTACTAGCAGATGCTAAAGCGCCAAATCCTGAGCTTGCAAATTTATCACCAGATGTACTTCCAAATGTTGACTTGATAGGATTCTCGGTGGATGATTTTGATGTTTCGGTAGTCTTCGATGCCTCGTTCTGGCTTCTCTCCTGAGAGGGCGTATTAGCAAACTTTTAAATACTTTAGGGGCACGACATTGAATAAAAGTAGATCTACCTTTGCTAAAACTTTATCTGATATTCTGGATGGTTCTTGTGAAGTATCTCTAGGTCTCTTCTTTTCTGGACCTGATCTCATCGTTCGACTCCCATTTAAACTTCCTTCACTAGTAATCCCATTGTTTCTCGCACTATCGTCTTCCGCCTGATTTGTATCGTCATCTTGATCTCTGCCACGCTTCTTTTTGGGCGAAGAAACTCTATCTCTCATTTCCTCATCTTGCGCATCAATCGACTCAGCCTCGGGCGTGGTCTCTTTGTCTGTACCGGACATATCCTTATCTTCTGTTTGAGTTTCTGATTGTGGTATCTGCGAAGGTGTTTCTGTAGGCAACGGAAGCTTGTCTGAAATGCTTGTGTGCTTTAATTCTTCACTTGCAGCCATAGTAGCAGCATCATCTCTTTGTGAATTATCGTTCTCCCCCTCTGTCGTTGAAGTGGGAGCTGGGGAGTTATGATTTTCTTCAACCATATCGGATTTGGAATTGGTCGATTTTAAATGATCTCGAATTTCGAAGGATGCTGAAGCTGGATCAGCTCCAGTGTTTGAAGGTGTAGCCATTTTGCGATTAATTTTATGTAAATCTTTTTCTGTTCACAAAATTTGAATTGAAAGGGTTTTAACTTTGGGAAGAAGAACTCGGTCTGCGGCCTGCGGTCTGCCCCTCAATGCCAGCAAATGCGGCTCGCGTTACTTTTTAGGCGATAGGTTGGTTGGTTACCTGGGCAAAACTTTGTATGACTGCAACTTTAATTTGATATTCAATTTGATATTCAATTTGATATTCAATTTGATATTCAATTTGATATTCAATTTGATATTCAATTTGATATTCAATTTGATATTCAATTTGATATTCTATAACTATACAATTTGAGCTGTATAAGTATAATAACTATTCAACATTCACATTTTGCGTTCGAACTTTGATAAATGACTCAGCTGTACCAAGAATTATATTTCTCGAAGTCGAGATCACTTTGAGTAACTCGAACGGTTTTCAAGGGTTTCAAGGATTTTCAAGGGGATCAATTGTTCTTTCATGGCCATACATTCAAAAGTTTGTCTGGAGGCTTCAGGCGAATTTACTCGTATGATTGATATTCAAACGACATGAGGAATGGTGAATTACAATTCATCCAGGAGTCCTAAAGATTCCCAGGAGTTCAATATCTCTGCTTTGAACAGATGGTCATGATCAGACATATCCATTAGCAAGATTGGCAACGAGAACAGGCAGGTAAGATTGTTTGAATGAAGTCGATACGGTTTTGATACAAGACCGACCTTCTTAAGATTAAGATGATACACCAGCAAATTGGCGATCTATTTCCAGGTAATAAAGGGGAACTTTCTATGGAATGTGAAAACGGGTTTGACTTTGATCTTACTACAAATCTACAAGTGTAAACTTCAAGTAAAGACTGGATAATTGAGATTTGTTAGTTCCGCAGATCTCGAAGATTTATGTTTTGGCAACTATTGATAAGTCTTACCTAGATACCAACTAATTATAAAAGGCGACTATAAGTACGACAATACAATCTCCATATTTTGCACGACCTATGAATTTCTATATCTGCATTCTCCAAAAATCATTATCAATACAATCCTCTAGCTTTTGCATTTTGCAAGAGGAAAACCACAATCATGGGATTATTCATCAAAACTTTCATCTGCTATCTTGCTACAATTGCCCTCTCCGTCTCAGCCAGCGTTAATCTCGACGTCCAATCTCTCACTGTGGACGTAAGCAGTTTCAACAAAGAAATATATTACTATGATGGCTCCATTGGTAATTACACTCTCATAGACGCCGGCTTCACTACTGTTCACAATGGAACTCAAAAGGCAATCGCGGATACCATTGTCCTGGTCCCATCTGGACCATCCGAGTTGCATGAAATTGTGCAGCTGATAAGTCAAAGCTTACGTTCTTATATCGTCCGACTGATGGATGACTTGAAACCGAAGAAATCGGACTTTGCGTCGAATGATCTTCTGGGGAGCGTGATCGCGAGATTGGAAGTGATGAAGAATGATTTTCAAGCTTTCGAAAAAGTCTTGATTGAGAAGCCATCTGAGGAGGAGTCATTGCCACACATGATTGAAGCCGCTTTTGATAGTATTAATAGTGCTGTGATTACCGCTATTGATTTTCTTGCTAATTAAGTATTATTACGGTGCAAGAGACGGGTCCTGATAGGATATATGATATTATAAGAGGAAAGGAGGAGCTCGCGGTTGTTAATGGAAACACGAATCCCATATGGAACAAGACATAATAGAAACCAATAAACAGTATTTTAATAAGAAAAAAACCCATCCAATCTCAATAAGGCTGAACCCCTAGCTCCGCCTCTTGTAACCAGCATTATAAGACATAATCTACAAAATATGAAACATATCAAATCATCCTCCTTCCCCATCCAAATCACAGATATCACGCGCCTATCGCGCTAAACGCCACGTCGGTATAGTTCAAATAGCCGATGCCCCACCAGCAAAGCTCCCCTCACCCCGCCATATCCCTTTCTTCCAAGGTTTACTCAACCATCTTCCATTTCATCACTGAATCCTCATACAATATCGTAAGTCCTCCCGCTTTCATACACCGTTCATTTTCATCACTCAAAGAGAAAATAAATCGTCCTGCCAAATATATCTGCGGAAAATTATAAGATGATTTGCTGATAATTCCTTGTTTATCTACACATACAGTCCCTCGAACGAATAATCACACAAATCATTCACAATGTCCGCCTTTGATACCGCAGTTGTCGATTCCAAGAAGCTTACTAGTAAGCCTGGATCTGATGATTTACTCGAGATTTACAGTATGTGTTTTTTTTGCTCCCGCTCTACTCTCTTTCAGCTCCGCAGATTTGGTACAGAACCGAGGCTTGGGAAAAACATAGTTGTGATCGAAAGCTTGATTCGAAGCTGGTGGATGATGAATCGCAACGAAAGGATGATAAGCACAGATACATAGTAGCATAGCAGAAAGCGAATGGAAACATGCTAACACAAGATGCACCAAATAGGTTTATACAAAGTAGCCATCGATGACGACATCTCCAAAGCTGAGGCTCCAGGAATGTTCGACATCAAGGTTCGTTCTTAATTTCCCTCTCTTCTCTTCTCTTTCCCCCATCACTTCCACCTCCCCCTCTTCATCCCTCTTTCCCAACCAAATCCTCACAATCTAACACCCCTCCCAACAACAGGGCAAAGCCAAGAAGAAGGCGTGGCAAGAAAAGGTCGATTCCGGCATCACAGCCGATGAAGCTAAAGAGAAATACGTTGCCAAGATCGAGGAATTAAAGGAGAAGTGTGGATATGATGCCGATAAGGTTCCTGAGGCTGTTGGAGGAAACTAAACTTTCAATGGAAGTACTGGTTTTGCGGAAGGGATGCATGGAGAATATACGAGGATTGCATAGTTGAGCTAGGGATTCGGAGGGACATAGAAATGCATAGTGGATGGAGGATTATGTTTATGTTTGAGAAAGCAAGCAAGCAAGCAAGCAAGCAAGAATGAGCGTATGATTATGCATAAATCAGTTGATACCGTTTCAAACTTTCATGCTTAAAGATATATTTGTGTCGCTTCTGTCGGATTTATTTATTTCTGCATTCTGTTCTGTGATGAAATTACTACCCCGTTGAATCTACTTATGATCTCATCACAAAATCCAAGCCAAAGAGCCTGCAAACCCACATCTCCTCTAGGTGTGTGTCTAGATATGCATACCAATTTTCCAGCTGCGTAAACTCCAAATTCTTCTACCTGTCCAGCACGTATATTCCCGCTTTCTTCCAACCATAATAATCATCAATCTCCCTATTACAAACGCCGTCAACGTCTCGTGGTCAATAGTGAATACTGTCTTGTATCAAAGATTAAACGAACAAAATTTATGAAAAGGGGAAAATGGAGAAGAATCAATGAAACTCCTGACACAATCAATCATGTTTTCCACGTATTCCCCATCCAATCCGGTTCGCTGTATGATGTACTCGCACACCATGGGATATCGTCTTTGCCATATGGAATTAGAGGGAGATCGTAGGGCATTCTTGCGCCTACTATTATCGTGTTGCTTTCTTCCTGATCCTCCTCCCTTCGGTCAACATCTCTTCTCCTATTTAGATATTCTTCCTCTACCTCTAAGTTCTCTTGATTGGCTATTCCCAAAGAAGAGACAGAAGAAGAAGTAGAAGGTGTATCGCTCCCAAAACACGGTACCATCTTCACCTTCTTTCCGCTCTGCTCTTCCTCCCATAAGTCAGGCCAAACCAGCACTCCGATCTCATAACTACAGATTCGAACTTCGCCCGCTGAATTGAGTGGTTCGCCCCATGCTTGCTTAGAGAGGTTGGCTGAAGTAACGAGCATCCAATCTATCGATTTTTGAGATGAGGAATTTGAACTTGTATCTGAATTGAAACGAATGTAGGTTTTTATGTGAGGGGATGCACGTTTGCGGTATGCTTCTTGAACTTTTGGTTCTGAGGGAGTAGAAGATTGAGAAGGAGAGTTGGATGGTAATGACGACGAAGAAGAATGTTGAGCGCCATCGCCAGCCCAGTGACAAAGCATTGGTTTCAGATATGCTAGTTGTTTTCCTTGAGCTGGTGTGAGGATCTTGGTATGAATAGCATTGCCAGATGCGTAACCATTTATGCTCCTTCTGACCTCATCTGCGGTCGGGAAAATTATTTTGAATTTTGGATGGGGTTTCCTCGGAGATTTGGATGTGTTGAGGGCTTTGAGAAAGTGTGTTAACCACTTATCTGTTGGGCCTAGAGATGCTATGGAGGAAATTTGAATCACTATTTCTGGTTGAGTATCGTGGTAGCATGGGACGGTTTTAAGAACGTTGGTGAGACCGGCCCAGCCCCATGCAGTTTGTGATGGAGAGAGCTCGATTCTTTGTTTTCCTGGAACACTGCCTATTAAGGCTGCTTTTATTTCAGAGAAATCGTATTTGAGCAGTTGTTCGACTAATGGTTTGCAAATGATTCTTTTGGTATCATAAGCTCGTAGGTAGTTGAGAATATCTAACTTGAATTCTGTACCTGAGCCTATTTTGAAGGGTTCAATTGGGGTTGGCTTCTCCGGGACGAGAAGAGGAAGATGGGGTGATTTCCATAGAGCTTGGGTCATGTTTTTCCAGTCAAATGGTATCATATTGGCTGTATGAATTATGATTTGAGCAGTGAAGTCGTGTCGGAAAAGAATGAGCATCTATTCACGTTAGTAACTGGGGGCTTAGTTGTAGATCTGTTAGGGGTGTAATACCTTAGAATGATGGGTCCCGAACATCTCAGGCATGTAAGCTGTGAGAAGCTTGATATTAGGATATTTCAAAGCTTGTTCCTGAAATTCATCAGCATGATTTCAATTCCGTGCGGGGGCAGCATCGATATGTATCAGAAATGTTGTTCTCTGAACCTTCAAGCCTCGACATAGCACTAAGACCGAGAGAAAGAAGCACATGATAAATGTAGGGGTAGAGGAAACTAGGAACATTATGCAAAAGGAACAGAGTTGCTGTATTATTGTGGAGCGAAGCGAAAAAGCCTCCACGGCAGTGGCCCAGCGGAGCGTCATCCAATTCAGCCAAGGAAGAAAGAAATCAGCGTACCACAAGATTGAGTCTGGATTGATCCTCCCTTTTCCAAAACCCATGAATCACGTTAACTCTGACGAGATTCCGTACATTCTCATCAAATTGTTCCATGAGAAAGTCAAGGTTATGTAAATAATTGAACTCCCAACATTCTGATATCAAGGGATCACCAAGAATATCTTTTAGCGATACAGCGTCCACATTGGATGAAGCCGGTAGATCTCGAATTATTGTAAGCTGGAATGGCGACTTCACCACCTCTCGCTTTGTATGTTCTAGCACTGAGTATTTGCCATCCATTGAAATTTTCTCAGAGAATTCAACTGGCTTTTGATCGACTTCTTTCTGGTTAGGATTTTCTTTGTCCTCAAGCATCACCGGCTTGGGACTTCCTGTCCTACGTCTTCGTAATGGAGGTGGTGATATCGATCTATCTATACCCCTCCGTGCAATTTTTGTGTTAGTATTATCATTATCATTAGTAATATCGTCTACTTTACGTTTCTTCTGAGTAAGTTCACCTGAACCTTGACTTTGATGTTGATCTATGGCCATTGATTGGATAGATACCTATGTCTGCGTAGGTAGGACTTTTCTTTGTTCAATGACAATTTATATCATAATTCGTGCTCGAAATGAAGTGGATGGCAAGTCAAGTCGCCACTTCAAGAGATCGATTGTAGTGTTTAGAAAACACTTTATATTGAACTTTCTTGAATGTTCATGACTACCTAGTAATTGCTCACTCGTGATTAAACTAGATACCCCGTACCTAAAAAGTGATAGGAGGAAGGATCCATAATCACGTGCAATTTCGTCCAAAAAAAGAAATTACAAGGATTCAATCTGTTAGCGAACAACGCTAATGGTGCAACTGTGTTCCATCAATTTGTATGGAGTAAATGAAAGAAGATGAGAGTCGAGATCCTTTCTTCACATCACTTCACTCTTTTTATCCCCCACGATACATAACGATTTCTCAAGACGATTCTTGAGTTTACGATACTTATGCGATATATTGACGGTCATATTTCAAATTAATTGAGGACAACGAACCTCTCCTTCTTACCTTCTTTGGCGGATTCGTCGCGACCCGCATTAATCTTTTGATTTCAGGGTGTAGATAGCCCCCTAACTTCGTCCTTCAATATGCGTTTTCTTTCGGTCTCGTTATTATCGACTGTCCTTGCTTCTGTAGTATTGGCACAGACTGGAGAACAATCAGTAGAGAATTCCTCTCCCGATTTACCTGGTGAAGAGGAAGCTGCTGATGTACCACAACCAACAACATTTAATGGAGTTCAAGTCCCCCCTCTACCCGATATAGATGGAGAACTATTTAATCAGACTGTCGCGGAAGGTTATTGGTTTGTTAAGCATCACTCGTGAGAATTTATCCTCTCAACTCGTTGGGGAGATCACTATGCTCACCACGGTTCTAGACCTTATTGCCCGCATTGTATACACATTGCGCCAACATGGCAAACTCTCTACGAATTCTATTATACTTCGAAACCTGTCAAATCGGGAGCTGACGATACCGCATCGACTTCAATGAATACTTTCACCGCCTATTACAACTACCATTTCGGTTCTCTTGATTGTATCGCGTTTGGAACTGCCTGTACAGACCATGGCGTAACTTCTTTCCCAACATTTATTTTATATAAGGATGGTGAAGAAGCCAAACGATTTGTTGGACCTAAAGATATGGAAAAGTTGGGTGCTTTCATCGAGGATAATTTAGAATCTATCAGACCAGGCTCTAGACCAATTGGTGGACCAAAGTACCCAGAAGAACGTGCAACACAAAGTCCAGATTATCAGCCCGGAGCAGCTGCTTCAAAGGAGACGGAAAAGACAAACGAGAAGTCGACAGACAAAGAATCCGATAAGTCATCTGATAAATCATCCGAAAAGACATCCGAAAAATCTACAGAAAAGGCATCCGAAGGATCCGCGCAAAAGCCAGAGACAGGAGCTGAGAAAGTAGCAGATAAGGTCGCAGACGCTGTTGCTCCAGTAAAGGATGCCGTCAAGGATACTGCCGAAAATGTCAAGGACAGTGTTAAGGACGCCGTCAAGGAAACGAAACCTGAAGTTGCCAAAATCACCACTAAGCCTGTCCTTAAAGCCACACCAATTGAGAATAAGCCTTCAAAACCTACTCAAACTGCGAACCCACTCGGTACATCCGTATCCCTTACAGCCGAGAGCTTTCAAAATTTGGTTACTATGTCACAGGATCCTTGGTTTATCAAGTTTTACGCCCCATGGTGTCATCATTGTCAAGCTATGGCTCCTAATTGGGCTCAATTGGCAAAGGAAATGAAAGGGAAACTAAACATCGGAGAAGTCAATTGTGAAGCAGAGTCTAGATTGTGCAAGGACGTCCACGTTCGAGGATATCCCACCATTCATTTCTTCCGCGGCGGAGAACGCGTCGAATATGAAGGACTTAGAGGATTGGGTGATTTTGTTACCTTTGCCAACAAGGCCGTTGATATCGGAGATGGTGTTAAGGATATCGATGCGGCTGAGTTCAAGGAATTAGAGGAGAAAGAAGATGTCATCTTTGTTTACTTTTACGATCATGCTACTACAAGCGAAGATTTCGCTGCATTGGAAAGATTGACTTTGAGTTTGATCGGACACGCCAAACTTGTCAAAACCAACAGTGCTACTCTTGCTGATCGATACAAGATTACAACTTGGCCTCGTTTATTGGTATCCCGAGATGGTAGACCAACTTATTACACAGCACTCGCACCTCAAGACATGCGCGATTTCAGAAAGGTTCTTCATTGGATGCAATCAGTTTGGTTACCTGTCGTGCCAGAACTTACAGCTTCCAATTCTCGCGAAATTATGGATGGTAAAATTGTTGTCCTTGCAATTCTTTCTCGAGACCGCGAACACGATTTTGAAATGGCTAAGAAAGAATTGAAGCAAGCTGCGTTGGAATGGATGGATAAACAAATTATCAATTATCAACGTGAACGTCAAGAGTTGAGAGATGCAAAGCAACTCAGATTAGAAGAAGCAGAAGATCGAAATGATCAAAGAGCTTTGAGAGCTGCTAAGAGTATCAGAATTAATATGGATAAATCTGATCAAAAGGAGGTTGGATTCGCTTGGGTTGATGGAGTTTTCTGGGAAAGATGGATTAGAAGTACATATGGTATTGAAGTTAAGAGTGACGGTGAAAAGGTCATCATTAATGATGAAGATGTAAGTATTCACTCCGTTGTTTTTCTTCGATCATCTCCATTCTTATTGTGGTATACTGACGCTTCAAATAGAATCGACGCTACTGGGATACAACAATCACCGGGAACTATATCATTCCTTCTCGTACTTCAATTTTGGAAACCATTCCTAAGGTTGTCGTGAACCCTCCAGTTATTAAACCAAAGAGTACAGTGGGTTCATTTGAAAAAGCATTCTTCAATGTTAGAGGTGCGATTTCAGGACATCCATTCCTTAGTTTCGGGGTTGCACTAGGAATGATCCTAGGTGCCACGATGTATGGAAGAGGAAAGATTGGTGCGAGAAGAGGTGGTTTCTTTGGAGTAGATGATGGTGGTAAGGATGGTTTATTGGGTGGTGTTAATGGTGGTGGAAAAGTCGATTAAGGGGAGAAAAGTAATTTGAGAATTTAGATGAGAGCATGGTTCTTGGGGATGAAAGAAACGAGATGGGAGATGGGGGATAGGAGTTGATTGAATTGATTAATGGTTTTATGGTAGCGTAGGTAGGTAGGTAGGTAGGTAGGTAGGGTAGGAATTCTTTGTTCAATTTTTCAATGTATTATAAATTGTATCGGGTTAGATGGCTTGATTGCATAACCTTTTGAAGATATATCTATCTATATCTATCTTTTTTGAATTGAAAATACATGTATTGGTTGAAATGAGGATTATGTATGAGGGGAGAAAGAAAGTCTCGCATTTTCATTTTTTATCAGGTTCTGTGTTTTGATTTGGATTGAGTTGGATTGAATTTATTTCGCTTATAAGGTTAGTGATTCTGTAAATATAAATCATTCATCCAACTATCCGTTCATCCAACTATCCATACACCAATCATTCACTCAATCAATCAATCTACCTCACTTCCTATAACCTCACAACCTCACCCCATCAACACGAATCCCCACTCCCTCCACCCCCAGCACACCATTCCCTTTCTCCATTTCTATGTCTTCTAAATTTTTATTCACTCACTCAGTTAGTCGTAGTAGGTATACGTTAGTAACTCTCTATTCACTCACTCAGTCATAGTATAATAAACTCTCCATTCATCCAATCAACTATTCAATCTACCTCGCTTCCTACAACCTCACCCCATCAACACAAATCCCACTCCCTCCACCCCCGGCACACCACCTCCCTTCTCCCCCTCCCCCTCCCCCTCCCATACTCCTCCACTTCAAAACCCACCCCGCAACCAACCCCCCCATCCTCTGCAACCCCCTATCCTTCATCCTCACCTCCCCCTCCCACCTCTCCACCTCCCTCCTCCACCTCCCCCTCTCCTCCTCAAACTCCGCATTCAAAATCCCCATCTCCTCATCTTTATCTAAATTCTCCTCCCGCATTTTCTCAAACTCTTTTTTGAACTCCGAAAGCTCTTCTGCAAGTTTATCCTGTGAAGAAAGTTTTTCTTTCAGATGTGCGATTTGTTGATGCAAAGCAGTCGTTTCGAATAGATGCGTACGCGCGGCTTGGGAAAGGATGTCGGATTGGAAATCGAGGGAGGAGGTTAGTTGGGTTATACGGAGAGAGAGATGTTCTTTTTGGAGGAGTTCTTGTTGGAGAGTTTGGATTTGCGTGGTGAGGTGTGTGATGATTTGCGTGGGGGAATGGGGGTTTGGGGTTGGAGTGATTGGGTTCTGGGAGGTGGAGAGTTGGTGTGGGGAGTTGTGGTATTGTGTGAGGGTGGTCATGAGGAGGTTTTTTCGCGGGAGTTCGGATTTTGGTTGGGAGAGTTGTTTTGTTAGGTGTGGGGCTGGTGATTTGGGGTGCGTTTCTTGGGGGGTTTCTGTGCTGGTTTTGGGGAGGTGATGGATTGATTTTAGATTTGAAAGCTCGAGTTCTAGTTGCTCTATTTTTTGAGTGAGGTGAGGGGCTTCTGGAGCGTTTTGGATTTGCTTGAGTTCGCGTTGGAGTTTGGTTGTCTTTTCATGTTCGGAAATGTAGCGAAGTCGCCATTTCTCTGTGGTGAGCTCATCTCCTTTCCGTGTTTTCGTCTCGAGTTCAAATCGCTTCCGCAATACATTGATTTCACCCGCGGCTTCTTTCCATTTATCCTCCCAGTTCTTCGCTTCGAGATTGAGTCCGTGTGCTTGTTCTCTGAAAGATTCCAATTGTTTTTGAAGTCTCTCCTTATCCTCGATCTCAGCACGAAGAAGTCTGTTGAGATTATCTTGTACATCGGCTGTTTCCTTGCATCTATTCTCCCATTCCTTGACTTCGTTCATGGCTTTTTGTGCTTGTTGCGACGAAACATTGAGGCGGTGTTGTAATTCTTCTTTCTCGAGTCGGAGGACCGTTATATCGACTTTTCGGACAGCTGGTGAATTGGGATTGATAGTAGAGAGTGAGGAGGAAGGTTGTTGTTTTGATGGGATGACGACAGCTACGGATGTTCTTGGCGGTGGTGTTTTCTTGTGATTTCCTGCTGCACCGGCCATGGAATTCGCTTTCCTCTTTCGACTTGGTGGATTTGGTGTACCATCTCCATCTCCTTTCTCATTCCCATTCTCATCTTCATCGTCGCTCGACGGAACTGTTCTTTCTCGCCCATTGACTCTTTCTGGTGTTACAGGGAGAAGTCTGGTACGTTTCGCAGGTGATGGAGATGAAAGACACGGTTTCTTGAATGGTCGATCATCTGAAAACTTCGCAGCTGGAGAGGATAATGTGTGTTTTTCTGAGAGATGTATTTAGTGGTTAATTCATATCAAATAGAAACGTATTAGTACTTACTAGTCTTCTGATGATCTGTTTTGACAGAATGGGGAGACAAGAAAGGTTGTTGACCTATCACTTTTTAATCATCGCAAACCTTGGAAGAGATGTAATCACTTACTATTACTCTTCTTGAGACTTTGAGGAAACAATATTCTTCGTGTTGGAGGTAATATTGGAGGAACGACTTCAGAATCCTTCTGGGGAAGTATTGGAAGACTTTGTCTTGCAGGCGCAACTTTCTCTTTTGGTGGTTTATGAGCTTTTCCCGGCTTGTGGAGTTTGTGAGTTGAAGATTTATGAGGAGATTTATGAGGAGTCGATCTCTTATTCTTATTCGATGTCATGATTGTACAGAATTGATAGCAATCACAAACGGTTTCGTACTTCAACAGAAGTGCCGTTGAATAAATGACTTTGAGTATATAACACTTGGAGTGATGGATTGTGGAATGAAGAAACTGATAATTGAATGGAGGAATTTGTTTGTACTTCTGGTTCAAATCAAAGTATGGAATGAGATTTGGTTGACTCGAGAATAAATGAAAGACTTGTGATATAAAGAGGGATGTCTGTGGGCAGCGACGGGAAGTTGCATAAATTTGTCAGATCGTGCCGAAAGAAAAAGAAATTAAAAGGAACAAAAGTAAAAGAGTGTAATAAGCCACATGAGGGGTTATCCGGGAGGAAGTAAAAAGTGAGAGTGAATTGAAGTATGAAATGAGTGAAGTAAGAAAGAATTAGCAAAGAAGTGAAGTAAGAAATAATAAATGAAGCTTTACACGAGTTTGTCGTCCTATGTGGAATGCTAAATTGTTGCTTGAACAACGAGATAACCTCAGACGAAAACAACCATTTCAGACGGTATATCTTGTTTGAAGGGATTAATTGATACCTAGCTTCAATACCTAAATTGTGTTTATATCTGACCGGTATTCAAACACAAGTACTCAAACACACACTCTTGCTGTTCCTCCGTCTTACCTCAAGTCCTCTCGAGTCCCTTAATTTTGATATCCAACTTGCTACACTCATTTCTGAGTCTGATACATAACCCATCAACCTCATATAATCGATCTCTCAATTGTTGATTCTATTTGACTAAACGAGAACAGTTCTCTCCGCATTCTGTGCAAAGCCCATTTGCTGAAGCCAGTGTTTTGCTCCTCAACATGCTTATTCTCTCGTCATCCTCGATTCCCATGCCCATCGTTGCTTCAAACTTCGGCCAGGCTGCTTTTGAAAGTGCTGTTTTGGTGCGGTCCAATTGTCTCATCAATTTGCATATAGTCTTATCTCGTCTCCCAATCTTTCGATTCATCTTTTGAATTCGTGAATCTTTGATATCAATTGTAGACCTCATAGCTTGAATCGCCCGTGCTTGTTCGTCTGCTGTCTCTTGCCAAACTCGAACCGTTACAGATTCTGCTGCTGATTTTAGAGTTGTAATAGTCTTATCGAAATCATGAGGCGATTTGTTAATATCAGTCTCATCCACAGCGATGCTTGGAGATTTAGGTATCAACAATGTGCTACGTCGTGAGCTGCGACGAGAAGCTATGCGAGATTAGCATCACAGTATTGGACCAGGTATATTCATCTGGGAAGCCGCACTACTTGGAAGGCTCGTAGAGCTATAGTGAGGCCGGTATGGTGCCTCAGCAAGAGATTGTCTTTTCTTTCTGGAGGACATTTCCACTTTGAGATGATTGCGAGAAGTTCCTGCGACTGTCAGACAGATATTGGGTAGAAATAGAGATAGACTCTTCAGAAAGAAAGGGAGAATATGGAAGCAAATAGGCAACGAGCAACGATAAGCTCTCAATCATCTCCCTTGTTTTGTTTATTTTGTGCCATGGATTTGCCTGTCATTTTATTGCTTTTGATTTCCTCCCTGTGGCTTTTGGCTGCGGACACAAACCTTGTTTTGGTATGTAACCGCGCAAGGATTCAGATCATTCGTGCATCTAGTTGTAGTCAGCGAGAAGGCTAGGTAGGTAGGGAGAGATAATTCTGTATAGCAATGATATCGAGGGAAAGCTCCTAGATATAATTCCCATGATTTGATGATGCCCGGTGAGGTTCATCCAAGAATTTGAATCTAAAAGTTCCCCGCATTTACTCGTAAGATACAATGACGGAACTGAAGCTTGTGCGGGTCAAAAATTCAGTAATTGTCCGTGCCATGGTTCGGTACTCGAGTAACCTACTCCCGAGCTTAGATCCAGATCCAGACCAGGAACACAAACGCCAAAATCGCGAGAAATCACGAATCCACCTGACATTTTCCTTCCCCCTCACCCCTCCTCCCTCCTCCCCTCATCAACAAATTGGATGCAATCATGGCCGACGACGAAGTCTCTGATGCGGATAATATCCGTATTAGGGATTTTGTAGTTCGATTCCTCTACGATTACAATCTTTCACAGGGCGAAGGCATTTCCGGTACTGCAATACAACAGCCTTATCTCGATCAACTCGATCGCGTCTTGGTAGAGAACCCGGCCTTGATTAAGAAACAAAAAAAGACTTTCAAAATTGTTGTATCGCGAATGCTGGATGAGGTAATAGATAGATCAGATTCTACTTGCCATCGCCATTGTGCTAACTCTAACTAGGGTACAACATTAGAACTGCTTGAGAATAATGAGGGGAAGGGAGTCTTGCGACTATACGATTTTGTCAAGCCTCGAGACATCAATTTATCGTCCACGAGGTCCAACAACGAAACCAACTCCGACGAATATGCCGTACAGCCTCTAGAGCCAAATGTGAAAGTGGAGAAATCGCATAAGAGTGTTGATCGAAAATTGAGGGAAGGCATTGATCCAAAAGGATTGGCGCCGAGATTCAGAAAGCGAAGAATAATAGAGGTAGAAGAGAGCGATGGTTCTGGGAATGACACTCCTTCCATAAGCCATTCCAGGTTGGACAGCAGAAATTCTAGTCCCCAGAGACTGGCACGACCCGCACTTGCGCCATTGGATGGAAATCGAAGAATTTCTGCTCCGGAGCAATTTTACAGTCCATCGGTTCAATCTGAACCTTACCAGCATATGGATTTTTCACCCCATGCAGAACTAAAGGACGAAAATCTGGTAAGTGGTTTCGGCATAATGAATGGATTTGTAAACTAACTTCTTAGTCGTCCCTGCCAATCTGGCTTCAGAGAGGTCTAAGTGAACTTCGTCAAAAATATCCGGATTCTCGGTTTAAAGCAACAGATCTCCACGATATTAAATGCTTGGATTGCGATACCGAACACAAGGTCTCGAAATACAAAAAGACGAATAATTTTGAGACTCATTTGAAATCAAAAACTCATCTGGAAAATGTCAAATTTAGAGTTGAGAATTCGGCTACGTCTCGACCTATCTCCGCAATGTCAATATACTCAGCCATGCCACCACCGCCACTACCTGTGCATGCTCCACCTGTGCCTCCTGTAGCAGGAGTGTCAGAAAACTCAAGTGCGAATGGTGGACTCATAGAAAGCATGATAGCAAACGCCATACAGCAAAGTATCGGTCCTTTGACTGCACATATACGAAATCTGGAAAACCGATTGCTATCATCGGAAAATATACACAAGCATAGATTTGAGGAGATGGCTAGACAACTTGATGAATCAGAGACTCGTAACCGTGAGCTATTCTCTCAATTGGAAGAATGCAAATTATCCACAGAAGAATTGAGCGCTAGACTTCTTGCTGCGGAAGCTAGATCTAAAGAACAAGTCGAATTGTCTAGACGTCTAAAATCAGTGGAACAGGTCAATGAGTCGTTGCAAGCTTCGAGGAGTAGTCATTCAGCCCAACTGAAAGATGTCCAAGGCAGCATAAAAGTTCTTAAGCAGGTAAACAGTGCTCATCGCACACAATCTGTAGAGGAATTGCCGAAGAGACTAACATTTTCCCTTAGGCACCAATACCAAGCATTGAATCTGCCATACAAGATCAAGGCAGTCGACTCTTTATTCTCGGTCGGCAGTATGAAGGCACAGCACATGACCTATCACGTCATTGTAAACTGGAAGAAGAATTTCGCAGAAAGATGCTATCTCAGATGGAAGATGAACGTCAAAAACTTAACGAACGCGTCAACCTTTTGCAGACTGCATTAGCTTCGAGATATGAAGATATTGAAGAACTCAAGAGCAGAGTTTCGCGTGGCCCCCAACATGATCAGAGCCAGTTCGATGCTTTGAAAACGCAGATTAGCTCGGACCTTGATACTCAAGTAAGGCAATTTTCCGGTAGGATAAAGTCTATTGAGAAAAAGATTAGCCAAGATTCTACAAAATTCACGGCTTTGGATCACAGAACTGCCGAGTGGATTGATACTACAGACAAGAAGCACGATTCTAAGCTTGCAGAGCTAGAGACCTTGATAGGTGAAAATTTCGTCACTGTCAGAGCTGATATAACAAACCATGTTGAAAATCTAAAGAAACAACAGACAGAAAAGAAAGGCTCAGTAGAAGCAATTCTTGAGGAAAGGCTAGCGGCCGCAGAGAGAACGATTACGGCCATGAAAAATCAATTGGCTGGATGCGAGGTTCGACTTGAAGCTGGAGAAAAATCTTTCGCACATTTGATAACGAATGTTGGTCTCGACACCAACCGTACAGAATTATTGACGTCTGAGTGGAAAAGATGGCAATCAGATCGCGAAGAAGAACTACGGAATCTAGATACCGAGGTTATGAAAAATTCTTCTGCCATGGAGAAATTACAGATTGAGCATACTGCATTCTTAAACTCAACTCCGAAGATCATTCAAGAAATGGAGAAGCGATTAGAAGAGCAAGGCCAAATCTCTAGCACTCAACTTCAAGAAAAGCTTGAATTATCCGAGGCAAATTTGACACAAAAGATTTGTTCGTTACAAGAAACTCAGGTAAAGCACCGCCAGTCTACGCTGGAACTTCACCACAAGCTGTCAGATACAATCATGAATAGGATGGATGAGAATGTTCGAAGTTTGGAGAAAGCATGTGAGGATTTCACTCTGAAATCCAGAGAGAATCAGAAAGTCAATGCAACTCTCATGGATCAAAAGATGCAAAATCGATTAAAGAATGAAGCTCAAATTAACAAGGCAATGACTGAATCTCTGATTCAGAATTTTGTATCCAAACGGGATCGCGAATTACAGGCTAAATATGAAGAGACATTTAGGCCAATGCTACTGAAGTATCTGACAGAGAAGGATGAGGCATTAAGGAAGAAGTATGATGAGAACATTGAAACAGCATTTCAAGCACGCATGCTAGCACGGGAAACCGAGCTCGAAATCAAGTACGAGGAAAAATTCAAGCCACTCATTGAAAGTTTCTTGACAAATCATCAGAAGTTACTCAGAGATGAGTATGAAGCCCGCATCGAAAAGTTATTGAATGGTGTCAAGGATGAAATCATATCATCGGATAAGGAGAACAGGAATCCAAGTATCAAAACAGAAGAAGAGCTCAAGTCCCTTGTTCTTAGTCTTACGGAAGAACGAGAATCAGCTTTTTCAAAGAGACATGGAGCGCATATCGAGGAACTGGTTGACACGCATCGAATTGAGATGGTGTTACTTGAAGAACAGACTCTAGAGCGTCTATTGACTTTGGAGCAGATGATTCAAGATCAAGGACAGCAAATTGAGGATTTGGACTGTGTACTTCCTTTGGTATTATATGATGTAAATGAGTTGATGAAGAAACGGAGACTTCGAGATCGTGGTTTGAGAAAAGATCATTTTCGAGTTGGTAAAAGTGGTAGATGATGGAAGGATGGGGTAATATGAGATGATGATGAGAGCATTTCTGTGGGGATGGGATTGAAAGATAAATACTCGATGTGATGATTTTGTGGAGCATAAGTTTCTGGAGCATAGCATGATGGGCATTAAAAAGGGTTTGGGAGTACTTGGAGTTATGAGCTGAGTTTTGCAAAAGTCGAGATGGAGGACTCTTGGTTGGCAAAGATGTCAATGAGAAAGATCTCGATCCCTGACTAGGTAGGGATTTATCTTTGAGTTGGGAAGGAGGGCGGACAGTCCTTCAAAGTCCTTCTATTGATATGTGCATAGATAGCATGTTGTCGTGTCTATGGGCGAATTTTTCTGTTATGAGAAATGAATGCATGAATGCATGGGATGGCATGGAATGGAATGGGTTTGCATGGGATGTATTATGATACCAAAAAGTTTTGTAGGTTTTAGAAAATTCATTTTTTTTTGTAGGTACCTAGGTATGGATAGTGAGGTAATTATGGATAGATAGATGGATATGAATTTAATTTAATTTAATTCAATTCAATTGAATCCTGATATGATATAATATGATATCTCTGGCACTTTGAATATCTTTTTTGAATCATTCATGGATAAGGTTACCAGGCAGGTATATACTCTAATCTTGATGTTTGAAAGTCTTGTGGGGAAATCGTTTTATTTTGTGGTTGGCTGTTTTGATTGGTTAGCTATTTTGATCGATTGGTTGGATGGTTGGATGGTTGGATGGTTGGATGGTTGGATGGTTGGATGGATGGATGGATGGATGGATGGATGGGCTGAGCATCTGGCGGTGGGGGAGGGGGAAGGGGAGGGGGAGAGAGGCAAGAGAGTAATATCTGGATGGGAAGGTGGAGGTGGAGGTGAAGGTGAAGGTGGAGGTGGAGGTGAAGGTGAGCTGCAAGATGTAAGATAGTAGAGAGATGGGTAGTGAGGGATGAGTAGTGAGGGTGAAGAGTGAGGGGTGAAGAGTGAGGAGTGAGGATGAAGGGAGTAGTGATGGTAAAGGGGTATAGGGATACCGAAGCGAAGAGTAATAGACGGAGAGGGTGAGGGATGCGGAATATAGAATGCGATGAAGAGGTGAAGAAGATGGAGAGTGTGGAATAGGGGTACGGATGGGTATGATGGGTATGGGTATAGTTATGGGTATGAAGAGTGAGAATTAGGGGATGGTAATGGAATGCAGGGGATTTAAGGGATTTTATTCTTTAGGAGGTTTGGTGCGGTGGGTTTTTGTTGAATGGTGGATGGATGGAGGGGGTGGATAGAGGGATGGATGGAGGGATGGAGGGATGGATAAAGGGATGGGGTGTGAGATTGCGATGGAAAATTAAATATATGTTGGCTGGGATTTGCTGATGGGTTGGTTTGCTAACAGTTGATGGCTGCAAGTTGGAACTTTTGGTTTCTGGTTGTATATGGAGAGATTGTGTCTTTCTCGTGGGAATGTAACTCGAAAGGGTGTGAAAATGTCTTGTGACGGTGAGGGGAGATGGGATATGGTATTCTTCAGGGTGAATCCAGATTCGGAGAGTTACAAAAATGATGTTGGAAATTTTATTTAGATCAGATGAATTGTGAGTAGATGTGTGTATGCTATGCGGGTGAGCTGAGATACTTTAAAAGTTATTATATGGGTGTTCTTTTTGATTTTGTGGGTTTGCGTGTGGATTCGTGGGATGGAGTTGAGTAGAGTGAAGCGAAGGGGTTGTTTTTATTTTTTATTTCATGTGAGAAGGGGGTTGAGAGTGGGCTTTGGATAGTATGTGTATATAAGAAGATTAGTTGGAAAGTGGAATGAAATACTTTTCGATGGATTACTCTTTCGTCCTGAAATTGATACTTAACTACTAGGTACTCTTTTATCCTCAAAATCACAGATTTTATGTTCTTGAATCTCCTGGATCCTATGATGATTCTTGTAAGATTACTTAGGTGACTAGATTGTAACTATTTTAGCCGGGGGTTTATAAAATAAAGGGGGAAAGAGCAAAGAAGTAAAAGAGCAAAGAAGGAGAGAAGGAAAGAGAAACAGTAGAATTTATAGGGAGAGGATTGATTCTATATAGGGAGTACTTGTCGGCTGTTCATATTATGGCCAACCACCCCAGGTGTTTGGTAGCACCAACTCCGACACGGTCGATTTTTTCAATAATCAATATCAATTCAAATATACAATTAATTCTATACAATTAGTTCTATATTTGAATACAGCAAAATGATCAAGATATGAAAGTAAATCAGATCGCATTTTGAGGGTATGAGAATGGTTTTAATTAGCCTGATCAGAATGTATGTAGGTTACCGTAGAATTTTATTGGGGGATTAGAAATTAGATGACGAATACCGGAGAATAATTATCACTATTGCCTATCAACTTATAAACAATGTAAAGCCTCTTACCTGATAATACCTGAATAGCTTTTGATAGCTAACTATATTATAGACTCTGTGTAGAGTAGGACAATCCCTTCATAGAGGTCAAATACCCTAGGTAAAAATCGGCTCTTCCAAGCGATCGACTAGTGGGAGCTACGAGTGTCGAGCAGCTCTGATTTATATCAAGACTTAGGAGAACGAGTAATAAATCACTTCACGGAATCAGAGGATTTGGATCACGTTATTATGATGTTTGTTTCAGTTGTTTGAAATGTGTGGTATTTTGATTATTGTTTTTATATTTGAGATCGTGCCTTTTTGCCATTTACCCCCAAACAGAAAAACATTGAGGAAAGAAACTCCGTTCATCTTCATTGTACTGAAATAATGCTACCAAAAAGATATCGTACAAGTACTTTCCCCTTTCAACAAAGTTGAGCCAGCTCAGTACGTATCACAGATGTCACAAGGCACATCCGGAATATATCTCGCCGTGACGATTCCCTCAAACGACGCGGTGCTTCTAATCCCCGCAAGCAAAACCGACGCCTGCCCAAAGATCCGCGCAAATCTGAACTCCATCACCACTCGTTGTGGAGTACTGTGGGATAGATGCCTACATTTTTCATTCTCATACACACACAGATTGGTGATGAACATCTTCCAGAACGGGAGATCCATGCTAGTATTATTGAATACCTCGACAAGAACCACACGACTTCGATAATGCAGTTCAAGCGGAAATTCACGATGTCCATTGCGATTTGGTTCCACCCGAATACGATATCCATTGATTTTAATACCCGGGTTAGATGCTCTTTGGAGTAAACGAGCTGCGTGTTCAGGGTGCTTGAAAATCACCTTGGCGGCGTGGCGGGGGTGTTGACCCCCTCCGAGACGGATGTAGGCCGCGACGATAGGGCCGGCTGAGATGACGTTGAATAATTCCTGGTAGAGGAATTCCCGAGCGAAATCTTTGGGGATGCCTTTGATCCAGACAGCGCAGTTTAGTTCCTTGGGGAGGTTGTCTTCACCGCCGAATTTACTGGCGAATTCGCGGTCTTCACTGTCGCCGAGGTGGTGTGAGGCGGCTGAGATGTTGGTGGGGAGTGATGCGAGAAGTCCTTGTTCTCGCAGAAGTTGGTCCGTTAATCGGAGTCCGGGTTGGTATAGTGCGTCAGATCTGTTGTGTAAACTCTGAGCAACCGTGGATGAAACGCTGGCGGAGGTAGCGCTTGGTGTGTAGTGTGCCGTATAAGCACTTGCGTGCGGATTTCCAAAGAATGTTCTCGAGCCATGCTTGAACTTCGTTATTCTGTTGGTGTAACGAAGCTGTTCTGAGACATCTGGCTGTTGCGGTTGTTGTTTACCATCAATGTTCAAAGGGATACCAACTACCTGTGCGTTGAACTGAGACATATACTGCCCAGGACATCCGTAGCTGGTCATGTTTGTGTTGTGTTGATATCCAACAGCACGATGACCAAGTGGCTCAAAATGAGTAGGTGGCGGGTATGGTGCACCGCTACTCAAAGGCAGACTGTTCTGGACTTGTCGTCCTCGAAAAACCGCTGTAAACATCTCGGTGTCCGCTGACAACGCTGGACGGGTGTATGCTTGTATTTGCAACATGATCACGAGCATTAGAATAGGGTATATACCCTGGAGGGTATCATAGGACTTCTTGCCCTTTGAAGGAGATGATCTCTCGTTGACATTCGATCTCGCAACAGAAGTCTCAAGATGCAGAACAGAAACGTCATTTTCCTGTCTCGACTTGGACGCCCCATATTGGATCGGCTGCATCCCACGAACCAAAGACTGGGTGATAATGGGACTATTGTCACCACTTTCTTCTTTTTCGAACGAAGGAACATCTTCCCCGAATTCCGAGGTACTGAAATGAGAATATCCCATTTGGCGTGAGACTGTTCTCTCATATCCAATGGGCTTCACATTGGACAATGGAGAGGTAATACGACGCGGCTTTCTTTCATCGAAGTTGAAGTTAGGCAGTGGAACTGTACCTAGAGCATTCTTCATGGTTCTGGAGAGATATTCGCTTTGTCTGCGATGATGAGTAGCTTTGAGATTGGGGCTTAGCGAGGCTTGATATGGTTTTTGGGGTAGCAGGGGCTTACTAGTGATAGGCGAGATTGGGTTCCAGAATGTATCATCTTGATAGTTCTGGTTACGAGGAAAACCGGAGGTGAAGTTGAATGAAGACATGCTGGATAGTATGTCTTCTGATTTTAGGATTTTGCTTGTTTGATAGAAAATTAAGATTCTAAGAATTTCTCGAGTGTCTAGAGTTATTGATCTTTTGTGAATGAAAGAATCACAATCAAGAATCGTAAAAAATGGTCTTAATAATTACTTCGTGCAGTGAGAAGATTCTTGGTGAAAGACTTGTAATCAAGATGAAGATAGCTTACAAGAAGAGTTTCTGAGAACAAGGTCGGGAATTGAAGAGCTTATGAAGAGAATGATATGAAGGGGTACTGTTACGTTGTTGGACATCGCTTAGTGTTGAGGAAAAACCGTATGAATAGGGGTACAGCTTTGGTTTTGGAGAGATTGTATGATTGATAGGAAGGGCTCGATATCTACGCTGTAAATAGGTATGCCAGGTGTTGAGAAAAAGCCGTACTGATACGAGTACTGCTTTATTGACGACTGAAGGTTACCCAGCGGCTTTATCGCAGCTGGATTGAGGAGGTACTGCTCATTGTTGGAAAGATACATGGCTGGAAATATAAAGTATGAAATGAGACTAAATTCTACAGTAAAAAGTAGTATAGAAGACTGATATAGCATTGTTTAGTCTAGAGATAATGGTATCACAGCCCTAATTTGAGGAAAATTTCAACCTCAAAAGTTCGAATGACACTTAGGCGAATATCAAAGAATTCTGATATATACATGCTTTGATTTGATATATTGGCAATATGAGACCTGAAAAAGAATAATATATATATATATTGAGAGTTTCACAGCGGACATATCGCAGTGTTCATCAGTTTGTTTGGACCCATGCCATAGAATAAGCATATCTAGCCTTTTGATTGCTAATAAGAAAACTACTAAGTGTACATTGTCTATCAGAGTGCAAAAGTTATTCACTATAGTGAAAATGAGTACAATGTACTTAACTACCCGGCCGTTGATAAAATTCAACCAAAATTATATATAGCATGAAGAATTGTTTAGATGTGGTCCTTCTGACTTTCTATGGATTTAACACTTACTCATGATTGTCCCTACCAACTCCCTCATCTTCGAGTCTTTCTTTTTATGGATATAAAACCATACAATCATTTTGAAGCACTGATACTAAGTGAATGAAGCTCTTCTCGAATATTTTTGGTCCATACAGATAGTCTACTGTATTAGAGACAAAAGTTGTTACACATAATTCTTGTTTTGACCATTGCTTATACAGCTAATAAGAGACAAAGCTAATACACGACTAGGTGCGTACAAAAAAGTCTGAGGAATAAAGGATGTTCGAGACAGATCGTAAATCATCTGAGCAGTACCTTCCTACTCCATTCAACTATTCACAAGGAACTTTCAACAAACAAGCATCTAATTCACAGTATCTAAAGACCTTATTGTCTACACGTGGTCTTACCAACCTTGAATACCCCCTAATCACTCCCGAATCTTCTCCCAGATGGTCAAAATGAACTATCATTCAAATCCCCTAAGAGCTGACCCGTCTGGACCCATGCTCCCGATTACATATGATGCAAATATGAATCCTCGAAATGTATTCTTGCTTGATGGTAAGCATTTTCAGTGCTCTATTTTGAACACACTCACTACTTCGACGACTTAGGACCTATCAAACTAACCACGACTCCTTTAGGTAAAACACCAGCCTCTGTCCAGGAAAGATTAGCCGCAGTCTTGGAAGATAATCGCCGACGTAAAGCAGGACAATCAGAGAACGCTTACCAGTTTTCCCAGAGTAATGTCTCCCATACAAATCAACCTGATCATCAGTTTCAAATTCGAGGCAACTTGGCTCAATCTTATGCTCAGCACCAAGACGCCGAGTCATATGATTATAATATTAATCGAGATTTGCGATATGAGGGCAGTCAGCTCGAAATTCTCATCGGAGCTTCATGATCCAGCCGAGTATGAACACTTACACACACTCATTATCCAATAACGACTTTGCGAAGAGAGGTGGGGATTATATGGCTAGACACCATGTTATTTCCGGAAATACCTCCGAATACGTAGCATATAATCAGGCTGGACAGCGAAGAGCTCCCCCAAACAGATCTTCTTTTGGACCAGCAGCAGAAAATAGAGCAGTATCACTCCAGTATACCAACTTAGACCCTAATGAGCCACAGATTCTCTTAAAACAAGTTGGAGAGCACACAATTCCTAGCACCGATCTAATTATTCCGGAAGCTCTAAAGTATTCTCAGGCTCGACATCCTTCTTTTCAAAAGAATAGAAGACCTAGTGATGGAGGACATATATGGAACAACTATAATCATTTTGCCGGACCCCAACAGCAACGAACATACCGCCAATCTTCTAATCAGCAAAGTGCTAGGCCCTAATATATAGAGAATAGTAGACATACTAATGTATATAATCCGGTAGATCTATACGACGAAGAAGCTTGGGCACAACGACGACACGAAACTGGACAAATTTCACCTCCGATCAACTACTTTACTCAATTTGCATCTTTCAGCGCGTCTTATTCCGGTAGCGTCACTCCCACCTACACCCCTCTCCAAAGCACAAATCATGATATACAAACCCCAAATTTTCCACTAGCACCCTATTATCCCTCCGATAAAACACATCAATTCGATAACCGAGTCCAATCTTATAATCCTCACACCATAACGTCCATGAACGCCGAACTCGACCTCCCCCCCTCCATCGATCCCTACGCCTCTCAATTTAGTCTTGCCCCCTCCCGCAAGCTCCAACGATGAAACGGCTCATTCGTTCCCTCAGAAGAAGACTCTCAGACCTCCTCCGGAAATTACAAAGGTAATCCGCGCGCCGGCATTCGCGGACTTTCCGATCATCTCAACTGTGCCCTCTGGCTCACCAATCTCGCGGCTGACATTCAAGCACACGAAGTTTTCGACGAAATCCATATCGGTGCCGTTACTGCCTTTGAAATCACTCGTCCGCAGGGAGATTACATCATGTCTGCCGCAAAACTCGTCTTCAAACATCCTGAAGCCGCAGCCCGGTTCAAAGACCAATGCGAAAGTGAAGAAGGAGTGGTTATTCGCGGACGCAGAGTCAACGCACGTTACAAACACATTCGGATATCGTCAGTATAAGAGTGAAGGTAAAACTCGTATGATATCTATTGAAGGTCCAAGTCGCTACGTAATATATGATCATTTCAAGGTATTTTTTGAAACCTTTTGCGATCATGAGTTGTCCGGTTGGGAATATGTTGAGACGGCTGTGAAAGGAAATCGAAAGATGATTATGGGGTTTGCGAGGATTAATGGACAAGCGACGCAGTGTTTGGAGGCGTTGCAGATGCATCCTGTTTATGGAGTACATTTGATTGTGGAGTATGCACCGGATCCTTGTGCGAGGGATTTCCCGTAAGCGGGAGGTGAGTTGTTGGGAGAGAAGAAGAGAGCTGAGAGTGTGGAGGTTGGATGGTAGAAGTATTGTCAAAATCAGATGAGTTTGATATATTTGAATGATGGCAGTTAGTTGGCTGAGATTCACTATCCAGCTCAAAGTTCTTTCGATGGGCTGGTGTTGTTGCAAAAATGGCTCTGTCCAGAGACCTACCTCCCAAGAAGAAAGCATTTATGAAAAGGTCTATTAGATACAATTCTGACATATCAACAGCTATGAATTGCTAAATCCCTGATTTTTCGATGCAGGATTAGACAAGCTTCCCCAAGTGATATCGTGAAATCCGCAAATTACTATACTATATGACTATACTACCTTCAACCCTCATCATACTCTCTGTTTATGCGACCATATTTGTATATGAGTAGTAATCCCATAACCTATGCGGGTATTTAGATGCTAATGCTGAAGATTATTGTGAAAAAAAAATAGCTGGTTCTGTCTGGCATCCTAGTGCCTCATTGATTCCTCGATCAAGTACTCAAAAGGGAAAGGAAATGTAGAGATTGCGGCTCGTGAAGTTAGTAGGCATGTTTTATATATCGTTCTTTATAATCTAGGCACTAAGAACTGTATTGCTGCATGAGTAGATTGTTTGATGCGAGTATTAGTTAAAAGTAGATGACTGGAGCTTCGATCGGGATTACTTATAATACGAATGTTTCTTTTGCATCTCTATTTTTATAGCTTGGTTTAATACAACCTTGATATCAAGTATTATAGACGCAAGTGTAAAACCAGGAAGATCATCTACCGTGCTATATACGTTCAATTACATCCCTTAGCTTTGCTCGTAATGAAACGCCATTGTCGCTTGCTTATATCACTAGGGAGAAGATGAAGACTGTGAGAAAAGTTTCTGTCATTGCATTAGGATTACCCAGAATGAGAAGGTGATGATAGTGCGTAGCATTCGACGGGGTTCGAAAAGTTAAAAGATTCAAAATTCAAAATTCAAACAAATTACAATAAAATGGTGGATTTTTAAATTATTTTTGGTGAATTTTCTGTCTTTCTAACTAATACATTCTCCACACCTATGGCCATCTAATACGAGAATTACCTCAATTAAATTTCCAATTTTTGAATATTTAGACAAAGGAAATAACCCTGTAGGAGGAAAGTTCGGTGTATGTATCCAAAAGCTCATCGAGTCCAGTAGGACAGAAGCAATTTCAATACCAGCATGAAGATTTGCTGCCGATGTATTACAGTTTCCTGGTCTGTAAGTTCTGAGGGATATTCTAACCGTTTTTTTGTATGTCTTTGTGTTTTCGAAAATCATTCGCCAACATTTAAATCTCTCCAGAATTATGGTCGGTGTATCTCCTTTTGTCAAGTTACCAGCTTTTGGATCTCGACGTTGGATTTGCATGGCACACCGTCGGCTCGAAACGTGAGAGAACTCGCTCTGTTGTTGTTCTATGTCACGAATACACTTGAGGAAATTTTGTTGTTCCCAATGCATCGGTATCGAAATTTATTGTCCATCAGTAACAAAGATCCAATATTCAGACCCGTTAGCCTATATCCTGATCGCTCCCATACTCAAACATTCAAATTGAACCCATCGGATCCCTCCACCCCCTCACTCAATCGCCTGCATCTCAATTAGACCTCATTAAAGTCGATTCCGTATCGGACATTCACCTGTCCTAAGAATGACATATCCTTCTGAATTGCCTGGTAGCAAGTCTGTGCCTGTCCTGCAATTCGAACGAATTCAAACCTTGTACATGCAAATCCATACTTCCTGCATGGCATTGGAGTGACAGAAATGACGATGTACTTGCACCAACTTCCGAAGTAGCCATGCCAGAAAGCTTCATCAAGTTGTTGAGGTGCTTCGATTTCCAGGAAGCGAGTCTCAGGGCCCTTCCACTCGTATGCGCCGTAATCATTGTACCAGACCTTGATCTTACGGCCACGAATGCGAAGACCACCCTTGTTGCGAGCACGACGGTAAAGCTCCGCACCAGCCGCGTTGGTCTTGAAAGTCGCCTTGGCGGCTTGTGTAGTATGGCCATTTTGAGGTCTGACCATAGAAAGCGCAGCAACGGCACCACAATCAAGGATCTGCATGAACTCAGCATATCCGACTTCCTCTGGAATGTTGATGATCCACATGCAACAGTTGATGTGTTCCGGAAGATCAAGCAGATCAGGATGATTCTCGTCACCCTCGTAGTTAGTATCTTGGCGAGACTTGTCTGGGATCATACCTTGCTCACGGAGAAGCATATTGGTCGGACGGAACTTCTTTACCAAATGAGAGAGATCCGGAATTGTGACTTGTGGATTCATCATGCTATTATCCATGACCATCAGTGGAGGCTGGGAAGCAAATGCAGTTGTCGGCGCAACAGCTATACTTTGAGTGAAGTAGTCCATTGAAACTGGGAGGATCTCTGGGGCGACTTGGTTAAAGTCGCTGAATTCAGTTAATGAATCATCAATGAGGCCAGTGGTCATCTGTTCATCCTCAAAAATGGCGGGATGGTATGAAAAGTTACCAAAACCAGTCGACGCAGAAGCCATTCGAGTGTGCTGGCTCTTGTCAACAAAACTTCCAGATGCAGATGTCATCCGAGTATGGCCTGTGTATTGGGAGGCAGAAGTGTCGAAACTACGGTCCGCGGGGGTCCAGGTGTCAGTACCAGTAGTCGCAGAGAAACTCGTGTCGGTCCTCGTGTGGGCCGTTGACCTCGAATTGATACTTCTGGAACTGTTCATTGATCGAACAGTCCTCAGATGTTGCGGTGCTGGTTGAGCTAGTTGAGCTGGTTGAGTTGGCTGAGCTACCTGGACTGGCTGAGATACCTGGACTGGCTGAGCTACCTGGACTGGCTGAGATACCTGGACTGGCTGAGCTACCTGAGATGGCTGAGCTACCTGAGATGGCTGAGATGGCTGAGTTGGCTGTGCTGCATAGACAAAACCGACAGCGGCAATACCTTCACGAGGAGTGTTGGATGGGACGACCACAGATGCATTCCGAGATGAGCGCGGAGAGACCGGAAAGAATTGCTGATGGGTACCAGTGGGTGAGATGAAGAAAGGTACTGCTCCATCACCACGACTCAGAAATGCTCTGAACAATTTGGTGTCATTTGAGCGGGGGGTCTTACCCAGTGTTGATGATGGACTCGAAACATTCTTGGAGCCCATCATCCGATTAGAAGCGCCATTTGCCGGCGTCCATTTGGGCAAAGCATTTCCAAATAGACTCAATGGCGATTTCTTTCGATTGGCATTAGTGACAGTACTCTGTGGAGCTGTCATTCGGTGTCGAGACTCGAACATATCGTGCCATCGCGAGCGCTTTGGAGGAGAATTTTTGACAGTTTCATCAAGAGTCATCGCTCCCGCGAATCTTTGGCCCAGTGTCTCACTTTCGACTTCAAATTCATTCTCTTCATCCTGATCATGCTCTGCTTGAATGGCGAGGCCTTCGAGACATTGGACATGATTTGTTGTGACTCGAGAAGGAGCAGGATTATCTCTGGCGGTGATTGTGTTATCTGACTCAAGGTTAGTCACGTTACTTAGATAAAAACTTGGTAGAAGGGAAACATACCACTAGCTTTGGATGATGTACTTGACCGAGCTCCCGTTTCTAATTTGCTTTGAGGTTTGCGATTCTTGGTGGAGTTCTCAGTTGACAGGGTGCGGCCATTATACCAAGATTTTGAGACTGTGATATCCATCTTGAATTGAATCAATCAAGAAGATTAGTTGGTGTTTACTGATCTCTTTAAGAGAAAAACGAGCGTTGATTAACGAGAGAATTATTGGAAGGCAACAAGTATAGAAATCTCTTTCTAAACTGTTAGATACAATAGTGAGATATTTCTAACTCCGAGAAAAGACTTCCAGGTTGTATGGAGTTGTTGCCCAGAAGGGATTTCAAGAAAAATTGTGGGAAATAAATGAATGTGCAAAGAAACCACGAGGAAAGTCGTTGAAAATAACTTGGTAGTTAGATGGAAGTTTGGGAGGATGGAAGACTTTAAACAAATAAAACTTCTGCTACCCGAGCAAAGTGCGCGCAACTTCAATTTACAGCCGTATCCGAATGCTCTAAAACCTGCATTGAATTAAATATAAGATTGTGTACGGCTCACATTGGAAGAGTGAATATATTGATGTCATTAGACAACTCCCATTTTAGTATAGATTAGCTAACACATATCTGCCTACTTTCCCAACGTCTAAGGTAAGCGAATCATTAATCATTTCTATATCTTGAAAAAATAAGGTAGACAAAGCTAGCTTGGCTTGGCAATATTTACTGAAACTCAAGGCAGAAAAATTGAGCTGGTGAGGAACAGTACGATTCAAGGCGCTCATATCTTGGCACCTCTGTTTCGACTATAAATTGAAATTAGATTATATGATAAGCCTCGGGTGGCTGTGATACGATGAAAATGTTGGAAAACTAACTTAAAGAATGATATCATTGAGCAAGTTATCCTATGTAGAGTATTATTCAATTAGACTCAATGATATGATTTTTTTGATACAGAAGACAAGAATTTTACATGGTTTCAAAAAGAGAATTTAGGACAGCAGACTTTTCAGAATTTCGAGAGGGAAGTGCAGTTGGAGCAGAAGTCGAACCATTTTTATACTATTAAATGACGATCTTGATCTTCGTTCGCTTGCCTTCTAGACCGTCTTCTTAGAAGAATTCCAAAAGTTAACAGATAGATAGGTAATTAACGGACTCACACAGACAGAGTAATAACCATGGGTGCCTCTGCTTCATAACCATAGGCCAAATTTCATATATCACTTCATTCGATATTGTATATTCACTTTTTTTTTCTCAAAACTTTGACACATAATATTCTCCAACGGCTGTATGTTCAAAGAGCAAGATAAGAAATCCACTTCCTCTTTTGAAACACGAATCTAGACAGTTTCTTTGAAGTCGTGAATTAGGATTCAGGCGCAGCCAAGACTTAACCGAGGATTACCTCAACTCAAATCAACCAAGCCTACCGATTCACTGATAAATAATGACTCCAGTTACCAATCACGGGTTAGGAATTCTGGAATTCATCCAAATGTATAAGAAATTCCCAGCGCCGTGTATAGGGGCATAGTTTTGGATGGATCTTATGAGATGAATGTATGCTGCACTATAAACTGTGTGCCATTTCGCATAATTACACCCGCAAACGATATGAAGTCTAATTGCGAGAATAGATTCGAAGAGAATATCTATCTCTATCAGCTGTAAAGCTTCAGTTCGCAATAATCAGAGGAGGAGAGCGGCGCAGTTTTCAATTGATGTGACAATTATTTAATCACCCACTTGCTCAAAGAAAGGAAGTTATATCACAAACAAAAATGACTTCAAGAACATAAGTACTCTAGTTTGATTTCAATATACTTATTATAAAGAAATCGCTACCTCTATTCTCTTTGCACTATATATCTAGAATTTTCACCAAGCATGTTCAGTGATGCGAGTCTTTGTTCGTTCTGGACCAAAGTCTCCTGCCATTCGTACCCACTCAGCCCTTCCAAAACCTCATTCATTACACCATGATTAATCTATTGAAGGTCAATCATCTAAGAGGCAAGGTATCCCAGTCTCTTCCACAAGGATCTGGCCCATATTTACAGAACACCTTACCCTCAAACTGAGGATCATGGATGATAGCTATCAAGATGGACTGAGCCTGCGCTTCGATTCTAGCAAAGCGGAACTCCATGGCCCTTGTGACCTTGTTTTTTGGGTCAAATGGCAAGTAAGAAACGTGATCAATTTGATATCTCGTGACCTTGCCAAAATATCTTCTCCAGAAACTCTCAGTCATGAGTTTATAGGGTCCATGAATATGTATCACTCGGCTTTGATGTTCCTGGGCGTGTTCAACCATGCCGTAGTCATTATAGACGGCAGCGAGATGATGATCGCGAATTTGAACCCCCAGAAGACTATTCACTAGTGCCATAAACCTAGCAGCTCCTTCGGCATATTTGAAGGTGATTTTGGCAGCGGAGAATGGACGTCCCGGAATGGGGTCGTTGATATGAACGGATACCAGGGACCCGGTGGTAATGACCGCAAAAATCTCCTTATACTTGACATCTTCTGGGAGATGACTGACAAATACTGAGCAGTTCAGATTGTCAGGGAGACCTCTGATTGCCTTGGTGCCTTGTCCAGTCGCCTTGTAATTGGTTTCAGTCGATGGCAATCTGCCGCGATCACTCAGTGTTGTTAAGCCAGTAGGACCGTTCGTTGAAGAACTTGGCACGCGAGCATTAGAATGTGGTTTGTAAGAGCCTCCAGTAAATATTTGTCTGCCCATACTGGAGTCCCCCTGCCATTGTGAGCCGTCTTCAGACTGGTTTCCGTGGCTGGCTTTGCCTCTACCCGGGAGAGTCTTCGACTGAAGAACAACAGAATCGGATTGTGATCGCGAGTGTGAGTTATCAGGACCGCCTCTCTTGTGAGGTAGGATGTACGTCATGCTCGCGATAGACTCTGAATCTTTGGGGGACCTCAGGGATGCCAGATATGGCTGGTCGAGATCGTCAGCATGTTTGGCGATTTGGCTCCCCTTATCATCTTCGGAGTTGTAGATGTCTTCCTTATCATAATCATTTATGACTTGGTCATCAGTGCTTCTGAGGGTCTCTGTATCGCTATAATCTCCGGTGAAAGCCTCTGGTAGTGCATGCAACCATGAGTACAATGGGGCTGGATAGTTTCTCGTATCAGTATTTCTGACACGATCAGGAGTATCATCAACCCTAAAACAAGACTTGTAATCTACTTCCCCAAACATCAAGTATTCAAATTTGAAGTATCCAAATGCTGGGTGATACATTGGGGCGGAAGAGAGCCAATTTCGGCACGCAAGTTCAAAGGATGATCTGTTACCATGAATCATGCTTTTGGTTAAGCTGAGATCAAGAAACGATTTCATCACTAGGCAGATATGTTAATTGGCAAATTCTATAAAGAACGATAGGAAACTTACCAGGTTTCCTCAGGTGGACGGGCTCAACATCTTCGGCCGCATCTTCTTCCCCTGCTAGACCTTCTTGATACGCAGTGCCTGCATCGCGTACTAGGTCTTGTCCCGTCATATAAATATGACGATGGAGATCTCCAAGATAATATCCCGGTGCTAATTGGATCAATTCCTTCTTGAATGCCAATGAAGCGGCATCTGTTCCTCGGAAAGCATTCATCTTGTTCATTGTGTGAAAAGAATAGTTCTGTTTGGGAAGTTTGAAAATGTTTTTGAATTGCTTGAACAGAAAAGAAAAGTAGACAAGTAACAGGGTATATGTGAGTTGCTATTTGAGGATTTTGAAAAGAGATTCGAGAATCTTGTTGATGTCAAGATAACAAGGAGTAAAAACTCAGGATTTGTTGATTGAGAAACTAAACCTCGAAGAAACTTCAAGCCTTTATACTATTCAAAGTCTTTCAAGAAAATCATGAGTCTCTCTTTTGACCGTACAATAAACAGAATAAGAAGCACTTGGAAGCTTAACATGACAGTACCAGTCATTATGCTCCAACCAGAAACTCGACTCTGTTCTCAAGACAATTCTCATGTGAAGTGAGACTTCAGAACCGTAGCGGATACTGCTGGATGAGTACCATAACAGTGGAACAAGATCATTATTCGTAGATATCACAGAGATATACTTGAAATATGCAATGAGAAACTGATAGCATAGATCCAACACTTGTCTTCATGGGAACATCTAAAGATATTGCTTAAGGTTGGTAAGGTACTTTAATAGTTACCAACTGACTGCTGGATAAATTCTATAACAGTAAAACAAGATCATGATCCAAGAACAGTATAAAGAAACACTAAAGAAGTACTTAGAAAATACTTAAAACATACAGATAGAAACTGACAGTATAGCTCTAACATTCTCTCCATGAGAAAATTCAAAGATATGGTTTAAGAATGATAAAGCACATTACTAGGACCGACTGACAGTCTTGGTCAGAGGGTAGTCGGTACCCCCTTTTTATCCTTCTTAAAACGATTTACCACTTGAAAATGTTAAAATCGTGGTTCTACGTGGAAGATCATGCAAGACTGACAGTAAAACTATGCAAATGTGTGAAGTGAGAACATGATCTTATCCAAAGATACATTCCATAATAAAAGCAAGAGTAAAAGCATTTCCATCAAAGTTAAAAGTGTGATAAGGTATACCCCTATATTCAACTAAAACCCCTCAACAAATCAACCCACCTATTCAAGAAAATCCACAAAAATCACACAATCAAAAAATTCAAAAATCATCAAAACACATCCCCAGACCGAGCAAAAAAACATGAAAGAAAGAGATCTTTTCTAAACATCGCTAGGTTCTCTCCTCTTCTTGTATGACTTGAAACACGCAAATTAACATTTTTCTCGCTTATTGAATATGGCCTCATGCTCCTGTCACGAGGCCCCAAAACAATCTTTCCGCATTGAACAGCTGCAGTAACAAAGTATGGGAAGAAGTTCCTTGTGATAGAGATGGATTGGTAAATCCGTTTGATTGGACTCTTTGTACCAATTAGATATAAATGTTGACTGTGATGTGATCATACATGATACTAAAAAACCACGCACCCATCAATCATACAATCATTACTCGCTCTTCAATGCACTTACGCTCCATTTCAATCAATTCAATCTTCTGGCTCATTCTTAATTTTTACTTCCCCCGCATCATCCAGATCAGCCAAACCCCTCACTCTCCCCTTACCCATAACCGTCTCCGCCAAAACCACCGTCTCAATCCCCCTATCTCTCTCATCCACCGGCCCCATCGGCAACGCATCAACATCAATTTCCATCCCGAGCAGACTTTTCAGAATAACCTCACTACCCGCCTTACTCATGACCTCATTTGCATGTTTACAGTTCTCACTCGCAACACACTCTACACAGCCTTCATAACAATGACAACCCTCTACTCTTCTCAAAGCTTGTTTGAGTAGCAAATCAATAAATTCAAAAGCCTTAGTACTAATACCCGAGCCCGATGCTCCACCTTTAGCATCGTAGAAAGTAAGACGAGCAGGACGTTTCCTAGTAGTTTCTTTTTGAGCGAAATCTTTCACGGCGATTTTACATTCCGTGCGGACATCTCCGGGCATACTTATTACGAAATTGGGCATGAGTGATAGGACTGCGTGTTCTGCTGCATGAATAGCACCAGCGATATTGAGACGTTTTTCGACGAGGATCTCGAGAGCGAGTTTAGGAACATCGAGCCACATTCCCTTACTATGGAGAATGATAGGCGGATTGTCTACTTGAATGGCATCGAGAATGCGTCTCTTCTTATCGAGTTTGAAGAAGCCAAAGACATTTTGCTGGATCTTGATAGCGCCGAAAAAGGCACGAGAGAGGGAGTTGGGAATGCGGCGGATAGCTTCGGTTTCGATTGGGTCGATATCAGTGTAGTCGCGCTGTTGAGTTGTCCAGTCGACCTTGACAAGTTCAACTTTGGCGATCTTTCGCTCAGGCGAGAACTCTTTGACAAGATACGTATTTCCTTGGTGGAGGAATATACCACCATCGTAGAGTGTAAAGAACGCTCGAGAAGCTTCTAGTTCTTCCAAAACAATATTCTTACCATGGCTGATATCGATAATGGCAAAATGATCCTCCTCAGTGTCTCGAATTGCGACCAATTTCGACGGAGTGGGTCTATATCGTTCGCTGCAATGGTAGAAACCAAGCTCGTCTTTTACCAGTCGCTCTTCCGCTACCTCGGCCAAGTTTTTAGGAAAGTAAATTGCATCTTCATCTGGACGGATGGGCATTTCAAACGCGGCGCATTGAACGTGGCCTTCAAGTACTAGCATATTCTGCAAGTCGACCTGTAGCTCACAATTTGGCTTGGTGAAGATCTCATCCGGATTATTCATATAGTACTGATCACTAGGGAAGCAATCACCAATCAAAACTGATAGCGAATCCTTGTTTCTCCGTCCAGCTCTTCCGCTCTGCTGCCGCAGATTCGCAATCGTATATGGAAACCCCACGGTTAGAACAGCATCCAAAGATCCGATATCCACACCAAGTTCCAGAGCCGTTGTTGCAATAATACCCATTAGTTTCCCCTCAAACATCTCGCTTTCGATTCGTCTTCTATCTTGTGGTGTATATCCACCTCTATATCCCATCACACGAGCCATACATTCAGGACGTCCCAAGGTAGCCAGTTCCTCTTTCACAGCACCAACCAAAGCTTCACATTGTCTTCGAACACGGCAAAAGGCTATAACTCGAACTCCTCGGAGAATCAACTGGCAAAATAATCTAGCAGCCTCAGCTCGTGTGTCTCCACGCCCACTTGCAGGATCTGCAGGATCCTTGAAAGGTGTATTCCAACAAAGAAACTCCTTCCTACCAGAAGGTGACCCATCAAAATCTGTCATTCGTACATTTTCAATCCCAAATATTGTTTTGAAATGCTCCATAGGGTTTGCAACCGTAGCAGAACAAGATATGAACTTAATGCGTCGATTGCCTAATGCCGCGCAAATTCTTCTCAGCCGTCTCATTATGAAAGCTACGTGAGAACCAAATAGTCCATTATAGACGTGAATTTCATCGACGACAACAAACTTGAGGTTCTGCAAAAAGGTTCGCCACTTGTCCTCTTGTGGAAGAATGGTGATGTGTAGCATATCTGGATTCGTGAATATGATTCTACCCTCATCGCGTATCATATTTCGATCCTTCATTTCTGTATCCCCATCAAAAGTCTCCACAATAGCTTCCTCAAGACCGGTCATGAATCTCATCATCTCCTTCAGACTTCTCCTTTGATCTTGTGCTAGAGCTTTGGTGGGAAATATGTACATTGCTCTAGAATGCGGATCTTTTTCAAGCTCATGCAGAACGGGTATCTGATAGATCAGAGATTTTCCAGAACTCGTCGAGGTCGCTACAATAACATTATGTCCATCGTGAAGATTATTGATAGCTTCAGCTTGGTGAGCATAAAATTGCGTAATGTTCTTGGTATTGTACAAGGCATTAACCAGATTTTGACTCAGCACGAAATTCAAATCTCCATATATCGCTTCGTGAGGATCGAAGACACGATGCCCATCAGGTACAATTTGACCAGTATACCAATCGCTCTCTTTGATTTCCGTAATGATACTCGATATACTTACGCGTTCCTTAGGTATGCTTTTGGGTAGAACACTATGGTCTGGCTTCGGCGTGGTACTTCTTGATATTGACGGTATAGGAATTAATGGCTCAGCTTCTTTTAGTAAAGTTGCTTCTGCATCAACGCCATCTGCCTCGCATCGGTTAAGAAACGCATTGATTGCACTAACAAACTTTGTATTCCTCTTCTCAATTAGATTCATCATCTGCTTTTGACTGAAAACCGGCATCTTCAATTCCTCATCCTTTAATTTTCTGGTCGCCTTTACTGCTTCTCCCGTCTTCTTACTTTGCACTTGTCTCTTCAGATCACCATCTATGAATTCAAACAGTAGAACTTCCTTGCCCTCTCCATCTGCTCCTTCACCATACCCTAAACCTTCGACACCTGTGAGTCCTCCCACGGAAGCATCTGGAGCAGGTCCAGCAGCGTGCCAATTCTTCGCCCGCCCACCCTTGAAAGTCTCATCTCTTTCTGCGCCTCGAACATCCAATTGTAACATTGCCTCATCGACGTATGAGAAGTTCATTCCATTCGGGCGCAACGCCACTATCTGTGCAACATCCTCGACCCTGAGCTCCCGCTTTATATGTCCTTCAACCGCACTCTTGAGATTATCGAAAGTAGTTGCTAGATGCTTTCGTGTAGAGCAGAATGTATAGACTAAATTCAATGCTCGATGCGTCTTCTCGAGAGTTTGAAAAGAGAGAGGCCATGGAATGGCACTGGTTACCGGATTCGTGAATGAAGATTCATTTCGAGCGAGCGCAGGAGTGGCTTTCCCCTTCGATACCCGTCGTGGCTTTTTCCCACCATCATTTTCTTTCGTGGGAACAGTAATACTGCCAGTTGTCGCAAATATTCCTTGATCCTGCTCAACCGTGGATTCGAGGGACGTGGGCGAGGTAGCATCTGAATGCGCATCTTCGATATCTTTCCGTTTGCGCTTCCGAACTGGTTTGTTGGAAACTGTTACAGCCTGTAATTTGGCCATGTTTCAGGCGTTTCTGGCAATAGCTTTCACATGATGTTAAGTTTCAAGGGAATGGAGAAGCGTAAATGGGTGGCGTTCTCGCGATCGCGCTACTAAAACGCGGTATCACGTTATGACGCTAAAGCTGTTTGTCTCTCGATGACATAATCACGACTCACGCAGAAGTTCCCTCTCCTTTCAACATTCTTGATTTTGAATCTTATGTAGTAGACATTTCAATGATTTCATATATCCTCGCCCAAAACAAAAAGTACAGAATCCATCGACCATTGTATCCCCAAGAGAAGTATATAAAGACACGACCTAAGACATTACTCAATAATTCATCATTCCTTTTAATTCCACGAATAGCAATCTAAGTAATTTCAACCTCACATGTACAGCATATCCTAAAATCCCAAATCCCTATCCCTCACCCTAAACTGCTCCCTCAAATCATGACCTCAAAGCCATCCACCTAGCAATTTTAATCTCTGGAAAGGATTTCCTTCGCGCAATCTTTCATAGCCCGCCCAGTTAGCTTTTACTCAGCCAATCTCACGTAAGTCCCACACGCGTGTCTCTTTTTCGGTTAATTCAAGGGGATTAGTTTTCGAGTTAGTGATTACTTGCTACTTTGATGAACCTTACTATGATTTCAATATATGAAGTACTGTCAGAAGATAGATTATTTGAGAATAGAGCGGATTGATGTGTAATTCGTATGGGGATGGAGAGTATGTAGTAGCAATCGATTGTTGATTGATACTGGTCATATATCACATGGAAACATCTCCATGGAGGAGATAAGTGTGGGTATTCGAGAAATTTTTGCTTGCTTTGGAGTCATGAGGATAGAAAGTCATAGAGAGGATCTGAGAAGAATGGTCGAAGCCCGTATCAAGCAATTGATTTTTGTTCGAGGGGGTTTGTTATCCATATAAAAATGATTTTGTTTTCAATTCTTAAGTTTTAAGAACCTTGTTTGAGATTGCTTGAGAAGAGAACGTTTCAAGAAGTAATAAATTTCAAGATCAATTAGCTATGAGCGCTCCATGCCTGCCTGCCATTAATTCCTAACGATCCGTTCGTATTGCACCAGTATTACCAACTCATTTCCCTGTCCAAATTCCAAATCCATTCATCCAAGCCATAGAAAATACATAATGTAAAGACCGAGATAACCAATTCCGTTCCAGCAGAGTTGATTTAGTAGTAGAAAAACTTAAGAATAATAAAACCCATAACCCCTGTTAAAGCATGCCGCAGTACAAACAATCTTAGTCCAAACTCCTGCGTGGTTCCATCGTGAGCAATTTAGAAAAACAAAATAAAGTTGACCCACACATCGCGCACTATTACTCGAGTATATGAAGAGAGAACGAGGAAAGGGGGTAATTAGATGGCTCGGTTGAATCGGCGACGCATAAGCTTGATAGAGTCAGACTAGTCTTCACGTCAGCCTTCGCCCAAATTCTTACTTTCCCAACTCACATACCTCGCTCTTCCCCCCGTTTCACATCACCACTCTCCCAATGCCATCATTACAAATTCAATCTCCCCATGCCTTCTCCCAATTCTATTTCACAATCGCAACAAGCCTGCTTCATTGGCCAGATCTCCCAAACAACTTCCTCTAATCCTCTTGGGCATGTTAAATAGTTCGACATATCGTATCCTGAGCGTAGAGGATTGATTAGCAAGTTGTGAATATCGGTTGCATCTCAGTTCCCGCAACTAACCTGAACAAAAATCTATTTCCTTCAGAACGACGTGTCTTGGTGGGTGTATGAGTTGCAAGGGGACGAATTGGGATTGACAATGAGGCGAAGGGAAGGGCTGGATGTGGCGGATGCACATTCTAAGGGGATAGTGTGAAAAACAAAAGGCTAAAGAGAGCGAATATAAGAACGGAAGATGGCATTCAAAGCCAGGAATTTGAATTCAGAGGTCGAGGAAAGAGAGCGTAATACCCCGGCGGATGTGCTTCAAGATGACGCGTACGAAGAAATCTGTAGCTCTTCGACGTGTAGAATCTGATGGAATGGCATTTGGGTACCTACCCTCCTATGATTTTGTTGTGGAGAGTGAGTGTTAAATAAAAGTGTCGCAACGAGGAACGAATTTAGGGATGAGATTGAAGATCGACGAAACAAGAAGGAAATAAAATCGCGCACCCTCATTTATATGTTCATCTTTCCGTTGTGTAAAATGAGAATCTTAGACCAGTTCTCAACTACTACAATTTGTAACTCATATCCCATGATCCAAAGTTCAATATCGGATACCTTTATCATTGAGGAATGTGGAACAGGGTTTATGGGGTAGGAGTGGCTAGCGAGAAGCGAGAGAAGCTGATACCAGTTGACCGACGATTCAACGCGATGTCGCCTTAACAACGAGGTGCATCTTTTGATCAGTTCTTGCGTGGTTTCGTGTGGAGGTCTATTGTTTCGGCTGAAATTATGAAATTCTGTTTCAGAATAGAAGTTTCAGAGAAAGTGAGAACCTTTCAAAAAATGAGATGCAGTTTTCAATCACTTGTCATATGAGTTCATTCTGGCATATGTCCTGCCTATTGAAAACTCCCATCCTGCAGACTTCACATTCAGGTTGCACCCTTTATTATAAGGGGCTACTAAGGCTTTCCATCTCTCCGTTTCTCCACTGGAAATGTCATCAGTCACCATTGATGTGAGACCCCCAAAGGTTAAACTTTACCTCTGCTTCTGGATCGTGATTCAGCTTTTGGTAACTGAATTTGTTGGTGCTGGACCGAAGTATATTGAAATATAAACAATGTTTGGTAATGTTAAAAGACTAAGTGCGCCACGTGTCGGTTACTAGACCCTCACATCCACTATTTTGGTCATTCCGTTATCTCCGCTTCGACAACGGTATCGAGACTGGGGAAACTGATGGCACTAGACCCTCACTTCCACCAGTTTAGTTGTTTCACATCCACATCATCGAAAGCCAGGAGTGTATTGTGGAAACATATTCAACTAACAAGAATGGGCCTTCACTCCCGGTGTTGTGGTTGTTTCATAAGCTGACGCCCGCCGTATCCATAGCAGTGAATAGAGTTTGGACGATTGGATAACTCAAAGCAATTGTACGGCGTAGTAATCTCAAGCAAAAGGAATGGGGTCCGATTTGCGAGGTTTCTCGGTGGGTCAAATAGCGTTAAGTAATATTTGAGTTGGGTGAAGATTGGTTTCTTTGAGAGCAATCAGTAGCTGATCTCCTTGCTTCAGCAGTATTAAAAAAAATACAAGTATTTACCCTTGTATCATATGAGACATCATCACTCAAATGTCCGCAATCGTTTTGAGCGCCCACCTTCTTCATTCGCGAGCGTTTAAGATTCGGGCAAAGTGACCCATGGGCCATCGCTGAGAGCAAACTTGTAACAACCCTCACGAGACCTGATGTATTGATTATTGATTATCGGAAACTCTATTAGGTGTAGACAGACAACTTGTACTTTGACGTGAACAATTATAACGACCACCAAGTCGAAAAGGTACGCCAAAGAAGCGGACACTGAGGATTTCTCTTGAAATATTATTCCAATAATTGGAACATCTGGAGCATCGTAGCACAGAACAAGTACATAACCGACATCTTTGTGTAACCACTCACAAAGGGGGAAGCTTTCGGCACTCTACTTAGAGCGAGGACATTCCGATAGGGCCACTGGATACTCAACTAGATGGCGTATGGATACTCCTTGCCGCAAGATGTACAGCGTATAGGCATCTAACATGCACAAAGCTCTGTCGTAATTGGTGTTTGTAATCCGTAACTTTACATTGGATTTGTGGCGAGGCTCAATATTGGATGTGTTGTGATACCTGATACCAAACTTAGTATTGGATAAATAGAGAACCTGCATTGAAAGATAGAAGCGGCCCCTAATTCCGAAAGTTTATTGGTGATGTTGCGTTGTTGCACCAAAAGAACATGGGAGTCAGTGATCCTCGAACCATGTTCTTCCAATCATGAAAATACCAGGAAATCTGCATGCAACAAGAAAGCAGAACTTGGAGTTTCGACTTCGCTGATGTGTGGCAGGCAGTACATTTACTACAAAAAGATGACTTGCATCAATGTTGGTGATCATCATCAATCATGAACGAACCTTTTACGGCGAGATGTCAGTTTCGCTTGGCGGGAAGACGGGTAACCTAATGTCAAAGTTTAGTTCAGCCCACTTTTAACTTATCAAAGGACAGCGACAGCTTCTTCCTCCCAACGCCATAAATTCCCCTTGATAAAATAACATCTTTGAATATTGAAGATATTGTACATACGAATATTGCAAATATGGGAAGTATGGGATCTGAACAACAGAAAGTCAACATCTGGTTAGATTGTGATCCAGGTAAGTTTATCATCCCAAGATGAAACCCCCGCGATATCGGAACCACTCACTTACACTTTTTGCAGGCCACGATGTAAGTCTTATATCCACCTTCTTACATCACGTCTTCGTGTCTGTCAATGCGACGCATGTTGGATGCATAGAATGAGAGAACATGGGATGTTTTAGAGTTCAATAAGCTCCCTGTGCATTGCATTTATGCAAAAGTTAGAGATGTTGAAATGGATTTATGTGTAGTCACATGATCCATTCTCCAGATATAAGAAGTTGAGAATCGTTGAGCTGAGACAAATATTATGATGAAGAAAATAAATAGCTAATCAAATCAATAGGATGCATTCGCGATCCTTCTCTCAGCCTATCACCCCTCTCTAAGTCTCCTAGGAATCTCCACCGTCCACGGAAACTCCTCCATAAACCACACAACCTACAATGCCACCTCTCTCCTCACAGCCATATCGGCAACTCACATCCCCGTCTACCGGGGCTCAGGAGCTGGATTAGTACGCCCGGGTGTTCACGCTCCAGCGATCCATGGGGAATCTGGACTGGAAGGAACAGATCTTTTACCGACACCAGCTAAAGGGCCGGTTGATGAACCTGCGATTGATGCTATGGCCAAGGCGTTACTTGCTACACCAGCAGGCTCAGCATGGGTTGTTGCTACGGGTGCACTGACAAATATTGCCTTGTGCTTTCAGAAGTATGAGGGATTGGCTGAGCATATCAAGGGCGTCAGTATTATGGGTGGTTCTGTCGGGAACGGATTCACAAACGCGGTATTGGGACAAGTCGACCATAAAGAGCGGATTGGAAATTGGAGCGTCTGGGCCGAATTCAATATCTTGGTTGATCCCGAGGCCGCAGCATTTATTTTCGATCACTCAGTTCTGAAAACAAAGGCGGTGTTGATTCCATTGGATATCACTCATCAAGTTTTAGCCACGAAGGAAGTGCAGGATATGTTGAGGAATGGGAAGGAAGGAAAGGAGAATACTAAGTTGAGGACAATGTTGGTGGAGTTACTAACTTTTTTCGCCGCTACCTATGATAGAGTCTTTGGAATTAGTGAGGGACCACCATTGCATGATCCGTTGGCGGTGGCCGTTATCATGGATGGCATTTCGGGTGCGGAAATTCCGTTTTATGATTTTAAGGATGGCAGGAAGAGGGAGAGATTTGAGGTAAAGGTTGTTACTGAAGGAAGTCATGATGATGCCCAAAAAGGATCGGAGACCGGTAGAACGATTGTTAAATTGCTTCCCGAGGGAGAGGAGGGAGTCAAGATTCCAAGAGGCCTGGATATCAAGAGGTTTTGGGAGGTAGTAGAAGATTGTCTAGCTAGAGCTGATGCCGCGAATAAGGCAAACGGAATCGTATAGACAAATAGAAATTTAGACATTTATTTCCAGGTTGTTGTACTATGATCTTGAGATCTGTCTACCCATAATTTATAACTCCAAGACACGCTTATTGCGGCTTCAAATGACACCGTTGTTTAATCCAGAATTAACGCCGTTCGTATAGCAATGTGTTTCGATGCTGTAACAAGAAAATCAAAATCACTCCTTCGCGTCCTCTGTTGGCAATGCCTCTTCCGTAGTTGCGGTATCCTTCGCATCGTTCTTAGCTTTTGGCTCCCCATCGGCATCGAACCCAAGCTGATCCAATTCCCTGATCAACTCATTGATCTTGATAACCTTGGCAAATTGCTCTGGTAACAATTTTGCACCATCTTGTTGACTTTTTTCCTTCAATTCCTTGGCCTGCTTTAGTTTCTTCTTCAAATTTCTAGCTTTCTTCTCCCTCTCCGCTTCCAGATCAACCTCTTCTTTCTTTTCCTCTTCCCCATCCACATTTTGCTTCCCTTCCCTCCAGTTGTCCGCTTGACTTCCCTTCAGGTCCCCATTCCCATCCTTTGCATTCTCAGCAGCCTTCTTCCTTGCCTCTCTCCTCTTTGCATTTTTGTTGCTAGCTGCTGACCCCGGTGTAGTTGATTCGTCTTTTAAACTCTCAGCACCAGGTGGACCTCTACTAGCACGATTCTTGAAGTTTTCTGCTGTACGGTTTTTGTATACTTCGACATCCTCGGGGGGCTTGTAGCCTGGACGAATTTTTATTTCTTTGCGCTTTGTACCGTCGGCGCGCGTGGAGGAGGGAATGTGACGATCGCCCGTTTGAGTTTCGACGATGCCGGCTTTGGAGGGGGTGGGGACCGAGGGCATTTTCTGAGTTTGAGGGACGAGGCCCTTAGAATAGGGAGGAAATCTCTATGATGCGGATAGAGATAAATATAATATAGATATGGATTTTGAAAAATGCTGGGTCAAAAAATTGGTGAAGCACGTTGGTTATTGTAAAGGTAAACTTTAAACTTTATCAAACTTTACTACGAGTAGAATTGCTATGAGGCTGTCATACCAAAATTGTTACCCAATCATAAGTCAATCCCGCCCAAAGCTTTCAACCAATCAAAAGCTTTTTGATATGACCATCGGAATTTCACGTTGTTTTATCCCGGCTCAGCCAAAATTCGTCCGATTGCCCTACAACTTCAATTTACGGAATCACTTCACTCGATAAGCTGTCTACAATCTGCGATCAGAACTGATTCATTCGCCATGGTATGTTTACTCGTCGGGGCATTCTCGAGGTTGTTTGGAGTTGTGCTAATGGGTGAAATTGTAGTCTTCCGCAAGCCGTCCTCTTTACAAGTTAGTTACTCTTTCGATGCGATGCTATGCGATGCGCCCATCACCACGACATTTGTTATGGAGAGGGTGATCTGGAGATCGAAGGGCTAATGAAGATTGGAATATAGCTTCCTCTTCCGAAAGAACTATGTGTTCCTCGGTGCAGTATTTGGTGCTGCTTTTGGATTCGAGATGTATGTTTACATCCATTCGGAATGCCTGGAAAGGACTTGAACTGATGTATGTTAGGGCATACGATTCAATCACAGATCGAGTTTGGGACTCTATAAACAAGGGAGTAAGTTGCATTGCTAGAGAAGAGGTTAGGAAATGTGCTGATCACCGGGAAAGCGTCAATGGAAGGATATCAGAGCGAGATATGTTGAGGCTGCGGACGACGACGAATAGAGAGGTTTTGGTATAGATGGATGTGAGAGGAAAGAACCACGCCTTGATGGGGATATGCGGCTGTTAGAAAAAAAGAACCGGGGCGTCAGTATTGGGCAGGAAGCCTTCATGGAAAGTGTACAAAAGACAATCGACAACATAGAATCATACGGGCATAAAAGCAAGATCACTGACTGGTACAACGATGTCATTGCCTTCTGGTACTCTTCTCCTTCAAGCTCGTGACAAGAATAAGACACCCTTATGATGTGCAAGAATTACAAGTATTACAATTGCGGTTATTATATTCAATAGAGTGTTACGAGGAATGATTTCGTTCTTCATATCCATTTGGACATTCATGCATCATCAATGTCATGTTTGAACATTGAAGACTCTTATATGGCATCTGCATCTGAATAGCGACAGACTTCATGAATCTATGTTCAAATACAAAAACATCATACCTTGATCTAGCCATATGGACGATCTAATTGTACGATTTTAAGCCCAGACGTTAGATGTTGAGTTGTGAGGGTTGGTCTTTGTGGAAGCTCATGAAACGAAACACTTCCCCGCCGCAATTCATCCATCCTCCACAAATAAATCAAAACCTTTACAACGTCACTTATTTAAGTACCCAGATACTTACAATTCATATTGTGTATTATAAATCAAATTTATACCCACCTTTACATGTAATTCTCTCATCACACATAAAGTCTCTGGACTTGAAGGATTATATCTATACCAACACGCACTCACCTCGCCTCCTTTGCGGAAACTGCGATACCGATAACGATTCTTTATCAATGAACAAGCATACCACCACCATCATATAGTCAACGCGCACCAATTTGAGCAGAAGACAGGAACTTCTTCGTCTTGTCAGTTCCACAGAGGCATGGCGGAAGAATCTATGCCATCGAGGCAGCTCTGCGACTTCCTGAAAACATTGCCCCGCGTCCACCAGAACCGCTACACAGAAGCAGCGGAGCGTGATTTATTACAGAGTCTCTTCTGGTCATTGGCCGGCGGACAAAAAGAACACTTGAACCTTTTCTTTCCAGAAAACTCGAGGCCATCAGCTAGTGAAGTATGGAAGTTGAGGAAAGCGCAAGGAGGGACCGATGGCGACGAATTACAGAGGCGGCTCGAGGGAAAGTCTGCGGGCATATATTCAAGACAGGAGAAGCTACATACCGATGCAAAACTTGCAGTTCCGATGACACATGCGTACTCTGTAGTCGATGCTACGATTCCTCAGATCATACGGGCCATATGGTATATGTGAGTGTATCCTTGGGCAACAGCGGATGTTGCGACTGTGGAGATCCAGAAGCATGGCGTCTACCAGTACATTGCTCAATACATTCAGCACATGGACCTGGTGTAGAAGGTGAAGACAAAGGCAAAGCAGCAAGTCTGCCTGATGAATTGGTGGAAAGCATTCGAATGACCATCGGACGGGCTTTTGATTATATTTGCGATGTTATATCATGTTCGCCAGAACAGCTGCGATTACCCAAATCAAAGGAGTCGATACAACAGGATGAGAGGAGGTCTCGATTGACTTCGTCTTACTATAATGGAGATATCGTTGAGGATCCATGTGAATATGCACTTCTTCTCTGGAACGACGAGAAGCACACTGTCAATGAAGTTCGAGACCAGGTGGCAAGAGCTTGCAAGGTAACGAATGCCGAGGGTATGCAGCGAGCGCATGAAACTGATGATATTGGTCGAAGTGTCATCAAATATGATCACGACATTGACAAGCTTTTGAGAGTCTCAAGGGTTGTGGAACAGATCAAGGTCACAGTTACCATCCGTTCTGCTCGGGATACCTTCAGGGAGCAGATGTGTGGAACTATTATTGAATGGCTCAGTGACATTTCTGGCTGTAGTGTCGGTCCAGACCACAACATATTACGTCAGGTGGTTTGTGAAGAAATGCTCAAGGAGTGGAATCGTGGAAGTGAAGCTAGTAATGCAGACATAGGATTGAAGGGTATTGATGATCACGAAAGAGAGGAAATGTTGTGGTCAGATGCTGAAAATCGCGTGCTGAGGCATATTATAACAACAGACCGCCGAACTCAGGCTATGGCAGTAATGGCCGCCGTCGCTGCTACTGATTCAGACTCGGACGATACTGATAATGGAGATGATGATGACCTCAATGAAGCCAATATTGTTCGAATGCTTGAAAATGCGGACGAAGACGCTTCCAGTGATGAAGAAGTAGAACTTGTTCGTTTTGATCCGGCAGAGCCAACAGAGATAAGAATTATACAGCCGACCAGACAACCAGTTCCAGCACCTCAACAGGAAACTCAGACTGGAACGGAGACCGATAACGATGGAGATGTCGATATGATCGGTGGAGACGATGAAGCGTTAGAGGTACAAGAAGCTACTTTGGCTGGATATCCACCCCCACCCCCACCACCTCCTCCTGCCCCTCAAAGAGTCATCAGAGATCGTGATCTCACACCATCAGATTCTGATACTGCAGAAATGCAACCTCTCATATCAGACAACCTTTATGCAAAAGCCAAGATGGAGATTCCCAAGACTCCAGCGAATCCAGTAAAGAAAGAAATCGCAAAACCAGCTAGATACTGGCTTGAAAGCCCCCCTGGCTATACAGACAGGGAATCCGTACCTTTACATGAGGATTTGTGGCACAAATTACGATTAGACTGGCTGATTTTGTTCGACTTGAGGATGTGGAAAAAAGTTCGAGTTGATCTTCGTGAACTATACATCTCGACAGTCGTATCGATTCCAGAGTTCAAACGTGTGCTGGGTCTACGCTTTTCGGGTCTTTACACGACTCTCGCGCAACTTTATTTGATTGCCGACAGGGAACCAGATCACTCAATTATCAACATTTCTCTACAAATGTTGACAACGCCATCTATCACTGCGGAAATCGTGGAGAGAGGAAACTTCTTGACCAATTTAATGGCAATTCTTTACACCTTCCTTACCACGCGACAGGTTGGACATCCTTATGAGATCTTTCCAAATGCCACTTTGGCTTTTGACTCAGGCTCTGTAACAAATCGAAGAATGTACCACTTTTTCATGGATTTGAAATATTTGTTCGGTTCAGAGCACGTGCAAGAAAAGCTACGTACCGAAGAAAGATACATGCTGCAGTTTTTGGACTTGGTCAAACTCCATCAAGGTATTTGTCCTAACATCAGGGCTGTTGGTGAACATGTAGAATATGAAACGGATGCTTGGATTAGTGCATCTTTGATTACACGGGAGATCAATCGACTGTGTAGACAATTCTCGGAGTCTTTCAAGTGGGTTCCTGGCGAATCGACAGAGCCTGTCTGCAGGGCAATTCGGACTGCAGCAAAGGCAGTTATTCTCAGCTCTCTGGGCACTGAGAGAAAGCGATTTACTCAGGCAGAGATCAAGGACGAGATTAAATTCAAGAAAGTGGGTGATTACGAATTTGATACTACCGAACAATCGAACAGCGTCGTTCAGCATTCAGTCGTCAAGTTCGTGGTAGAGTCACAACCTATTAGTTTTCATCATGCTCTCCACTACACTCTATCCTGGCTCATTGAGTGTGGAAAGAGTATGCCTCGTGAACAGCTCATCCAACTATTAAGCTTTACTACACAAGAACTTCTTCAAAAACCTAAGCCCATGGGACAAAGAACTATGCCAAGTCAAGAATACTCGCCAGAAGATCATTTGATGGCAGCGTTTGATTATCCTCTGCGAGTATGTGCGTGGTTGGCGCAAATGAAAGCTAACATGTGGGTTCGAAACGGTATGAGTCTTCGTCACCAACAAGGTACATACCGTGGAGTTACTCTACGTGATGTATCCCACCACAGAGATATCTTCCTTCTTCAAACCGCCATGGTTGTATGTTCACCTGCTCGTATGCTCGTTTCAATCATTGATCGATTTGGTCTTGAGCAATGGATGAAAGGTCTATATGAAGTAAAGTCAGATGGAGTTGATGATGGCCAGATTCTTGATATCGCAGAGGATTTAATCCATCTTCTCATTGTCTTGATCAGCGACAGGACGTCCTTAGTTTCGAATGGTGATGACCCTGGTTCTCATATAATGGCCATGCGTCGAGATATCGCCCATGTACTTTGCTTCAAACCCCTATCATTCACAGAGATTTGTGGGAAGCTACCCGATAAATTCCAAGACCAGGAAGAGTGTCAAGATATCCTTGACGAGATGACAAATTTCAAACCTCCCGAGGGACTCAATGATGTTGGAACCTTTGAGCTTAAGGAACAGTATTTGGAAGATATCGATCCTTACATCGCTCATTACAGCAAAAATCAAAGAGAGGAATCGGAGAATACTTACAAAGCTTGGGTAGCAAAGAAGACAGGAAGACCACCTGCCGAAATTGTCTTTGAGCCTAAACTACGTTCCATTGAGTCTGGTGCTTTCTCAGATCTCGCGGCTTTCACTCGAACAGGCATTTTTGCTCAAATCATCTACTATGCTCTTCTTTATCCTTTAATGGCGGATAAGCTTACACCTACTGTACCTGTAACGCGTGTGGAGGCATTTTTGCACGTAGTTCTACATCTAGTTCTTATTGCGGTATCGGAGGATAGGACAGACGAGGACGAGATGTCAGAAGAGTCTCTTGAGTCGTTCGTCTACATTGCGCTTACCAGCAATGCACGAAGCAATTTTTCACCTAGCTCCCCGGCCTCGAAGACAATCGTTGCCATTCTGGAAATGTTGTCGCGAAAAGAGGAATTCAAAACTTGCCACCCAAAGATTACTCTAGTGCTGAAGAGAATGAAGCAAAAGCGACCTAGAAATTTCGAGACTGCCTTTTCGCGATTAGGTGTTCCAATTGATAGAATTTCTACAGCTTCGCCTGCAAACAACAATGCACTCGAAGATAAGGAGAAGAAGAAGCAAGCTGCATTAGAACGTCAAAAGAGGGTCATGGCCCAGTTTCAACAACAGCAAAAGAACTTCCTCGACAACCAAGGAGATATTGATTGGGGCGAAGATGATATCAGTGATTCAGATATGGAATCCGAAGGCGAGAGTTCGAAGAATTATTATCAATATCCCTCGGGAACATGTATTCTTTGTCAGGAAGAAACTAAGGATGGTCGTCTTTACGGAACTTTTGCATTGATGACTACCAGTTCGGTCTTGCGGCAAACTGATATGTCCGACGCAGACTTTGTTCGAGAAGCTGCGAATGTCCCTTCAAATTTAGACAAGTCCGCAGAAGATATTCGGCCATTTGGTGTCTCGGGTGAGAATAAGGAGCAAGTTCACAAAGTTACCTCTAGTGGGGTAGATATTGTCACGGAACGTTCATTCATCGGAAAAGGATTTCCTTCAAAGTTCATAAGACCTGGTCCGGTGTCTGTCGGATGTGGACATATCATGCATTACAAGTGTTTTGAAGTCTACTATGAAGCTTCAAACAGACGACATCAACACCAAATTGCTCGACATCATCCTGAGAAGCTCGAGTTGAATGAATTTGTTTGTCCACTATGCAAAGCCTTAGGAAATTCATTCTTGCCCATAATTTGGTCTCCAAAGGAAGAGATACAAGATCAAGCCCTCAAACCAACAGCAACTTTTGATGATTTTATCGAAAAGTTTGCTGGTGCCTCTCAGCAACCTAGGACGGAGAAAATCAACCAAATCGGTAGCGCTCATAATTATGATAACAAATCCGACTTTCCCGCTAGCAGAAGAACCCAACAATTTTTCAAGAAGCATAATGATGATACCATGGCCAGTCCTTTGGTAGCCAAGATGCCAGAACTATTAATGGATGCCTGGGATCCCCCATCACCAAGTCATTGGTCGCCATTCACACCAACCAATACACGGGCTGCTATTCCAGCAGATATCGCAAGTGCTATTTGGTCTGAAAATTCATTTCCTCTTCCAAACGATAGATCATCGAACGCACCCTCTTCTGTACGGGAACTGACCGACATATATCGAAGGCTAAGAGACACAATGACCAAAAATAAATTGGAGAGTAGCCACAAGGAAAGTCTCGCACAACATGAAGAGAGAGACTTTTGTTCCAGCGACGTACTAGCCAAGGCTCTAGGATTCTCTATATCTGCCGTTGAGATTCAGCAGCGTGGTGTTGCAACGCCACCAGGGCAAACATTCCTAGAAAGTATTCCACAACAAGCTCTTGTTCACCTTAGGATATTGTCTGAGACTGCTCTCTCCTACGTTACGGTTGGGGGGCTCAAGCTTGCAGGAGACAATCGAGTTGCCAGAGAATATAGTAAAGATTACGAATTACAATATTCACAATTGTTCGGAAAGAACGCTTATTCCACACCTAGCGACCTTCCAACACGTCCCGACTCCTTGCTTTCTCAAGATACATTTGTTTTCCTGGCCAGAGCTTCCTTGTGTCTCGCGCCTGTCGAGGATATCGATATCATTCATCTTGTACGTCTCTGCTATATTGCAGAGATGACCAAGGTGGTTCTCCAATTACAGAGACACATCGATAAGTCTAAATGGTTCGATATGATTCAAACATATCAACAGGAAGGAATCGACAACTTCGGAGACTTTTGTTTTCACGTTCTAATATTTGACGACATCGCTCTACACACCAATGATTCTGGAAGTTTTGGTATTTTTGAAACGCTAAGAGATTGTCGCGCATTCGTGGAGAAATATGCACTTGTATATCTGAGAAAGGTCATGATCCTTTTGAATGTTCGTTATGGCATCATCTTCCAAAATTACGCTTCATCCAATTCAGACATTAACGAGCTCGATCGCCTTACTGAAGCACTCCTTTTGCCGACTTTCGGTGAGATTTTCTCCAGCTTTGCCGAGGAAGAAGGAAACCGTTCATCTTTAGTTACTCGCTGGATTCGACATGCGAATTCATTGAATGATGAGCTGGTTTTAGCTGCTACCGAGGTTACAAGAACCACAATGGAAAATGATATAAACATGATGGATGTAGCCGCTCCTAATTTACCAGATGTGTTCAAGGGTTTCTACACACAGGCCTTTGAACGCAACATAGAGGCTGTAGAGAAGAGAGCTCGTGTCCACGGTATCAATAACTCATTATGTCCTAGTCATCCTACAATCTTTGAACTCATCGGTCTGCCTAAGAACTACGATACGCTGATGGAGGAAACAATGAAGAGACGTTGTCCTAATAGTAAGAGAGATATTCAAGATCCCATGCTGTGTCTTTTCTGCGGAGAAATCTTCTGCGGTCAAAGTATTTGCTGTTCAAGGGATGGACCGGAGAAGCCTGGTGGAGGACCAAGAGATAAAATCGGTGGTGGACAACAGCATATGCTTAAGTATGTCCTTTTTTCCTCCTTTTTCCTTGCAATTTCCTTACTTTCCTCTTCCTCTCATTTATTTCCATTGTAAATTGTAACTAACCTTTCACTCCAGATGTCAGAAGAATACAGCTCTCTTCCTAAATATCCGTAAATGCTGCATCTTCTACCTCTACCGGACTAGTGGTTCATGGATGGTAGCTCCATATATCGATAAGTACGGAGAAGTTGATCCGGGACTAAGACATAGTCGCCAATTGTTCTTGAATCAAAAGAGATACGACGCATTACTTAGGACGGTCTGGCTAGGTCATGGAGTCCCAAGTGTGATTAGTAGAAAGCTGGAAATGGACATCAATAATGGAGGGTGGGAGACTATTTAGGAGGGAAGAAAGTGTTGTAGAGGGGTATCGAGAAAGAGAGAAATATGGCGGAGGATAAGGGGAAATGTCATATACATCTCACTCAGGCGTTATTAGGACATTATTTCTGGAGGGACGGGTGCATAAGGAGTGCTTCGCTTAGGTCTATTTTTCTTCTTTCCTTTCTTTCTTATACACTAAACTATATCAGTATGGTTTGAAACGAAATGGAATGGAATGAAAGGATTGGTGAATGGAAGAGCGATGGGGGAGTATATGAATATATGTATGTTTCTAGATAAATGAATGGGTTTATTGATTTATTTATTTGATTTGTCTTGATTTGTTGGTTGTGTAATCAATTGTTAAATGTTTTGTGGGTGAGTGTGGGTGGGATTGACAAAAGAGGGAGGAAGTGAGAGGTGGGTGTGAGGTAAAGTGAAGTAGAGTGAGATAAAGATTGAGTTGGAGGTAGGTGGTGATAAGATGCCTGAGGGAAATATAGGGATTAGTTGAGGAAGGTGGAGTGTGTGTATTGGGACTTAGGGCTGGGATTGGATTTATTGGAATAGAGTTAGAGAGAGGGATTTATTTAAAAGGGGGAAGGGGGGGGTGGGAAAGTTTGGGTTTGGAGGGGAGTGGATGGATGATGGGTGAGGGATGAGGGATGAGGGATAAGGGATGAGGGATGAGGCATGATTATAGTAGATGAAATGAGCAAAGAGAGCTATATAAATTTGAAATTTGAAAGTGCGAAAGTGCGAACTTCGAGGACGAGATGTGGGCTTGGGTGTGGATGGATTGAGATGTGGATGGATTGAGATTCAGATGTAAATTGAGATTAATGGATTCAGATGTGGATTGAAATTAAAATTGAAATTAAAATTGAAATTAAAATTGAAATTCAGATTGATGGATTCAGATTGATGGATTCAGATTGATGCACTGGTATTATTCCTATATCGAGAGAGAATGGTATAGTTTGTGAGTGAGTGAGTGAGTGGATTTAGAGGTACTTTTTTTGGAGAGAGAGAGAGAGAGCGAGAGTGCGAATTGAACGTAGTCTTTTTATTTTTTATTGTTTATTTTTTATTTTTTATTTTTATTTTTATTTTTATTTTTTATTTTTTATTTTGTATTTTTTATTTTTTTATTTTTTATTTTTTATTTTGTATTTTTATTTTTTATTTTTTATTTTTTATTTTTTATTTTTTATTTTTTATTTTTTATTTTTTTATTTTTTATTTTTTATTTTTATTTTTTTATTTTTATTTTTTATTTTTTATTTTTATTTTTTATTTTTTATTTTTATTTTTTATTTTTTATTTTTTATTTTTTATTTTTTATTTTTTATTTTTTATTTTTATTTTTTATTTTTTCATGCTATCTTTTCATGCTACGTTTATCTCTTTGGGAGGGAAGGGAAGGGAAGAGCAAAAGGTAAATTGAATTATTGGGATTATATGCAAGGATTAAGGAGGTTGTGTGTATTGATGGGGTTTGTGTGGATGGAGGATGGGTGGGTTAGGGGGACTTTGTTTTCTATTCTTTTTGAGGGGGCGGGAGAGGAAAATTTGGGATTTTAAATGGGGATTGTATGTGGGTATATGGAGGGGTGTGAGATGTGAAATTTGAAATTTGTAGAAGGGCTAGAGACGGGGATAGGATTGGGGATGGGATGGGATTTTGTGATAAATGAAGGTATTTTTGGGTGATTAAGAGGGTTTGTATTTCATACGGATGTTGTTTGTTACAGGAGTGTGTGATGAAAAGTTGTTATATTTTGAGAATTTCTATTTTCTGGTACTCTTATCTCTATTCTGATTTCAATCTCTGTGTACAGATGGGTACGACTCTCCGTGGATAGGGAAGTGAGTTTTATCGTACAAAAGAGCTTGGAGGAATAGGTGTAAAGGTGCGAGTGCAGATGAAGAGTGAAAGTTTAAGCGAAGAGTGGGTGTTGAGTGGGTGTATATGGTTGGGTATGTGTACAGAAGTTGAGTTGTGATGAGACGTGGATAGAGTTAGGTGAGAAGATGCGGATTTGCAGGTGCGGAATTGTGGAGTGGGAGAGGGGGATTTTTGAGAGGGTACTTGAGAGTGTGAAAAGAGGTCTAGTGATGGGAATTTTGTTAGCGTCGCTTAGAAGACCAAAGAGACGTTTACTTACTGCTACTTCTCTTCAAGACCTAAGTACTTCTTTACTGCCTTGTGATTTCCCCCCATCTACTTACATAAGTCGTCACTATCATCCTTGGAAATTGCCATAGGGATTACCCAACCCATCTTCGAAGCTCCCTCCATGGCCTCGATCTTCTGCTCATGTTCAATCACGAGAAGCTCACGATTAGTAAATTCCTAGTTAAGCTTTTCATCCTTTTCCTGCAGACGTTCCTCGGTATAACGCAAGTTTAATTCGTAGAGTTTGAGAGCTTCTTTATCATGCTTGATAGTAGCCTTTTCGGATCTTACAGAATTTTCGCGCTGGCTGACTGCATCTTCTGATGCTTTCGCAGCAGATTCTCGAAGATTGAGTGCAGTTTCAGTAGCTTTGACAGCAGCTTCTCTGGCTAGCAAAGTCTGCTCAACACCTGCCAACTTGTTACCTCGTGTCTCGACAAGATATTCACGACGGGCGGACATGCGCTTCTCGTGGTTGTCGACTGCGGTGTTTAAGGTGCTCTGTGTTTTCCGTGGCAACATTGGCAGGTTCGAAAAATTTGGATGATCGCCTTAAAGTTTCTTTTAGCCTCACCCTTTTTGGTGACAGATAACTTCAACTGACCTGAATGATTTCTTCGAGTTTAAGAGAGTTTGGACACTTTTGACTGGGAGATGCTTAAGCCTTGCGCCACCGTCACTGAATAGGACCACGCTCTTATTGTATGTTTGCACCATCAACACAAGGCCTCCTCGCATAACCAAAGAACACTTCAAAGGTTCAAATCTCGGATTTTGTTCATAATTATCGAGTAATATAATCAGACGTTGAACCGCTGGAATTCCTTGCAATTGAATATTTTTGAGCGTCGGAATATGAGTGAAGTAAATGAGGTCTCGAACGATGACATATCCTCCAGGTATTTTCCACAAGTGCTCTAATGCAAAGACTAGCTCACTGCTGCGGGAATTGGCTGATTTCACCCGGACAAAAGTGACATCCCTGCTTTCGAGACCGAAGCGATAGATCAATGATGGTTCAGGGGATGCTAGCAAAAGAGGCTTGATCTTCTCAGACTGATTGACAAGTGAGTCTTTAAGGAAGAATGCGCCAAAGAAGGGATGGATTTTGATCATGTCCAGTAGTTTATTGACTTCATTCTCGAAGACTGCATTCTGGTTAGCGAGTGGACACATCTCAGCGCCTGCCGTATTTTGCTCTCTGTAAAAACTCAGGGCGATGAGAGGATGTAAGTGATGAAGATGTAAAAGTATGAAAATATTTCGCGACCTAAACCTGAAGCCTCTGGGGACGCTAGTGTAGTCATGTAGAAAACGCAAGCAATGACACGTGAGTCGACATCCATCAAGGTGAGCCTTTGTGAGAGAATCTTTATCAGCATTCGCTGTTAATGTTTCTTACTTCTCTTCTGTTTTCTTTTTTCTGAAGTGAGTATTGCGATTATATAAATGTGTGATAGATACGGGAGAAATCATGGGCGGATGTTTTAACTGATGCTTTGTCGGTGATAGGTTATGGGAGAGAAATGGCTTGAGGATGATGGAGATGTTGTTCGAGTATTAATCGCAGTGGGTATGAGTGCATATCTTAGGATGTTGGTTTCTCGGTCTATCGATTTTAGGACATGGATTTCTGCGAGTGTTTCATAAGTCTCCATTGCAAAGCTGGCAGTCAAGTATTGTAACGTCTGTAGACAGCTAAAATAAAGTATCCCTTGAGTTTATAAAATCACTACTTGATCGACATATAATGAGAAAACTTCTGATACATTGATTGAAAATTGGAGTATAAAGACACATCCTATCTCGCCGTTCCCAGATGAATAATAAACTATCCTGTGCCAACATGCCTCCTATGCAAAGCAGATAAGCTTATACTAAGCTATTATGATAGTTGTATCATTACTGGAAGATTTTTGTGCGCTCGTATCGCTGGCAGTAAAGTGCAGATCAAAAATAATAATGATCATTAAAATCCTCTGCTTCTTCTCTTTCCTCATCCTCATCCTCATCCTCGTAGCTAGAATGTGATTATCAATGATCAGCTGTGGATCTCCCAAAAATGAAATTAATGAGAGCTATCTGGAACCTTGTGGACTTACCTGGAATATGGCTCACAGTCGTACAGAGAAGTATCATAACGTTCGTAGTCATCTCGAAGTCCCTGCTCCATGGCTGCCTCTCTGGCATCCAAAATCTCCCTATCTGCATCCAGCTGCTCGCGGAGTCGAATGTTTGCTTCATCCCGAGCTGCAAGCTCAGTCTCACGTTCATTGAGAAGTTCATCACGCCTGCGCAAGCTGCGGCTGAGTGTCTCCAACTCCTGAGCGCGTGAACGTGCGAGGTTTTCTCGTTCCTGAATCTGAACCTCGAGCTTTTTAGCCGATTCTTCTCGCTCAGTCAAGGCCCCTTCTAGCTTCTCCATAGCCAGTTGAAAGCGAGCAAGAGCAATTTCTCTGGCGCTGACATCTGTGTGGCGGTTTTTGATAGCCCTGTCGTAGCCTGCTAACTTGGTCCCCATAACTTCAAAGTCTTCTATGCCGTCATTGACAGTCTTTGAAGTGAGTTTTTCTTCGAATGCCCTGAATATATCCGATAAGCGCGCTTCAAGGTGCGCAATATCTATCTTCTCCGAGCTCTGAGGGTCTTTCAGTACAAGATTTCTTTCCTGCTCTGCAATTTCGCGTTCACGGTTGTCCATTTCCTGCTCGCGCTGCTTGAGGGAAGCTTCACGCTCATTGGTGGAGAGGGCAGCCTCAAAATCTCGATCTTCATCAATTGCTGATGTTCCGGCTGGAGTGTATATTAAATTTGCGATTGTCGATTGTGAAGCTGAGTCAAAAATACTGTGTTGATATAGTAAGCTTCTTTCTTTTAAAAGTTATCAAGACGGAAGAATGCGAATGGGAACTGAACTCACGCAGAATCTTGCTCCATATCCGAGTCATTTGGCTGAAACACTTTGGCAGATATGCTTTCCTCATCAGATCGCAATGGAACAGACATAGCTGTTTCCAATTTTGTGAGACCCCTGCCATCGATGTAAAAGCATGAGACCAAGTTTTTGGCGAATCCATCGTGAGTTGTGAACATGACAAGACAATCATGCGTTACAGTGATGTCGCACTTCAAATTCTCAACAAACAGTTCTTTCTCATCACTCCCCAAGAAAGTTATGCGCCGACGGTTCAGTGGAGCTCCTTCGTTGGTCTTGATAAATCTAAGCTCTTCGAGCTTTTCGAAAGTAAAGGAATCGTCTACTTGAAGAAAGCCAGAGGCGCATTTCCATAGATGAGATATCATTATCTCGCCTTTAGAGTCGATCTTGGCGCAATTTCAAGAATGAAACGTGACTGCTGCATCACTTGGACCATATCGAAAGGACCAGTGAAGGAGCAGGTGATGCGAGTAGAAGGGACTTGAATCTTTCATGTATGAAAATGATATCTTTGATTGATTTCCGGGTGGATTTTGGGTGATGTACGATTTGATCAATGATTTGTTGGATCACAGCCTCACCGTTTTCGATACTTGTATTCAATTCAAGCGGAATTGGATCCTCAGAGCACGTCTTAAATACTTGATCCATGGCTGCTGATTCAATGAAAGATAAGGTTTGTATGGAGTTTCTTTTTGGTGGGATGGAGTAAGAAGAGATCGAGGCACTTTGAATATAAAAACTTCGGATAACCGACTTTGGAATCAGCCGAAAGTGAATTATATTGATTGTTCAAATTGAAACTTGATTTGACCCGACAAAAGCTTCAACTTCACTGGTATGAACTCATCTCTAAGATGCCGTATTCATATTAAGTGTTGCTACGGCAGCGCATTCACTCATCAAGCCGTAGTCCCGTGATCTCAGACGTTCGAACCGTACCCGTGGACTAGCTAGGAATTTGCTCATATAAACTCATCAACCTTACCTTGAATCCTACATCCTCTTTGTATCCGCAAAATTTCTCCTCTGGCAACTGCAGAACACTTTCAAAGACGAATTACTACACAAAGATACACCGAAACAAAGCACGAAAATCATGGCAGGTCAGAAACCTCCTCTCAACAAAATGGAGGAAACTTTCAAGGCCATACCTTTCAAAGACTTCATGTATTTTACAAGAAAGTACCGAGATGCTTCAACAACATCATCCTCAGTCAATATCCTATCCCACTTAACTCGAAGCAACAACCTTCAAGACAAAGACCCCCAAAAGATTGATTCACTGACATCACAGGTCTCTGCCCTTCATAAGGAATATGTTGCCCTCGTGAAGACCTACAGATCTCGTTTAGCCACTTCCAATATGATGCAAGTCAACCAACAAGCTCTTGAGATCATTGAGCGCCCTCGTACCCCTTCTCAATCATCCGAGAAATCACTCGAAAAGATGCTTGGCCTTCCACAACCTTTCATCGATGTCAACAAACTTCCCAATCTTGATTTTGTCCTCAAATTTCAGGAAGGAAAGGTTCAAGAGCAAGCCAGGGCCTCCTTAATGCTCGCTCCGGGGAAAATACCACAAGACTCTAACAACTACAAGAAAGCCTGCATTGCCCATCTTCCAAGCAACATGGACCTTGACAATCAGTATCACATTTACATGAAACCAGAAGCTTCCAACGATACATCCCGCTCTGCCAACTTAATCACCAGGAAAATATTCTCGGGACATCCAGAAATACCATCCCGTCATTTCAACTGGTGGTTATTACAGTTCCATTAAATTGAACAAAGAACTTCTCGATGTCAACACTACTTCACTCAATCAACCTGAACTGCAGGTCCCACAATATGAGCAAGAAACACTCAGATATGATTTTCCTTCAGAGAGCATGGTCGAGAGCGACTGAAGCTCTTCATGCCGGAGAAGTTTGGAAAGGTATGGACAGTGAGCAAAAGGCTGCTTTCGATAAAGCCATTATATATCGTGCTCAGCATAAAGAGATAGATTCCAGCAGCTTACGACTTCAAATCGACAAATTTACAGCTCATATATTATTTGTTATCGAGGGGTTGCAAATATTGGTTATTCGGCGACCATTGTGGACTTGAAGAGTATTCTAAGGTGGGCACAAAATTTCAACACTCTATCACATCAGAAATGCAATATGGTGATGGCAAGCCAGCGTATTCATAATAAGTACGACCTTGTTGGTATCCGAGAATGTGAGACGGTGCGAGGAGCCTCTGAGAACGTCAGATCCATTCAAAGCACTCAACCAGATATCTCTAATTATCGCAAAGAATATCCTTCACGGAAGGACTTTACGGTCCGAGTCACACAACAGCCGATGAAGCATTGCTGCTCTGATTTCGCACCCAAAAGTTCACAAAATCTTCATAAAAAAAACAAGCTACATTCACTGTGAGGATTGCAGCTCAGATTTGCTTTCTGGTGAGCATATGCAGATCAACGCACACTCGGCAGTCGCGGGTCAATTCCAATGATATCATCAATTATGGAAATAATGGCACAACGCCGCAAATGCGTGTCGAAAATGAAGAGTTAATTGATGGAAGCCTATACCTCAATAACAATATTAGAGGTCAAAACCTGGAAGATCGGAAATGTCCCACAAACCAGACTCGACACTCTCTGGTGGCGTCAACCTCAGTCCAATGCAAACCAGTCTCGGTCCTTCGCACTGGTCAAGTTTCTGGCGTAAAAGCTGATAAAGTTTCTGAGTTCGATGCAGAAACAATGTTCCAGCATATAAGAGAATTTTGGAGAAGGATCCAAGCATTTCAAAGTTGGAGACTGATGACGGAAAACAACTGGTCACTGAAAACTTCCCGGTCAAAAAACTCACCCTGTTAGAAATGGCCATTAAAAATCCTTTGCCTTGTTGGAATCATCCAGTATCTGTAAATGGAGAACTATATCAACGCGTCAACTTACCTACTATGTTTAAGTACCTCAATCATCTCGGATTCTCGGATGAAAACTTGCTTGGCCAAATGACCAAGAGTCTTGAGCAGATGTCTATTCCAATCCCTTTTCCTGTATTGGCTGGGGCACCAAAGTGGTTATATGATTATTGCATCCTCAATGGACAGGTCTGCCAGCCATTGACTCATGCACCGGCCAGAAACCTCCTTCCACTTGTATCAAGGCATTTAACTCACGACGCTCGGTTGCCCGTGGTTCCAATCAATAGTTACAAGCCTCCTGAAAGTGATCGTCAGTCAACCGCGTCCATTCCACAGGAAATGAAAATGAGATCGACATCTTTTGTCAAAGAGCAAATATCTTCAAGCTCCTCAGCCCTGGGCTTTGAGTCATTCCAATATCCTCGCGCCCCTTTAGTAGCATCGACACCCTTAAGCCCTGAAGGTCAAGGCATAATGATTGAAGCTTGGAAAAAGGCACAGGCGTCAGAGTTCTTTCTTAAAGGAAGAGGACGAGTTAGAAGAGGAGAAAAATTCGATGATTCCGGAGTCCCATGCTATGAAGACTTCTACAAACGCTGATCGTTCTACCTATGTAGATACGGCCCGAAGAGAAATCACTGGCATTTTTGACATTTCTACGGAATTTACAAAGGAATGTGATAGGGCAGGAGTTTTACCTACACAAGATAGCATGGCCAATGCTGCTAGTGATGATTTTTCGTTTCTAGTTATCTTTCAAGAGAAGCTCAATGCTCTTGAGAGTATTGACCAGAGGTGTCGAGAGGAAAGAGCTCCACTTATCCAGGCGATCTACCAAGAAGCTTCAAGAGCTTCCGATAGAAAGTGGTATTTGGAACGCAAAGTTTATCTTGAGACCCTCCGCGAGACACGATTGTTACGACATAACTATGAGCAGAATAAAGCCAATGAAATCCGCCAGAATAAGGAACTTGATGCAAGACGCAACGATGCGACATGCTTAGATCGCAGAGAGTTCAAGGACTACAGAGACTTGGCTTACCCAGACTTGAAAGAGTTTCAAGCTTCTATTGCCGATGCTTATTGCGTTTATCTTTGCCGCAAGAACGGCTAAATATGCTGCTTGTACGAAATTGGAAACAGCAGTTGCCGAGAGAAAAGCTCTTTGGATGGAAAACATTCACAGAATTGATAATCCGAGATTCAAAAAAGAGAGTTCCGACGCAGATAAAAAATTTCTCGAGTGCCAAATGGAATACAACAGCAGAAATGGTACCTTTAATGCAAATCAAGCACTCTAGTCAACAGAAATACAAAAATAGGGAAGCTTTTGAGAAGAGAATGAACTTCTAACTCGAGCTTGCGGCGATCATACTACTAATTCGGTTTTCCGCTACGTTTGCAGCAGACCACGACTCGGTTCGTGTCACTCTTGCACGTCTCAAAGCTTACTATACCGCACGAAGTGCCAAATCCAATCTTCAGCCACTTCGTACGATAGATGACGCCTGGACTGATGGTCACTATGGTTTTCTCAAACGACCAATGCATGATCAGAAACAGCGAAACAACTCCATTTCGTCCAATGATTATATCACTGTCGAAGAACATGCTCGAGGCCTTAGAGATGGTTACGATCAACCAGCATTCCAACCTTTAATTTCCCGTTCAGTTAAAGTTCCCGCAAATCATGATCCAAGAACATTAAAGGCCAATATTCCTTCAAAGCTACCAGCAGTCACAGACCAGTACTCCAACCCAGGTTCTCAAACCTTTTACTCGGTCAAGAGCACAGATCGCGCTGAGTATATGGACCATGTTCAAAGAATGGAAGCGTAAGCCAGACCATTCCGACATCATGAAAGCTATGATCCAGGGTCGAGCAGCTAGAGGACGTCATTTAGCTGGTCAACAGCCTGAAAAGTTTGATCATGCTACGTTTCAGCATCTGAAGAAGTGCAGTTATTCGAGCCCAGATATTTCTTTAAACACAGTTGGTTCTTCGGCTTCGGCAAAATCTGCGCTTGATCTTTTAGCTGTTAATGGACAAGGTCAGTATGACGCGGAGCTTGTAGACAAGAATGTCGCCGTGCTCAACAGCGGAAACGACATGCTTACAGAGGCAAGCAAAGCTGCTGATACCCTTGCCACTACCATCAATAAGCATACTGTCATGGCTGATAAGATGGTCACCGATGTCATCTGCATCACCAAGAACCTCGCTGATCTCGATGTTGCCACTGTCAATCAACCAATGACTGTCGCTGATAGAGCCATTGTCGAAGCCAGCAAGAGTGATGATCCCACTACCGCTCAGCAAGCAGTCAACAACGAGGTCAATCCCATCAGTGAAACTAATGCCAACTCTGAGATGAACAGCATCGCAAATCTCTCTCTCAATGAACTTTTCATTTCTGACACTGACAGATCTGAGATTGTTACCAAAGACATGATGCAAAAGTCACTCGTATTAGATTTCCCCTTGTCACCCCCTTCTACTACAGTACCCGTCTCTAGCCCTACACAGGAAGTCGATCTTGATTATTATAACGATTTTCAATCTGATGCATCTTGGGTCATGGCTAGTGATGATGATCATGATGATTTGCGGAGGCTAGTAGACCTGAAGAACTTGAGAGTGTTGAAGAAAGCGAAGACGTTTGAGGAATGGGAGATGCTTTAGACCTAGAATTTCTGGTATGATGTTTGCGTGGTCTATGAATGGATAGGGGGGTGTAAAGGGAGGTGGTTTTATTTCATACTCTCTTGCAGATCTGGCGAGGGGTTCACGGATATAGATAAATTGATAAAGCCATGGACGGATAGAGATACGAATACTACGGTGGAGTAAAAGCTATTCAAAAATCTAGGAGTTATACCAATAAAAACTGGTGATACTTCACAAAGTAGCAGGGAGGCACAGCACAAGGAGATGATCTTCTCTTCTTTTGATTTCTTTTCTCCTCTTTCCTCTAACGACCGAGATTCTATGATCGCTATGACTCTCCTTACACTGTAAGGTCATGAGCGATCAACAGAGTCATCAAGACAAAAATCGCTGGCAGACCATGTCTTTGGAAAGAGAAACATTTAGGGAGTCAGTGATATATTGATATAGCAATGAATAATCATTTTCATGATTTTGTGTTTCTTTTGCTATGTGTGAGTAAGTGATATATATATGTATATATGTATGTATGTATGTATATATGGAAGTGAAAATGCGGGGAGTAATTTGAATGTTTGCTTCATGTAGATAGATAAGCAGTAATTCTTTCGCGCAATTTGGCAATCAATCAAATGACACTTGAAAAGATCTCACAAATTGACTACCCAAGAGCGCAGAAGAGAGAGTTATCTGATCCTACACGACACGATTTTTTGGGGGGGGATAACGTTAACTGAGAATAATACGCTAGTCATGCTCAATAGCATTTGACCACAATTCCAAGAGCTAATTACTTACATAGTCCATCCTGCACGCAATTTTATCCATGGCTATTTCTATTTCTAATCCAATTCCAACCACCCAATTTTTACAAATACACCTGCCACACCATCGCTTGTCGGATTTCTCATCGGACTGGACTCCGTTTTGCATCCTAAGATGAAACCAGCAAGTTCCATTATCCCGAAACTCTGAGCCCAAATTATTAAATTCAACCATCGATATATGAAAACTTCTAGAAATACGAATAGCAAGCAAACTCACAAAATCAATCATGAGAACCAACTAATTCTTCATAAAATCCAAATCCCTACCAAATCCCGCAGGCGAAGATACTTGAATTGCGAAATGTGGGGGCTTCTCTTTAAATTTCGAGCTGCCGCCAATTGGCTGAGACGAAGGCAATTTGATAGCACAATGTGTGAACTCCTCCTGCGTGATTTCAGTAGAATCTTCAGGAGCTTGAGGAGTAGCCATTTGGATGGGGGTGAGTGGGAACTCCGCCATGGTAATATGTGGACTGTTAATAGAATCCCCTGGTAAAGGCGGTGGTATGGCATCATCCGGGATCGCTTCTGTCGTGATCTGTGTACAGCCTTCACAGCCCTGAGATATAGGGACCCGAGCAAAATCGCGCGGTTGATACGCGTGCATGATATCTGGGGGACAGCCAGAGCAGAGACGTTTTTTCAGTTTGTTGAGCAGACAAGTTCCCCTTCAAGATTTTTTCTGGCGCTAAAGTTACCGCTCGCTTCTGGAAAAGAGATTCATATTGTATCTCTGGCAGAGAATAAAAAAACTTTGGTGGATTTGCAATCTGAATTATAGGCGAACCAATAGGTGCATTGGCCACGGCGTGTATATAATTTTTTTACACCAGGTGCGCTGATATCCGAATATGAACCATCCGGATAATTTTGAACAATGAGAAAATTGTATTTCAAAAGAAGATCGATATGTTGTTCATAGCCATGCGGAAGACATCTGAGCTGCCCAGATAGCTTCGTGCCGTCCGGACATGTATATCTCCAAGGTATACTGTCGGCGTCTACCTTTGACTGCTCAAGTTTTGCAACCATAAGGATTCTGCCGATTCTCTGCTCTGCCATTCGATGATCGTATTCGTAAGCAACAAATGCTTTATGATTCAAGGATACTTGCTTCAAATCTTTTTCCACAGAAAGAGCCATGCGTCGGTTTGCAGTTTACGGGTCGTCCTATCAATAAAGCCAAGAGCAGCAGATGCGTATGTGACTGTTCGTTCCACGTCTGAGCCTACAGCATATTGTTTATATACTGTAGAATGCACCGCCCAAGGGGGTGGGCCTGCGAAAATCAGTCCGTATGGAAAGAACGTGTCATCAACGTCACTGTTTTGCTTTCGAAGTTGGTGGAGCCTGAGTAGTTCTTCTCGTCGACACGCATCCTCGAACCATCTATCACTAAGAGGACAATCCATAATTGGTTAAGAGAATAAATTGGTATCGTATAACTATGTGTAATGCATGAAGATTTAAGATTGAGGAAGAGCATTTGACAAGATGATTATATCATGAAGATCAACATTTTTGAAGCAAGCGCGAAAGAGGATTGCAATAAATGGAAAGAGCTATCAATCTCGAGGGAGTTAGAGACCGATAACAGCATCTATAGATGTCGCATTCTTATGGACGTAATTACATCATTAATAATATTCAGAAAACTGACCTCAATTACACCTTCGATGGCTTGATTGAGTCGGTCGATGTGCACTACCACACTATTACACTCCGGCCACTTTGCGTTGATTGGAAATAGTATTAAGAAGCCGCAGAGAACGTAGAACAATAGAATGAATACAAACGTATCTGCTTCAAGAATCATCACAGCAGGTCAAGTCAAGAATATCAAAAGTTATTGAAGAAAAATGTCACGGAACCCACATCAACTTATGAAGCTTGCGTCACGAGCATCAAAATCGCCCACCTCCTCCACACGGAATACAAACGAGAAGATCAGAAGAACACACCAATACACCCAAGACTGATAAAACATCAGGAGAACTTGCATTTTACTATTGATCGTTTCTCAAGTAATAAAAGTGCCACAGAAATCACAAGAAAAACCTCAATCCCCTACAAACCCTACAGAAATATTCGCGGTTGGCGAAATCGCGATGAGTGTACATATCGAAGTCTACATGTGACGAAATTAGACAGATCATCTACGACATCAGCTAATGTATTTCCGCTATAGTTGTTTGAACTTTATGCACATCATGGTGATGAATCCTCGTACCACCAAAAGTGAATCAAGACGGCATAGGGTGAGATGCAATTCGTCCGATTTGGCGAATGCGAGCAAATAGAGAACGACCAGACCATTAATCTCCGAAAAACTATTTGACGAGATTGAAAAAAAGGTGAATATTGAAGTGGTAAGTGAGATCGTTAGCACACTTGCAGTCACTTTTCAGCCAGATCGCTCAGTCAGTGCTTGAAGGAAAAGGCAGTGGTACAACTTTATACATTGTCAACTCATAATAAAGTAAACTTTTCGAATATACAAGTGATAATATCGAACTGAATATCTCTTTTATTGTATATAGCGTGTCTATGATACAAGATTCTAGCACGGTATTCGATATGCGGGTGGAGGGGAAGAATATAATGCAAATTGGTTGATAATACGATAATAACAGAAGAAGAACCTCGCAGAATTCGACTGACTGGAAAACTTGCAAATATTCTAGTTGCTATTAAGTGAAGCAAAAGTAGATTGGTCATGAAAATACAACTAATTTCAATTTTAGCTGGTGTATAATGAGTGGGTCCCTCGGCTAAAGACATTTGAGTGCTATTTTATCGGTCATGAGTATCGAAGCTGGAATATTGAAGCAATGCATCGTGCCATACAGGAAAGTCCTTTCAACTTAAAAGGATCTATTCTTTCAAAAGAGGCCAAACAAATCTCTAGTACGTACCACATCTTCAGTAGGACGCAGTTTGAACAGGGTATTTACTTTAAAAGACCAACAATTCTTTAAAGTAAACAACTCTTCACAGACATCTCTTTCCTTCTCAATTCAACCATCACACACATACATATACAAGCTCTGCATCAACAAACATTCTGACAAAACTCAGTTCGAAAAGATGATTGAGAACTTTCAAATATATTGTGTCCTTGCTTTGGGCATCGTCATATTCTGTGTTAATGCACTCTTACCCAGAAAAGCCGAGAAAAAACTCTATGGAGCCAGTTCGCATCCCCTCAACTATACCATTCATTGGTCATTTTATTGGTCTCTTCCTGCACAGAAATGAATACTACAATACTTTAAGGTAAGCCATACTCCCCAATTGTGTCTTTAGATTGGGCTCAGGTACTAACAAATTTCTTCTTTGAATTAAACAGTCAAAAATGTGATTTTCCAATCTTCACTATCGGCATGCTCCATAAAGACATCCATATCGTCACTTCAGCCGATTTAATTCCATCTCTTCATCGTCAATATAAAGCAGTTTCGCTGTGGGAGTTGGAAGCACAATTCACAGTGAAACTGGCTGGCCTGACTAAAGCTGCAGCAGACAGGATGCACACTAATATGTCCTCAGAAGAGAATCCAAGTCTAATGCTTCAAGGAATCAAGGTGATCCAGGGTACACTCGCTTCCACGGAATCTATAAAAAAAATGCTTCGTATTGGAACACAAGTTACGAAGGATCAACTAGATAATTGGGCAAATCCAGCTGAAAATAATCAAAACAAGAAGGTCAACTTATTAGAATGGTTGCAACACGAATTGACCCTTGTTATTACAGACAGTTTGTATGGAGACAAAAATCCTTTCCGGGATCCAGAGGTCGAAGCAGGATTTTGGTAAGTCAACATCACACAACATCCTCAGCAAAAATCGAGTACTGACAGAAATAGGGCTTTCTCTGACGGTTCATTGAGACTTCTATTACCCGAGTTCCTAACGAAGTTCATCGCTACTAAAGCTGTACATGGTCGGGCTGCAGTCGTAAAGGGATTCCAAGACTACTTCTCGAGCAGTGGACAAACTGGAGGCTCAGATCTCATGAAGAATAGGTTTGAACTGTTAGTCGACCATACGGATAGTCGTCACAGCGACCTGGCGAAAAATGAAAATCTGATCAATATCGCATCCTTATCCAACACAGTTCCTTCAGCGTTTTGGGTTATTTATCATTTGTTTTCTGATGCCAATCTTCTCGAGCAGGTCCGGACCCAAGTAGGAGAACTGACAACATCAGAAGTTTCGGCCGAAGGAAAGACAATCCGTACGATCAACCTACAGAAGCTGATTCAACTACCAATCCTCTCCTCGTTGATTTTAGAAACTCTGAGATTCCGATCAACTGGTACTGGACCTCGCCTCGTTATGGAAGACACCTTTGTCGGTAAAGATCAACAATACCTACTCAAGAAAGATTCCCTGGTAATCATCGCAAACAAGAGACTACACTTTGACAAGCGTGCATGGGGAGAGACGGCAGATTCCTTTCGTTTTGATCGATTCTACAGCAAAACTCCTGCAAACGCATTCCGTGTGTTTGGAGGAGGAGCGAATAGGTGTCCAGGTCAGGGAATTGTGACAAATATCATTGCCGCTTTCGCAGGAATGTTTGCGATGAGATTTGATATTATTCCGGATGGAAATGATTGGACTGATCCGGGTCAAGATCTCGAAAACATGTCTACTCAGTCAGGTCCGCCCAAGAAGGAGTTGATGGTAAATATAGTACCCAGGGAGAGTGCGAAGGATGTAGTATGGAGCTTCGAAATGTAGTTACTTTCATCTCTTGAAAGGGAGGAAGTGGCATACAAATTGATAGTATTTACGGGATTCTTGAACTCATGTTCGATACTCTAAGTAGCAGATTTCGAAATTCATCATAGAATGAATATAAATCAAGATTCATATGCATGTCTGAAGTGGTTGAGATGAGTTCTTGTGTGTACCTAATAGTATTTACGTTCGAGAAAGATATGCAGATGGATTACCTAATATATTCGAGGCGGTGAGATCGGCTGTAAATATTGCCGCATGCCAAAGATATCATCTACTAGGTACACAGAGATAGCTTTGTGATCTGGACATTTTTTGACATTCGACAATCCAAACTACAATCATTATGAATAATCAACAGTTCCGTAAACTCGTGCTAGATACGCCTGCGAGACAAGCTGGAACGGGAGACAAAAGTTCAAGCATTGGCGCAACTCCCAGACGAGATGGCGCAACACCATCTGCCCTTGGTTCTCGAATGCGAAGTTCAATACCCATGACACCGTAAGGCTCGAACACTCCATTTGCGTGAAGCCACACAGTGAGTACTAATGAACATACTAGCCGCTCAGTGGGTGGTGTTGATTTCGCACGTCAAGTCGCTGAACAACGAGCTCTAAATCATCCTTCGCAACCAAAGAAGTTTCGCTCAGTCGCCGCACCTAAAGGTTCGAAACTCGCAGCCGGCTACACTGATCGCACAAAACAGCGCATTAATGAGGATGAAGATGATAAAGCCTCCAGAGTTAAGGCGCTGGAGGAGATGATGAAATTACAACAGATTGACGAGTCTACATTTTTAAAATTGAGAGACGAGATATTAGGTGGTGATGTTCAAAGCACGCATTTAGTGAAAGGGCTGGATTACAAGTTGTTGGAGCGGGTTAGGAGGGGTGAAGATGTTTTGAGCGGAAATAAGGAAGACGACGATGATGCTGAAGAGCCAGATAATTTGGACGACGAATTTGAGAGGTTGGAGGAAAAAGATGTGGTTGCTGTTGAAAAGGAGAAGAGTAAAAAGAAGGGAGAAATGGCACCACCAAGTTTGATTCCGGGAAAGAAAAGGACTAGGGATCAGATTTTGGCAGAGATGAAAGCGGCGAGGCAAGCGGCAAAGGAGGCAGCTCAGCCGTCTTTAGGAGCAAGATTCAAAAAAGTTGGAGCTCCAAAATCTACAAGCAGGATTGAAAGGGACGGAAAAGGGCGGGAGGTTCTCATTATTGTTGATGAGAATGGAAACGAGAAGAGGAAAGTTAGGAAACTACAGGTGGAATCGGAAGTGGAGAAAGGGCATGGTCTACTAATGCCTGATAAGGATGCAATACCATTAGGCATGGAAGTTCCAGAAATACCAAAAGAACTAGAACCAGAAGAAGAAGATATCGATATATTTGACGATGCAGGAGATGATTATGATCCATTAGCTGGGCTTGAAGACGAAGATTCGGAATCAGATACAGAAGCTGAAGACGGAGAAGTTACGGAAGATAGCCAACGAAAAAAGCCCAAGACTCAAGATTCGCCGCAAGAGCCAGCTGTATCTGGAAGTATGGCACCACCCCCACGACCTAACAAACCTAGAAACTATTTTGGCGAATCCGAACCTGAAACAACAGACAATGAGACCAAGCCAAAAGCTTTCAGTGATCCAACTATTCTCGCCGCCCTCAAGAAAGCCTCAACACTTAACCCTATGTCCAAGGTTCCAGAAACTGCAGAAGAGGCCGCAAAGGAAGCGCGGCGGAAAAAGATGCTCCAACAGGATGATCGTGATATGGAGGATATGGATATGGGATTCGGCAGTAGTCGATTTGAGGACGAAGCTGATTTTGACGAGACGAAAGTCAAGCTATCAGCGTGGGGTCAAGGAGATGAAGATGAAGACGAGAAAGGGGAAGGTAAAAGCAAGAGGAAAAGAGGGTCGAAGAAGAGGAAGGGGGATGCAAATAGTGCTGCGGACGTCATGAAGATCGTCGAGAGTAGAAAGGCTGGACCATAGTCATTACACAGAAAGCAGATAGATACCCTTATTTTTTCTCTCACTCAGCCACGATATGTAATTCTAATACTTATAACACGCCGTGAAATCCTACCAGGCTGTCCATGAGAGGCCTACCTAGGCACCATACAAATAAATCGAGATAATGTCTCATCACGTGCCTTCGCGAGACGCGCTTTGCTAATCTATATTTCCTTCACGCGCTTGGAGATCTGCAGCCGTGAGCTTTGAGAACTGAAAACAACCACTTCACTCGCAAGCAACGATGCCTCCTCGAAGATCTGGTCGAAATGCTAATGCTAAAATTGCAGATGTTCCAGGAACTGAAGCCTCGTCTGCTGCAACGAAGAAGGATGGAAAAGATATAAAAACTGAGAATACCGAGGTTCCAAAGTTAGCTGCGAATAGTATCCGAAGCAAAGCGAAAGAAGATAGTGGCAGTTCAGAAGACGCAGACGAAAACGGAGACGAAAAAAAAGTCATTGATCTCCCGAAAACAGCTAAGACTGTTAATGTGAAGAAGGAGGCTGTAGTGGTCACAAAAAACAAAGCTCCCGTGAAACGCAAACTCAAGGAAGAGGAGGACGAAGACGAAGAGGACAAGGAAGAGAAGAAGGTTACGAAGAAGAGAAAAACAAAAGAAGAAAAAGAAGCAGAAACTATGCCATTGGTAAACCGTACATTGGTTTCGACTTTGAAAAAGGCTGTGCATATCGGCGCGCATGTTAGTGGTGCAGGAGGCAAGTGTATCTCTCCTCATGGCGCGAAGATCTTCTCTAACATATTCATCATAGGCGTTCAAAATTCAGTCAATAACTCTTCACGTATCGGTGGCAATGCATTTGCTTTATTTCTCAAATCTCAGCGGAAATGGGTCAATCCTCCTTTAGCTTCTGAAGCTCGCGATCAATTCAAGGCTTTATGCAAAGAACAAAAATACGATGCCTCGAAATTCGTTCTCCCACATTGTTCATATCTAGTTAATCTAGCGCAACCAGATGAAGAGAAAGCCAAGCAAGCATACGATTGTTTTCTGGACGATCTGAAAAGGTGTGAAGAGTTGGGTATCAAACTTTACAACTTTCATCCGGGAAGTACAGGTGGCAACCCAAGACCGGAAGCAATCGGGCGCATCGCAGCTCAATTGAATAAAGCTCACAAAGCAACGAAGACGGTAATCACACTGTTAGAGAATATGGCAGGAGCTGGAAATGTAATTGGTTCTACATGGGAAGACCTTCGGGACATTATTGCTCTTATTGATGATAAATCCCGAGTTGGTGTTTGTCTAGATACATGTCATACATTTGCTGCAGGATATGATCTGAGATCACCCGAAGCTTTCAAGAAAACTATGGATGGGTTCGACAAGATTGTTGGATTGCCATATCTAAAAGCTTTGCATCTCAATGACAGCAAGTCACCGTTAGCATCAAACCGGGATTTACACGCCAACATCGGTACTGGATTTCTTGGCCTTCGAGCATTCCACAATGTCGTAAACTTTGAAGTCTTTCAAAATATGCCTATGGTTCTCGAAACACCAACTGAGAAGAAAGACGCAAAGGGAAAGACTGTCGAGGATCCATCTACGTGGGCTAAGGAAATTAAGTTACTCGAGGGACTACTCGAAAGAGATCCTGAAAGCAAGGAGTTCAAGGAGGAAGAGCAACGCTTACAGGATTTAGGAGCAGATGAACGGCAGAAGTTTCAGGGTCAAGCCGATAAGAAAAAGCAAGAAGTTCTCAAAAAGGGACAAAAGACTCTTGATTCAATGTTCAAGAAGAAATCAGCAAAACAGGGCAAGAAAGGCGCAAAGGAGAGTGATGGTGAGGAATCTGAAGATGGCGGTTGTTCACATTGAGCTATCCACGTATCGCGGAGCTTCAGGTCTGGATAAGAGTCTGACTACGTAGCGTCTATTTTCCAATATTGTAGTATGTTAATATAGGTAATCAACCAAAGTTCTGCACTGTCCCCCCACCCTCCAGGAGATCCCGTCAGCCCATCTATCTCGCGTGAAACATGAGTTCAATGACTATTGACCACATCATGCGGTCAGAATTCTTTTCATTTCTGGTACCCAACATTTGACAAGGTGGAAAGTTCCCCTTACACCGAATGATCACATTGTCTATGACCCTTTCACGTATAGGACGAAAAGGACGTTTTCTGTGCAATTTTGATTGGTTATTGCGGTTACTACAAGGAGAAACGGCATATATATATATATGTTGAACACATTACAATTGAGAAGTCTTGATATGATTGATCAACGGAAGTTTCGTGAAGTAGCGATATTTGGGGTTAGCATGAGGCTGTGGACGAAATTTTCACAAATACCATAGTTTTTCGAGGATTATACTTGAGCCAGCTAGCATCACATTGATGAGACATTTCAATAGATTCATATTTACTCTCTCTACTCGGTCATTCTATTGAGAAAGCCACCTCATGATCTTCAATAGCCATCTTTTAGTACGGTGAAACAATACGATTGAGCAAACATATGCAACCTCGCTAAGCTTTTCGTCAGTCAGCCTCGATGTCCAGGTGTTTTGGTCTTACACAAACAATTTTGTAAGCATTTGCCAGATGTTCACTTCCATAATTCAATCCAATTGGCCCGTTAGTATATACATGGATAAACATATATACGAAAACCCTGCAGAATTGGCTAATAACCACTAATCGTGTCGGCATCTGTGTGTTACATTTGCATTTTTGCATTACGATAACGAGCAAACATTTATTGTAAATAAGAGTCGTGAATCTTCATTTTTCACCCAAGAATCCTCCTCAGAACATTTCTATATGCTTGATTTCTGCCTTGGTCTCTTTTGTCCGGGCCCCGGAAGAAGACAAAAAAGAGAACGATATATCAATCCCGCTTCGCTCGCTTTATCAAGACCTCGTCGTCGATATCCCCTTCCAACACCTGTCTATCCTCTTCCTGCACCTACACTTCCTCCTCCGGAACAGAACTACGAACAACTTCGTCCCATCAGTCCCATATACTATCCAGAGCTGGAGTTGGAATTTGAACCCGAGCCTGAGCTTTTTCACCCTCAGGTATTTCAACGAGTTCCTTTTGACCCGGACTTGAGACGTAGATTAGAGCCTGCAACTCAGCAAATTCATTTTGTGGAGCCAGAACCGGAAGCGTATTTACCTCTTCCTCGTCCCAGATCACCGCCAAGACAACACATACATTTTATCCAACAGCTTCCACCACCATACATTCCTTCGCCTCCACCTCCTCCTACATCTCACAATATTCACGTATTACCTCCTCCTGCCATTCTTCTTCCACCGAGGAAACCTTCTCCACCACAAACCCATATCCACCTTCTTGGTCCTGCTCCTCCTCCTCAAATTAATACACCACCAGCTCAAACACTCGCTTTGGTTCCGCTCCCAAAAGCTAAAAGAAAAATGAATTTTCCCAATCATCTTCATCAACATCCCCATCCTCACCATCACCACAATCACAATCATCGACACCGCTCTTCTTCTTCCTCCCCTTCTCGTTCTCCTTCCCCACTCTCCCATGCACACCGCCCCCCCTCATAATCACGCCAACAATCAACAAAATAACCCAAACAATCTGAATAATATCCCTCTAGCGGATCTCATTCGCGATGTTTTACATCGCTATTTGCAAATAAATTTGCCACCTGGAACAGCGATTAGCATAGCGAGATTGATGTCTAACAGTCGGAATCCTAATCCTAATTGGAGCGTTCAAGCGAACGCTGGAACTAGTAGAAATCGCTCGCGGAGTCGGTCACAAAGTAGGGGTCAAGGGAGAGGAAGAAGAGGCGGAAATAACAACAACGGGAATGGAGCAGGGAATGGGAATGCAATTGGTAGTGGCAGAAAGGGAAACGGAGGAACTAGACAAGCAATTATGAGTTCGGACTCGAGTTCGGATTCGAGTGATGCACCAACGCAGAAGAGCAAAACTGCCTTGTTAGAAGAGATTAGACGGTTCGTATCCCTGCTTTGATTTTCTCTTCCATTTCTTCCTTATCTCACTTTGAGGTTCTTGGAAACTAACTTATGATTCTCAGAGTCAATATGTGCACCCAGGTTGCAAATGGTATCATCAGACCATCTATGCTCAACGCTGAGGTTCACCCTAAACTAGACGCTAAAGGGAAATATTTGAAAGATTTTCAACATCCTTTGAAAATCAAGGACTTTTTAGCTATGGATAGTTTGTTTTCTCGTTTCCTTGCCCCTTACACCACACAATCCTTTACAATACCTGAAATTATTTCATCCCATTTCACATACATACACCAAAATCCCCACAATCACAACCCCATCTCCACACCCCAAGAAACAAACTAACTTCTCTCCCTCCCCATAGCAAAAACCCTAGACGCCCTCCTCACTAGCTATGATGTCCCAGTAGGAACGAGTCACAGCTCTACTGATACAACAATGCTCGCCATTTTCGTCTCTCATCTCCAAAAGACTAAATCCCATGGAACCAGGAATTCCCCCTGCGACTGCAGAGTCTGCGCGTCCATTCGTGAAGAGCAAAAAGAGGAGAAGAGAAGAGTTCTTTTGAATATCTCTGTGTGGGTGCTCTGCACGGTGGGTCGGGCGCTGGAAATTTGTTAGCTCAGGCTCCTGTTCAGGGTCATGGTCAAGCACCAAACCAAGCACAAGCACAAGCACAATCAGCTCGAGCAGGAGGCGCATTAATAGCCGCGAATGCAGGAGGTGGAAGTAGACATGGAGGAGGTGGTGGGAATCAAGCCGCAAACGCAAACGCGAATGCAAATGCAGCAGGTTATCTCATTCTGCCGCAACCGGGTCATGCGATACAAGTGCAGAATGTACAGGGAGCAGTGCCGAATCGGTTGAATAATAATAATATTGGGCTTGCGCAGCCGAGTCAGCATGCGGGTCATTCGCATCATCAGTCACAGCATTTGAGTGGTGGGAATGGGAATGGTGGAATATTGAGAACGCATACTTAACGTTGAGATTAAAGATTTCAAACTTTTATTTATATTTTTCATTTTTTTATTTTCATTCATTCTTGTTTTGCTATTTGACTGGTACATGTTTTCATACATATTATTTTCATAGATAGGAAGATAAAATAAATCATACATAATACACAACAGCATGAAGATAGATTGATGAGAAGAGAAAAGTGCAAAATTAGGAAACGCCTTGAGGCTTGTCATTATCTAGTTTCATGCCCAAGATGATTTTCACTTCGGGACAGTAGTTCATTATGTGGGAGACGTAGTCGGGTTTATCCCAGATCTGTTGGGTGGGTTTGGTGTTAGTTTCTCCGGTTATTTTGGGTTTTGGGAGGGGAACAAAATGGATAGATGGGAAAGGAAATAACACGACGGGCAGTACAAATGTGAGATTTTACCGTGAAATTGATGCAGAGGAAACAACACATCTTTGCCAGCGGGATGAGAAGCGAGCAAATAAATGATGAGATGACGAACCTGTTCATGGTGGTACCCCCAACCATCCGATATGATAACCCAGCGGCGCTTCGTCCCAAACACTTTCCACACTAAAAGTCTTGCTCACTGCTGCATTTGCCATTTTACTTCCTTCCAGCTTGTTCAGTCCTGTACTCAGCCATAGATCTTCAAGTGCTCCATCTCCGGGTTTGCGTCTTTCTGTTTCTAGCAATCGTAATATGGATGATACGCGACGGAGGGAAAGTCCCCCGTTGCCACCATGGGTTGAGTATGTCGACCATGGCGCTCCGATATAATCATACTCGATGAAATCGTTCAGAGTAGTGGGTGCTTTGGTGCAAAATATAGAGTCGGGTTGAAAGACTAGGAGATGTTCGGCTGGAGAGAGAGATTTGTAAAGTTCGGGGTCGGTGAACATCTGAGATATGGATTCACGACTTGAGACATCCCAATGGGATGGGAGGGGAACGAGAGTAAGTTTATTTGAGGCTACTAGATCTCGCAAGTGGTGAAATCCAAATAGATAATTGATGGAAGTGTGCTTCCCATAAATTTAAAGGTCCACTCTTGTGGAATGACGCTTGTCATATGTGTGAGCTGAAGAGGTAGATGTGGTAGTGGGCGAGTCTCCACCATGAATGCTAATTTTGTGGGATCGAGGGTAGAGGTTGGTAAAGCGTATTCGTTTTTTGTGGAAACAGAAATTGATGTACTGGTATGTGTCACCGTATGTTCTATAGTTTCGATTTGAACAATTGTAATAGGACCGGCGTCGAGAGGTTTAAGTTTTGGTTGGATTTCGTCATGGTTCAAACGATATGCGAATCTGAAAGAAAGGGTCAGACGTGAATCATGAGTTCATTGACACAGCTTGAAGATTGAATAGTGAAGAAGCTTGGAACGTACCCATAAACAAAGACAAGACTCAAGAATACACCAACTATCACCATTGATCGCATTCTACTCCCGAAACTCCATGATGCCAAACCCGTAGACATATTCAACACTTATCAGAATGCCAATTCCCTTACAAATACTCCTTACCCATCAAGGCAAATTGAAATCTCGAAAGAAGAAAACGCTGCGATACAGCCAAAGGAGAAGAATACAAAGGGAAGAAAGTTGACAGAAAAAAAGCTACCCCATACTTTGACCTTATATAAACCCACATTACTTCTGATAATTACTTTTAGAACCCCTAGTTACGCGGCTTCATGCTAGTGCAATGAGTATTTGTGTGGGATGTGATCAATTCGATGATGAATCAGGATCCATATCAATAAGGCTAGATCCTCCCAAATTTACGAGGGGTTTCCAAGTAAGGCTTGAGACAAGAGATATTGATAATTCTTAATGTTAGAAAAGCAGGGTTTGCTTTTGCAATCTATCACTGCGTACTGTTAGCAGTTGTCTACTCTCCGGTGACCACAATGCTAGTTGCCCCTATTCTATATGCATGAACTAATAAGCAACCGACAATATCTGAAGATATCAGTTGTCTGATGCAAACAATCATCTAATCTTCGTACTTCGGGCGAAGCTTGAAAGACCAAAGATAAAGAATGTTTGGAAAGATCTGGCTCTCGTCGTAAACATGTGTGGGTCAAGGCGTACGTCTGCCAATGCTTATTTTAGAAACCTTGATGATTTAAGCTTTTGATCTGAGACATCGGGTTTTTTGTCGGATTATACCCACATCGGGAATGGAGAACGAGAGTCACGTGGCAGTTTGGAATTTCCAGCGTTTGCTTTGAATACGTCTAATCCAGAGACAGTCAACCTAATTCTTCTGATGTCTTCTCGCGACAACGAACGACAACGTCGAATTAAAGATCGTGTGCTTCGTGGTAGGATATGTTTTGAATCCCGACTCCCGACTCCCGAGCTGAAAGGGCCAAACTACATCAATCTTGAGTCGAAAACTACTCTGCAGTGTGATTTGAATGAGCGGAAATATATTTTGACGACCAAACGGCTATCCTTTGGGATGACATATAATTTCCTAGAGCTACGAACGCCAGTGTTCTCACTCAGAAATCCTGAATGTCTATGTCAATAGCGAACATTCGAATTCCTTCTCGCCAAGCATCAAGTCTCATGCAAGACTCGGCATGGCTTTCATCACTCAAAAGGCTCAAGTCGATTGAAAGGGTGTCACAATCTTAATATCCTAGGCCTGTTCGAAAGAGCTATTGGCTATTCAGCACGGAATCATGAGATTTGTAGTCATCGGAGAGTTCCGTGATATGTATGAGGCAGCCAAATGGCTTGTATCTTATCGGCATTCATCATCCTACTCTCACTACTCATGGCCTGCTTCCAGCTCGAGCAACTTAACAAAGGAACCTAGATGATAAGTGCTGAAGTGTCGTTCAGCTCAGGTATTAATTATAGCTTGAATGCGTCGTTATCTCCCATGGTCAGAATCCTATCTCATGATAGCCTATGCCAGATGTTGTGATGAGAAGGCTGAATGCGCTCGTGGCGACAACGCCGAAGTTTGTTTGGCAATTTATTAGCCTCACCATCCAAATACACTTCTCGAGTCTTTCATTTCCCAATGATACGGTTTTTCCAACAGAAGGCCATCTATCAAGAATTTATGCTTATGCTGAGTGCTGACTTGGAGCATTCGCACCAAACGCCACTCAATGCCAATCTTGGGGCTGAGTAGTCAGAATCTTGAGAATCATGTTATTTCGAAATTTTCATCTAATGTTTACGATCTGACATGGTGAGCAGCGGAATGTGACTCTCAATCATCTTCGACCAAACAATTTATCAACGGGGTTTTCATTGCCAATGATTATTGGCTTGAAAGGAGACATCGACCCTAGATACGAACACAGCCTTCGGAAAAGTTTCTATGCGAGAGGCTGGTGATGTATCCTGACATCAGCCCTACATTAGCAACAATATCATTTCAATACTGCCGCCCCGAAATCGACTTCACATAAGTAGGTGAAGGTTTTTCATTACATTTTCATTCCTCATCTTATTTTCCCTCCTCTTCAATTCCTTACTTACTTTCATGTTTTCAGTTTCTCCTTACCACAGTCGTTAGATCTTCTCTCTTGTTTCGATCTTCAAAAATTGCACTTTGCTCTTGATCTCCCTCTATTCCCATAATTTTATTTTATTTCATTCCCTCATGAAGTTCTCAGGAATTGTACCGTTGCTATCTACGAGAACGACATTGTCATCGACGTGAACGTTGTTGATATCACGATCATCATCATTGATGGTTTCCATGTGACGAAGACTGTTACTATAACCGATAGCATCACATATACTCCGACTCCTCCCATCCAAACCACCACAACCTCGCCTCACAGCACTGAAACCGGTATCTCGAATGGCGAAATTCATCATGTAACTGTAGGCGATAAAGGGCTCAAGATTTACTCTCCAAACCAAATTAACGCCAACGTGGGTGATATCATCCGATTCAAATTTCTAGCCAGAAAACCACACCGTTACGCAGTCCAACTTTAACACCCCCTGCAACTTCAATGGCGGTTTTGATACTGGCTTCAACCAATTCAATCCCACCAACGCTACCAACATTACTCGTGATTTCGTCGTTAATACAAACAAACCAATTTGGTTCCACTGTGCTCAAGCAAATCCAAAATCCCATTGCCAAGCTGGTATGGTTCCTGGTATCAACCCCGGTGATAGGTTCGATGCTTTCTTAGAAAGAGTAAAGAACAGCGGTAACTCCACAGTCATTCCTTCTGGAACGGGATATATCACCGGCGTTCCGACTCCCACTGATACTTACACCACTAAGACCGGGTCTTGGATCACGGGTGTTCCAGCACCGTCTGGATATCCTTCGACAACTTCTGAGAAAAGCGACGTATAATCCCGTTTACAAGTATCCTTCTATCAAGAGAAGATCATTCCAGGTATAAGCGGTTTTCTGTTCCTCTTCCCAGCTGTCCATTGCTTCTTTGTAGCTAGTTTCGAGTCTGGCAATTTCTTCTTCTTGACCTTCCTGATTCTGAGCTCTGAGATTGGCAATTTGTTGTTAGTGCTGAGCTGTGAGGTTACCGCTCTGTTGCTCGTACAAGATTGAAACATCGGAGAGGTATTTTTAGTGGTGGGTCGTGAGGATGGTCATGGATTCTCGATGATCAGAGATGGAGAAGTCAATGTATCGCTGATGCTCACCCTCCATAAAGGTAATATTTCGGAGGTGTTCAGCCTCGATTCTGCCAACCCTTTGTTTGTATTGGTTTTTCTCGAGGGCTAACATGGCCTGGCGTTGAAAAGTTTGGATTTGGCTTTGAGCTTTGTGGTGCTCAGTCTCTGACTGAACTAATTGGTTCGACATGAATGTCTTGATAAATCAAGTTGAATTGGGTTGTAAGTGACCTTTATTTGGATTTGATTTTTTTGTAAGATCAAATTGTTGTGTGTAAAAAGATGAAGGGTCGGAGGGTTCAAATCTTTCAAGTGTTTTGAATCTTGAAATTACAGTAGACTTATGATTTCCGAATTCCCAATTAGGTTAGGAGATGAATTGACTAGTTTTCAAGTTCTAATTCGCTTCTTGTCTGTTGATTGGTTATGTCAAGTGAATACATTCAAAATAGAAAGAAGTCTATAACAGTGAATATTATGACTCAGACGTTGCACACCCAGTTCATCGATCATTACTCAAAGATAATGTGGAATATCGATCAATCAATTGTGGCATGCAAAATTCATGTTAGTAGTGGATTCAAACTTAGATGCTGAAGGAATCATGAATGAGAAGACCGGACACATTGCTCGAGGTAAATTTTCAAAGGAACAAATAATTGATATTAAAAGGCACGAATCAAGATTACATCACAAAACACAATCGCTTCTCTTCTTGTAAATGTTAATGAGTCTAATTTTAGATCAAGATATGAACCCACGATCTCACTAATAAGAATTCAGGAAAAGTACATGTACGTTTCTATCCAAGATCTACAATCTAGCTCCACAAGTCAGAGTACCTATTTAAGTTGTCGCAGAATTTGAAGATATAGAAGTCACCCTAAATTTCATGAAGAAAAAAGCTTGAGCGAATGATAATGTTAGAACCTTCCTTCACCTCTCTCCGCTCTAATCCTTACTCGTCTTCCCCGTGCTTCGTTTTCGCTTATCCAATTTATTCCCTCTCTTCCTTTTAAACCCGTACCTTTCTTTTCTCACCCCCTAACTTTTGTTTTTTTTTTTCATTCATACCCATACAGCCCAGCGTTAAAAAAATAATCAAGGCAGAAAGGTCTTCGTTTTGGTCTACTTTGTGGTCACGGACTATCTTAACAATCGGCCGTGAGAATTTCCCTGGTTGATATATTCTGCAAGTAGAAGTATTTTACAACCACTTTCTCAAGGAAAGTAGCCTAGACCGCTCATTTGTCCTTTCCATCCGTTTAATCTTGATTACATTCATATGCGGTCTCTTGGTGGTGCTCGATGAACTGAATAAAATAAGCGAACAAATATGCGGGCGCTAATATTTCCTCGACCCAGTTGCCTAGGAGCCTAGACGTTCAGCACTCCAGTAAACGAAAAGTGTTGGCCCTGTAAATCGTTGCCTACAAGGCGTCTACAAACTCCACATGCAAAACTATGAATCAGTAACAGAATAAGAAGATAGGCAAGCAATCCAACAGCGTATATATAAACCATGAAGTTACATCTACAAAACTTCCTTTTTCATCATTATCAAAACGCAACAATACGATCTACACAATAATTCAAACAATTGAATCGAATAATATCTCACATCTACAATGCCTCAGAGAACTAGCCAGTCTTCCAAACCCAAACGTGATGACGTATGATTTTATTTTCCTTTTCCCTTCTCCTTCTATCATTCTTGGATTTTGAAGATATTGAGAAATTCAGCTAACAAGAAACAGTTTCTATCTGAAAGAGATTAAAAACACGCCTTAAGTGACTATCGGGAAGCTCGAGCCGATTCCATTAATGTGAAGAAAGGTCGGACTGATGTATGATTTTATTTTCCTTTACTCTTCTTCTTTTATTATTTTCGTATTTTGAAGATACAAAGAATGTCAGCTAACAAGAACCAGCATATACATTATAAGGTGGGGGAGAAAGTATCGAGCCAAACTCGTTCTACACCAATTGCAAGTGACGGACAGAAGCAAAAAGACTCTTCCTGCCCTCCGATGAAGAAGGCGACTGATCCAGGCAAAAATAAAGGCAAAGCGAAAGTCACATAGAGTGGTGATGCGGAAGAGAAGAAAAGAGAAGCAGAAAAGCCCAAGAAGACGACTACATCATCAACAGGCACTCGATCCTAGAAATTAAATTGTAACAATCGGGATTTCCAGATATGAGAGCGGGAGTGGGGGTTAAATTAGAAGTAGATGAGAATATAAATTGAAGAAGTCAAGGATTGATAGAGATAAAACCCAAGACAAGAACAAAACAGTCTCAAATCGTACGCTCCTTAGATATATAAACTCATTCACAAACCAAACCTGACCAAAAGTGTGTTCTCAAAAAGTCATTGAAACGATAACACCTGTCCTGTAACTTTGCTCTAAACCCAAAATTGCGGAATTTTAATGATTATCAAAAGTTTGACTATTTTAAATCCTAAAACTGTAGTTGAAACCTCTAACATTTACATTCATCAAAAGCTCAAACTCATATAAAGACCTTAACAATCAAGTCTTACTAACAATACTAAGTCTCTAGATATCGAGAATCGAAAGATCTCAGAATCGTACAACGAACAACCTTATTATAGACCTCATTACCTACCAATCACCTAAATTATACCACAAATTCTATACCTACTATAGAATAAAAAAATAGATAGGTAATTTATTTGATAATACGGTATATGGAGTATATATATCATATCGCATTCGTCAGCCAAGATCAGTTTGTATAAGCAGAATGATTCTATTGGTGGTAAACAAAAGCGGTGTATAACTTATTCTACATACCTCTAGGTGCCTATATAAAGATCATAAAATATTATAACAAATATCAAAACACGAGAATAATTATCATTCCATCTCAACTCCAATTCAAACCACCTCATCGAACAGTTTCCTGCATCAAAAAAAGACCTTATAAAAGATACTGGGTAACAACATTAACCCCCCTCCTCCCGCAAAACAAAATACCATTTATGGATATCCACAATATACCCATCCACCCCTCCATCCACCCCCCATCCACCCCCCATCCACCCCTCCATCCACCCCCCATCCATCCCTCCATTCACCCCCCTATTTTCCATACTCCCCTCTCCATCCCTCTCTCATAAAAACAAAAATACATAACCAAATAACCAACCAAACAACCAACCAACCAAACAATTACTCACCTAACCAACTACCTACCCAACTACCTACCCAACTACCTACCCAACTACCTAAATAATCAATTCAACTAGGTATCCCAAAGCCTTCTCACTCACCCCCCACCGCCCCCCTTCCCCCCTCTCAAAAAAAGCAAAAAAAAACAAGAACATTCTAGCTTTAGACAATTCAACAATTCAATCCTATATACCTACATAGGTAGTCAATAATACAATCCTACATACCTACATAGGTAGTCAATAATACAATCCATGTATTCCACGAGCCTAAATCCTCTATTGTGAACCAAACATCATAAATCATAAACTTCTCATAAAAATTCCTACCATCTATCTCTATCCATCCAAGTCTCAAAACACTTCAACGGGATTGACAATTCAATTTCCCATGAACCAGAACGCCATGGTTTGAAACTACGATAGGTAGGTTGGATATACCCCACAAACTCCACTGTAGCAATATCCTACTCCCTACTTCCTAATTACCAAATCATGTCCTAATAACACCCCCCCCCCCCGAGCCCCCCCATACCCAAGCAACTGATTCCCTCAACTCAAACATTTACCTCCTCTTAGCCCTCTCTCTAACCCCATCCTCCAATCTCTTAACCCCTTTCAGCAATCCTGCGCCTTTCTCACAATTTCCCTCCAACCACTCCTCCATTTCCTCTCTCATAACCCTCATTCCCCTAAGCACAGGTAATTTTCCCCCTTCTTCTCCATCCACATATCCCTGCGGATTCAACAAGATATCGAAAACCCCTGCCCAGATTTCAGTTTGCCAGTATCTCTTAAGACCCTCTTTGATTTTCCACTTTCTCAATCCACCTCCCATTCCACCAATTGAATCACCTGGTCTTTCAGCAATCGTATCGATATATTTTCCAAAGAGCATGCTATGAATAATGCCCGCCAATCCATGATAATCAATTTGATAGGTCCATGGTCTTAATTCTCTCATTTCCGCACAATCTTGGGGACCAGTCTTCCAGTCCGCGATGAATTGAACGTCAGGCTTGAAACATTTCATGTCAATTCCCCTGCCAAAATCAATGAGTGCAATGCCCTTTTTATTCCAGCCGTCGCTTCCATCTCTCTTGTATTTAGGACTCCAAATATCAGAGTCTGAGAGAGAATCAAAACGAACGAGACAATTGTCTGCTTTGAGATCGCCGTGGAGGATACCCTTCGAGTGTAGAGCTTCAATTGTGCGGAACAACTCGATGGTGAAGAACATAACGAGGAGTTCATCCATAACACCACCTGGTGACTTGGCATCTGCGCGGGAGATATTGATGATATCCAGTAGAGTACCTTGATCTCTATATTCTTCTATCAAATAGCATTCATCTCTATAAAGATGCATTTCGTACACATCAAGAATACTTTCTGCAGGACGGGAAACTCCCAATCTTCGTTTCGCTTGGCGCATGATGTAGAATTCCCATGCACTTGGTGGATCTTCCATCTTTAATGCTTCTAATGATTTGCGATTAAAGTGATCGAAAGCTCCCTTACCCATAACTGCCGGAGTTTCGTTCTCATCTTGCTCGGCATCTTCTGTTCCACTTTCGAGTAGATACACGGGGGCAAATGCGCCGGCACCAAGTTCTCGTTTCAATGTGTATTGTCTATCTGTTCCAGGAAATTCTAGGGTCGGGGGCGCTGAGATACTAGTTCTGTCGCTTGAGCCTTTCGCTCTCGAAGCTGCTTTGGCATATTTCTTTAATTCTGCTGACTGACCTCTCGTCTCGTCGTGCTGAGAAAATCCTTCATAAGAGCTGAGAGGAGGTTGTAACTTCTCGAATATTAATTGTCGAATACCTTCATCGACCGGATTACATTGGGAATCGTGAATAATAGGACCTTTAGGTGCAATTTCTTTGGCGAATGCCGTCGAATTTGACAAAGGCTTTTTCTTGCCTAATTGTGGTTGCGGAATTCTGTCGATGGGCTTCGCTTCATTAACAATTTCTCTCAATGGACTGCTATCCTCCTCCTCCTCATCATCATCTTGGAAAACCTGTATCTTTGATCCACTGCCTCTGCTAGGACTAGTGGTCGAATTAAAGTAATGTTTCTGATCCCTGATTGTTGGTAATCCAAGCGAAGATTCAGTTCTCTCAACGATTGGGGTCATGAAAGGAAGTCGATTTTGAGAAACTTGAGCAGGGTCTCGATATGGATGAGTGGGTGGATCATAATCTTCTGGAGGTATTGGCACAAAACTTGTCGTTGATCTGAATGGTCCATCCTCGGCTATTGGAGTCACGAGATCATCGTGTTCTTCGACATCACGAGGAATTGCAACCTTGATAGCCTCGAACTCTTCATCTTCTCCATCAGTGAAGGTAGAGGCTATCGTTCCATCTTCATCGTCCATATCTGGACCAGGCCTCTGCGCTGTAAATTCGGTCCACTCGCTTTCACTCTTTACATCCGTAGTTTCGTCATCATCACCAGCTTCACTAGTACCATGAAGTCCCCCTGTCATGGTGCTTTCTCCGCCACTTGTATAATCACCATCAGTCATATCTTCATCGTCATCATCACTTTCTTCCTCTTCTTCCTCTTCCTCCTCCTCATTTGCTGGTTTGAGGGGTTGGTTAAAGATATCGTAAATTTCATCCGTGGCTGCTTTAGTATGCAGAGTCATCGTTTGCTCCTTGGATGCCTTCCTCTTTTTCATCTTCTTCCCCGTCGGCGAAGAAAGTTTGGCGCTGACTACAGATTATTAGCTTTCAAAATTGCCAAAGATTACTCAAATACTCACTTATTTGCGTCTTATTGACCTCCTTAACTTTTATTCTCCTATGCTTGGTTTCCCTATTATGTTCTTTCTTTGCTCCATTTTCATCTAGATATACTGAATCTCGAGCAACAACGAGCTTTTCCGGTCGATGATTTTCGTCAGTATATACAGGATCCCGAGCAATAACGAGCTTCTCTGGCCGATCCTCATCCGTAGGTACGGGATCCCGAGCAATTGCAAATTTCTCCTTGCGATTTTCATTGGAAAATACTGAGTCCCGAGCAATAACTAGCTTCTCTGGAATTTGATGTGTAATAGTTTCAATGCCCATATCAGAATCTTGAGCTGGTTCACTTGACATTGGCTCCGACGGTACATCAAATTCCGCTTCCCACGACTTATCCAACCATCCACGATGAGCAGCCCGTAATTCTTCGAAGCTCAATTCTGTCCCAATTTCATCCGGACTAGGATACACAGCTTCAAGATTAACAAAAATTTGTTCACTTCGGCCATTTCTAGGATTAATAGTCACTTGTTGCAATTCTGGAATTGTGATTTGAGCTAATTTTAATGACTGAAATACATAGCGCCACAAGTGCCAAAAATTAGTCCTATGACATCAACATATGCAAACAAGGGACAATAGAACGGAAGGAATAACATACCTCGTCCTTGAAAATTGCCATCTTGGTACTACTCTTCTTTCCACCCGCTTTTAATGTTTCTCCAACCCATGGCTTGGGTTCAATCCTATTTTCCTTCTTTCGGTCTGCCAATGATCCTATACTTTCCCAACCAGCCCCTGGAGATGCAGAGACTGCCGGTGCAGATCCATTCTCATCATCCGAGAAAATCTTCAACTTCTGCTTACCACTCTTTGTAGTTGTTGAACCGCCGCCTACACCCGCAGAAGGTCTAGGTGCTTGAGGATCCTCTGGGGCCGGCGCCACTGCAGCATATGGGTCTATCTTCGCCGCAAGAGCTGGTCGAACTGTCGGTAATGCGGGGGATGAAGGTTCATTACTGCTATCTGGTCTAGCAGCAAATCTTTCCTGGAACTCGTTGAATTTGCGTAACAAACGTGGTGCCGGTCTAGCCTCCTTATCAATACCCATCTGAAAAACTTCCTCTGCTTGTACCCATCTGCCAGCACCTTCTAGCCATCCTGCAAATTCTTCGTAGAATAATGCTAATCCTTCCCCAATATTATGACGAGCTAGAAATGCGAATGTTTCGCGCGGTGTATCGGAGAAGAATCGTATGTATGAAAGCCACAGCTTTAGGTATCGTGGATCATTTTTGTATTGTGGAGAATTGAGGAACGTCTTCGTTGCGCGCTCGAGAAGAGGGGCAAGTTGTGAATTGGGTGTTGCTTGTGCGGAGGGGTATGCATCGAGTGTCCATTTGACATATCGATCGTAGATATCTAAATGGATCGTCGATTCACCAATGTTGGCTAACTCTTCTTCATATTCCTCTCTAACTGCATCGTTCAGATTTCTGGTATCGGATGGTGTAGGTGTTGAGAGGGGTTGTAGAGGTGATGGAGAGAATATTTTTGCGAGATTCCTTGCGGATCGTCCTTGTGGTAATGATTGAATGTTTTCTTTCTGATTCTCAATTATGTCGAAATCGATTAAATCCTCAGAAGCAGACATCGTGAGGTTCTTGTGGTGGTTAGTAGTTTGTCGAAAATGTTGTCGTCGTAATATTTGGAATTGGAGTTGTTCTTAAATTAAAAATGGTAGTTGAGTTGTTTACGTTTTTTGTTACGATACCCAAATACCCCAGCAACCCCACCATACACCAATCAAATCCTTTTGCGCATGTGAGTGAACAACACCGACCCCGATGTCAGTTCGAGACTAATATATTTATTATCATTGATTTAAGTATTACAAGATCTCACAAATACTATTCAAAAACTCCAAGATCACAGATTCAGTAATAAGCCAATAACAGATGAATAATTCTCAAGATTCTGGAAGGATTCCCTAATATATATTGTCAAACACTATCGAATAAAGGCAATATAACATTCTCTTGACATCGTTCAACGTCCTCCTGCGAAGTCTCTTTCTACGTACTCTCTTGCCCCGATTGTTCCCTCACATATCAAGCTCCCAAACTTTCATTTCTAGCCCACTTGATCGACAAGCGTGTTGTTGCAATACCCTTACTGGCCGCCAACTGCCATATCCACCGTCGCTGCACCATGCTCATAGGACCCAGGATTCTTTCTTCGAAGACGAGCCTCACGAGAGTAGCATTCTTCCTGATCCTCCTCATCCAACACAATCCTCACCCTCGGAGGCTTCCATTTCGTATTCCCTCTTTCAGACCTTATGCGCTCGAAACACTCTTCGAGTTCCGCAATAATTTTAGATGGGGTCATATCCCATCTTGCCGAGTGACTTCGCCAGTTTCCTTCTATCGCAAAATCCGGATGGTCAATCCATCGAGGTCCCTGTTCCTTATAACGATATGTGTAATAATCGACAACATATGTGAATGTCTTTAGATTTGGGAACTCAGCTATCCACGTCGCTAACTTCAGCCAGCTGAAAGGCTCGTGGTGTCTTATAGACTCTTCCCAAATCCACCGGATCCCAGTAGCCTTTGTCGAAACTGCAAGATGCTGCATCGCACCCATTCGCTTTTGGAAAAACGGATTATCAAGAGGGAAACTCATATCTTTCACGCCTGGATTCAAATTGGGATTGTCTTTGGAATGGATCGGAAGCCAGTATGGAACATAAATGATGTCCATAGATGGCTTCCACCAGCGACCAGAGATGCTACGACCGACCCGCCTCATCATTTTGCTCGTTTTCTTTACTACTCCATGACTCGTGATAAATCCTTAATGTCTCCTCTCGTGATTCTTGGCAGATATGCAAGAATTTAGGTGGAGGTAGGTATTGAAGACAATAAGTGTCAAACTCCTGAAGTCGGACATTTGCATCGACTTTGAAGTGAAGTATCCTCTCTTCAGAACAACAAAATTTCCAAATCTCACGACGGATTTCGGTAGGCAAATCACAAAAATTCGTAGCTGGATTGCTTGCGCCAGACATTTTGGTGTAGAAATATGGGTTGGACTTTCAATTCAATAGACCTACAGGTATGTTTTGTACACGATGAATGATGAAGATATACAATGTATGCTAACGGACACAGTGAACAAAGAGGACACAACTGAGGTCAAGTGGATACAGATTATAATTGAGCTTGGGTGCGTTTAGTGATGATTGGGTGGAAGGCACGATTCTACTGGATGATTATTCTCGCGCGATTTTATCCGGACACCACAAAGCTGATTAATACACACCTATAGTTCCACCTAATTGTGTCTCCTACCAATTTTGCTACATCACGAATTTGATGTTAAATCTACCTAGTACTTATAGATTGTAAGCATAATCTATCCTCAATACTTTCAGGATCGCGAGAGAGAGATAGCATTTAATTCCTGTACACATTCCAAGCAGATTTGTTCAACATATTCTACATTACCTAAGAAAGGCTTGAGTCAAGTCCGAGAACCTCAACAGCAAGTGATGTGATAGTTGAAGGAACGATTTTAGTAGATCAATACTTCCGAGTTCAACTTTATAACATACTTCAACCATTCCTTTCGTGTTTCCAGGGTAGTAAATGTTTCCAGCGAGTGAGCACTCCTCAAGACGGTTTCAAACTCATCAAAATCTTAAGCTAGAGCAATTAGATCTACATCCGCCTAGTATCGCTTCCGCCTCCACTACTTCTATTTCCATCACCACCCAGTAAACTCTTCCCCTCTGTACCAAAATCTTCGATCCTGTTATTTTCTTCCTTCAGCTTTTTAATCTGTACATATAAAAGGGAGATAATTACTAGTACAAACTGATTTATTAGTCTGAAACATAGTATAAGATTACCCGAATACCGCCTATTCAAAGCAGAAACCACAAAAAAAGAAACGGGCCTGCTAGTCGCAGCTGAATCACAAAAATAGTAAAGTGAAAGTTCACAACTGTTTTTATTTGTTAGATTACACTCATAAGACAGTCACAGGATTATGGTGTATAAGAATGTTTAATTATTGATAGGAGAGACTAGCTAAAGTTACGAAGTGTTTTTTTTTTCTTTTTTTCTTTTTTTTTGGTTGTGAAGATAAGCGAGGAAAAATAAGGAGAATGTAGAGATAGGCTATATTCTGTCCGTCCGTTTGTCGTAGCAGAACTGCCCTCAATATCATAGTAGCCTACCCTAAATTCCTAAACTATTCAGGTGCTGAACCAGTTATCAGAACCCCCACTGGAGTCAATCGATCCTAAAACAAGACCATTAAGCGAACTTCCCCCACCCCCCCCCCCGCCCTGCCTGGTTCGTTCATATGAGTCCCTGCGTTCCGCCATTTGGCTAGCTCGTAAAGCCATATTCCCCTTGAATATTTCCGCGGATAGCAATTCCATCTCTAACAATGATCCATTCACCATAGTGCGCCCTCAAAGATTTGCGCCAATCCCTTATACGGAACCCAGAATCGTTCCATCAGCATGAGCGGGCAAATAAGTGTCGAATCCCACAAAGATACCTAGGCTCGGAGCAATGCTTCTTACGTAAACGCCAATCTGCATCCGCATCGAATCGCGCAATCATGCCTACACCCGGTACGTGCACCTTCCAGAAATTCATAACATCGTCCTTGAGTCTAAATCCAGAGCCAAGCTGTCTAAGAAAACCTCGAAAGCAATCATCCACTTCTGCCTTTGCTTGCATCAAGCTATGGGGGCGCTCATTGTGCAATGTTCCATCTTCAAACTCGAAATCCTGGTAGTATAATTCATCATTGACGTCAAAAATCACTTCTTCTGTGTCGAGGTGCATCTCGGTCATCGGGTCATCGTTTGAAATGATGTATGTCAATTTTTCGAGATTGGGACATTCGACACTGATTACACCCGTGTATTAAGCGATCAACATCATCTTCTTGGAGAGGATGGTATGGCCAGTTCCATTGGAATGGTCTTACATTAGCGAGGGCGATATGCTTAACATTTGACAAGTCAATGGATCCACCGACAAAGTAGAGGATAAAAAGCTGGCGATAATCAATAATTAATGTGTCAGTCTCGGGTCGGATATAAACATGGCTTAAAGAGCGGTATCCGGATCCTCTCTCATGAAAGATATTGCGTCTACAGCGATCCCAGAAATAGTCGGGAGGAGAGTAATTTTCATCGTGCAATGCCTTGTAAAGCTTTGACTTTACACCTCTGGAATACTTCTGAAGCTCAACTTTCTTGAATTCCTTGTTCACCTCTGTATTGAAGAGCCAGGAAGTATTGAGCAATGGTGTGAGATGCATATCAGGTAGCATCTGAAAGTTCAAGATCATGTTGAAATTGCTGAACACGGTTCTAAATCCCATGCGAATGAGACGCTTTTGAGGTAATGCGTACTTCAACATCATCACCTGAACCTCGAGAGGAAGAAATTCAAATGCAAAAAGCTATCGTCCTCGGTTGAGCGTTCGAGAGCCTTAAAGGCCTGAGTTTGACTTGGTGTGAGCCAGCTTGAAGTAGGGGTATCTATTTCCATGTTATCCATAGCCATGATTGTATTATCGATGGTTGCATTCTCTTTGGCTGTCTTTTTCGTTGACATCTTCTTCATGGTCTTCTTTTCATCGCTGTCTTTCTCGTGAGCGCCTTTCTCATGGCTGCCTTTTTCAGGATTGATTTTTTAATGGTCTTCCTAGTCATGATCGCCGTTCGAAAGAGTTAATATGTGGATAGAGTTGATAGTAGATTTGGTTGAAGGAATTTTCAAGTTCGAGACAAGTCGTTATTGATGGAGAGTTGTGATTGGTGTTAGTATTAGAAGGAAGGAAGATTAATTGGAGGGATTTCAGCAGTGCTTCGACAATGATTATATACTTATTAGGCAAGGGGACCTACGGCTTGGGGTTTGCTCTACACTATTGCGTTAATTGTATGAACAGTGAGAGTACTCATCTAGCGCACAAATGCTGATGCGGTTATACAGGCGCGAGATACAAGACAATGAGATGACCGCTAGAATCTGTAGATGCTTGTATTAAGATAATGACCGTGAACATTCTACTACTCATTACGGCTTGTTATTCAGTCACTCATATGTAATCAACACGGTAATAGCCTCAAGATATTTAATGCGACTTGCTAAACCTATGTGTGACGAACATCACGTACCTGTGTGATCACACATCACACTAACCTCAGTCCAAGACTAGCTTTAACTAAGCGACCTTTATTACATAAGGGATAGAGACATCCCTCACGGATCTGTTTCCCCTTTAGCTTTCTGATTCTAGTTTATTTGACGTCCGAAGATACGCCCTAGCATGTAATCGTAGCATAGAGTTTACCTCGGTCGTCCAGAAAATTCAAAGATCAAATAATACGGCGCCAGCGCGATTTTACCGTGATAGTGAGATTACAAATGAATCAGTTTGTCGCGATTAATTGAACATCATCATCATAATCAACCAATACGGCTCGTTCTGTAGACCAGTATATATACTGGGCATATCCGTTTTTATTCGAAGTTGCATTTGGCTCCATCCATTCATCTTCATCACATCTACAAATACTAAGCTAACATCCTCTTATCTCAAGCTGAACCACTCAAAAAATCTGGTTCGCAGCTATCAGGTCGATAATCATCCTCATTGAACCCAAGACTGCGAGTCAAACGAATTGCATCACCAAAGATAAGAATATTTGAAGGCCTGATACAAGCGGAGAACTTTCAAGTAGCGGCTCACCACCCAAGATGAGCTCATCCGCCAATCACTTGAAAAATAATCCCACGATGTTCCCTCGATTCGGCCACTTTCCTCTCGAAATTCAATGCATGATCTTTGAGCAGGCATTGCCACCTTCACAAGTTCTGAACTTCCGCTTTTGGATTCATAGGAAACGTGGTGGATTCACCGATATCATCAATTTCGGATCTGCGCTAGCAAAATTCCCTGGCGTTTCATCTCTCTTAGAGACCTGCAAAGCCTCAAACGACACTATGCATCATCGTGCTGGCCTTGAGAAGATCGAACTATTCCGCCCCCCAGTCCGTCACTTTCTTGACACAACTGAGACACTTCCTGATACTCTCAACTACATGTATCTTCGACCTTCGATTGATATCTTTATGGTCAGCATTGATAGCCTCGTGAGATTATATCAACTTGGCGGCTCGATAGGATCCCTGTGCAAAATTGAGCAACTCGCTGTAACAGGAATTGATTACAATCTTTTCGATGATTGGAACGAGGTCGAAATAACGAATCTATTCGAGAAGTTTTACAATGTGACCCAAAAACACTGCCCAGCACTCAAGAAAATTCATCTAGTTATTGGTGACACTGAAGCAGTTCCGTTCGGCCATGTGAAAGATAGTCTTGAGTTGACTCGAGATTTGAGACTGATCGAAATAGACGAAGACTTTCGAAATTTCGATTTTGAGGAGGACAAAGAGAGGCAGGAATATTACGAATTAGAAAGTCTTAAGGCAGAGATGAATAATGCTTTCAATTATGCGCAGCACGCAATGAGCGAACTCAAAGACTATAGAGAAGGAACGGAAATGCTATCAGACAGTGCTGTAGCGGATTACTGGAGGAAAATGAAAGTAGTTCCGGCTATAGTAGGCTGGTTGGAAGGTGGGAAAAGGCCCCAACTATGGTTCCCTGCACTATCATCTGTGCTTCCATGCTATGATGACGGAACTCCTTTCGACAGATATGAGGGGATATTTGATCTTTTTGAGGGGGCGGACTTGTAATCCGTCGAGTTTGAAATCGTTGACACTTGCTCACGAAAAAACCCTCACCCTATTAGCGAGAAACTTCTAGTTCAAACTCGGCAGAAGTAGATTTCCAGGTTCAAGCTATGAGATTACTTGAGTTTCGTTCGCGCTTACCTCGTCTGTATTGTGGATGTTGTAAATGGATACCCGTATCGATAGTTTAGCGAGAAGCTGGTGCGGAAAAGCGAGCATGAACAAGGTTGATATTGGAGGAGTGTGTGTACTAGTAACGACTAGCTTAGAGATGCAGAAACGCTTTGAACTTTGATTAATATGAAAACAGAAGCGTATTCAATGACAATTCAACTCAAATAAAATGACCAATAATCGTATGACTGTTTGTGATACTCCTGCTGACATAAATTTCTCCCGTATATATCTCCCTGTAACCAACCGCGTCTTGATTTGTTTTTGAGGTTCTTCGAATAAAGTTTCAAAAAAATAATAATTTTCATTCCCAAAATTAGTCTGCTGACATGCAGCCCAATATAACTTTCAGCTCCACGCCAAGCCAAAATTCCCACATATTGCTTGCAGCCCTAAATTGCCTGCAAATCATAGCCCGGTTATCGATACGCAGCCCAAAAGCTGACATGCGGGGTGTCTGTGGAACTTTACGGAGCTGGTGCCTAGAACACAGAATTCGATAAGAAGAAATTACTTTCCGCATTTTGGATTTTTAAGAAAGATTTGGAGTCTGAAATTGTCAGAAATTGTGGGAAATAAGAGAGAAATCATGGATTCATCAGATGGGTTTGAACACATTACGCAGCCTTTGGGGGATGTCCAAGAGGAGGAAAAGGTGGATAATGATGTCGTGAGTGGTGAGGAGGAGAACAACAAGGAAAAGGAAATTAACGACGACGAGGAAGAGGCTACCGGTGATAAGTAAGCAGGTCTTAGCATATCGAATTTTTGAATTTCATCCTCTGATATTTTGTAGAGAGTCCGAGGCCGCTCAAAGAAATCCTGAAAATGAGACATCCGAAACGCGCCCTACTTGGACCCGAATGCACCTTCGACACTTGTCTATTGAGGTTTTGAAAGAACACAACATAGATTATGTGATCGATAGTCAGGTATGTGCTTTTCCACTATGATTGAGATCTCAAATACTGATATTTTGAATGAAATAGAATCCAGACTACGTCTTGATTCAACGTTGGGTTCCCGAATATGAACAAGATTTTCTTTGGGCTGCAACTCGTGCTTCACGTACCAGACGCAATTCTGAGAACCGTCGCTCCAACTCTCCATATCCATCACGTGTTCGTTCCAATCGAGCTTCATCGCCTGGAATCATTGAAGTCCGTGTAGGCAAGCAAGCAGCGGAACTTAAGCTGGATATAAATAGAATGGAGTTCAAAGATTGGGCAGGAGCAAAGTATATGGAGCAACGAGGAAAGCATGTACTAGATGTTGCGGTGGAAGATGGAAAAGCGATTAGAGTGGCGATCAATTCAGAGGCCTTGAGAGACGAACTACGAATAGTAATAGGAGCTGGTGTGGGTCTTGTGATAAGTGAATGGCGAAGAGTTTTGACTGGGCCTTGGAAGGTTCTTGTGGAGTATGAGGAAGCGATTAGATCACGATTGCGGAAACTGGAGGAAATGATGAAGTCTCGAGACGAAAAGCTGGAGGAAGATTCGGTGGAAGACAAAAACAAAGTAGCCGATCAAGTTCATGAATACAAAAGATCAGATCGCAAGGTCCGATTTAGAGATCCACCTTCGAGTTGTGAGGTGTGCGATGTGGTCTATCCTCCTCACGAAACCCCTCTTGCATGTATCGATACCAGAGTGGCTCACTTAAAGTGTTTGATCGAATTCATGGACCACGATCTGAAACATGTTTTCGAACTCCGACAACAGATCAAAGACGGTACTATCACTGAGATAGCTTTCACCGATCTTTGGCATTTATTCAGTCCCGGCGATCTGATTGTCACCTATCCCATGTCTCGTGCGTACCGAGTCTTTCATACATCGGGTGGTCGACTGCGCTTATCTAAACCGGAGTTGTTTGAAAAGAAAGCAGTGTGCTCACCTTTCAATATCAACTGCTTCTATATGAAGTCTGATTGGAAGATCGTTGGCCCGGTTCATGAAACTTTAAGAATATCAGAGTATGCTGGAAAGAAGTCAGTGTCAGAATTACTAGTTGAGCTTGATGGGAAGCTCATGGCAGAGAGAGTTACAGTTGCACCCCTTAAGTTACTCTCGATCAGTGAGCGGAAGAATCGAATATCATATCTTGTTGCTAGAGGAAAGAAATTGAGATCCTTGAAGCAAGGTGATCACAGGTATTACTTGGGCAGTGCTGGAGAAGAAGTATCGAACTCGTCAAATAATGAAGATTTGAAATTTGCAGGGCGACCGCCAGTATATGGAACGAGTTCTTTCGTAAATCTCAAGAAAGAACGCGAAGAAGCAAGCGAAGCGTCCCACATTAATCATCAAGGCTAACATTTGAATAGATAAAAAGCGAAGTCATTATAGACAGCGAGTTTGAGATTGAGAACAAAGCTATTGGTCTTTTTGACGCAATTGAGTTCGATTCCAGGGAAACCGCAGAGAATTGCACACACTATGGAGTATCGAATAATCACTACTTTAACGACCGCGGATTTCAGAGAGATTGTCGATGCTCGGACTTGATTGTGGACAATGTTGTTGACAATGACCGTGCGGCCAAGTACAAAGATGATATTCATCTTTTGCATCCTCGTGATGTTAACGATGAACTGGAAGATGAGTTCCTCATGTTATTGCCGCCTACAGTTGAGGGATTTGTGCTGGAGAGGAAAATATGGAAGATGCTGAGTGTAGATACGATAAGTGATTTGAAACAAGAAGGCGTAGAGAATACTGTGGATTTCAAATCTCTTGTAATACCTGAAGGACACGAGAGTCTATTGAAAGCATTGGTGGGAACGCACCCTAGCAGTCACTCACTACTATCTAGAAAAAGCAAGGATCCGTGTAAGTTCTTGACATAGCTCAAAGTAAGAATCCTACTAATGAGAATAAAAGCCAGCCTAGCAATTCTGCTCCACGGACCCAAGAACACAGGGAAGTTTCTCACCGTAAAAGCACTCGCCTCTCATTTCAATAGACCGCTGTACACCATAACCAGCGCAGATCTTGGCATGATCACATGGGATGCTGCACGGGAGCTTGCTACCCATTTCAAACGAGCTACAAAATGGAACTGTATAATTGCAATCCCAGATGCGGAACGTCGGTTCCCGCACCGCAAGAGCCCTTCAGATGGTGATTCCAATATGCCAGGCTTATTTCTGAGGGAGTTAGAACTATTCAAAGGCATTGTTATTCTGACGACGGATATAAAAGATGATGTGGAGGAGCAAGTTCTGAGAGGTATGAATGTATGTCTCGGAAGCGATTTCTGGAGCAGATCAGAAAATCTTCAAGTTTGGCAGCACGTTTTGAAAAAGCGTGGAATTTTTCTTACAGAAGATACTGAAGAACTACCTGCTGGAACTAAAGTGTCAATTGGGGAAGCAGACTATGATCGTTGGTTGAGATTCATAGATGGTGAATATGGAACAGGAAAGCGGTGGAGTGGTGTGGAAATGAACAATTACTTTGATACAGCGTTGGCTCTGGCGGCATATGACACCAATTCCACCAGCGCATCGACGTATGTCTTGAAGGACAGTCACTTGAGTATTGCAGCAAGGGTTGTTGGGACTTCAGTTTTCTCTGTGTTGTAATGTCACTTCTGGCTTTCATTTCAATGTGTGACTCTGCAGCAGTTGCCACAGGATCGAATAGCAAAGGAATGATTTTTTACAATGGTTTAATATTTTATTTTACGAGTAACCCATTTCTCCTAAAATCTCAGTAATCAAAGTCTCAGCAATTCCTGCTCTGAAACTACATTCAGTACATAGTAACCGTGTCGAAGAAGCAAGATCCTCAGCCTCTGAATGTTCCTAAACTTCCGATCGATATCCGAAATCATCAAATCTGTCGTCTAACATATCACCACTTTCATAACTCCGCAGAATCTCTGCCTCCTATTTCCTTTTCTAAGCCCTGTAAACTAGCTTTCCGTTGGCATCCTGGGGTACCCACGCGCCCACACCCATAATCTTCGTTACATTTTCCATGTGATCGGGCCTAGCTAGAAAGCCAGGGATGACATCGACATTCTTCCAATAATTAGCTTTGTGCTCGTCGTCCATATGTTCATCCAGATACTCTGCTAGTACAGTCGATGTATCCTTTAGCTCAACAGCATTCTTTTCATTTACAAACAGCTCTTCGATTTCAAATCGTTCACCATCTTCCACGGAGCGATCATATGCATCATCTGATTCATCGTGAAAATCAAGTTGGTAGAACTTTTCATCAACATCAACGATGATGTGATGTGTATCGATTTCAGCGGCCCATTCATCATCATCGTAATTTTCTGCAAAGTCGATACCGAGAAGGAGACTGAGTTTCTTCAACGCTGAGCAGTGCTTTTCTGCAATAAGGAAGACCCATTTCCAAAGATTTCGAGCTCTAACTTTAATTTCATCACGCCGATTTCTTCCTGACAAGTTGTGTACCGCCAGATGTGTAATATTAGAAAGGTTCATGGAGCCGCCATGTTGATACAGCATCACGAAATCTTCTGCATAAACCACCAACGTATCCTTTTCAGGTCGTAGCCAGTATGATTGCGCTGCGGAGGCGGTAATGTAAGATATTCGATGTTTCAGGTGAGGCTTCTGCTCCATAACATAGTTGTTCTGTCGATTGTTATTGTCTGGAAAGGAGACCGCAATTCTTTCATATCCGCCGCTTGATACAGCCTTATTAGAAGCTTTACATGCTAGTAAAAGTGACAATAAGGGAGGAGATTTAGCACAAGAGGCAAAGGTTGTGATCGTGAAATCTTTATGCGAGTGGTGAATCTTTCCTGTTTTCTTATTCTGACGAATTATAGCAGGAAGCTCCTCAACGTCGATCTCAAACTTCAAGAGAAGTGGGTCAGAAACAGGCAATGCAAACTTGAAGATCATCGTCTGCAGCTCCGGAGGAAATCGATTAAAGGGGTGGAATTCTGTCAAGGTTGCTGTTGCGGCTTCGGGTGGATAGGTTGACTTAGAAGAGCTTGGTTGAGAGGCTTCTGAAGATATATTTGATTAGCATTAATGTGCGAATATCTATCATACAATGCATTAGTTCTTACCACCAGTGCTTCCAGACCCTGAATCATCATCTGATGCTATGGAATCCTCTTCTACTGAATTTTGTTAGGAAATCTGTAAAAAGAACTTTTCCGAATAACTTTACCTTCATAATCCTCAGGGGAAGACTCTTCAGACGAACTCGAAGCTTCTGAATCAGATGTGCCATTTTCACTCAATATTTTTGACATTGTTGCTATGGTGTATTGTTTGTCGCAGATTCGAGTTCTTAGTATTGAAGTATTGAAGTATTGAAGTATTGAAGTATTGAAGTATTGAAGTATTGAAGTATTGAAGTATTGAAGTATTGAAGTATTGAAGTATTGAAGTATTGAAGTATTGAAGTATTGAATATTGTTATAATAGAGAAAATCTCATTATCCCACCAAAGAATCGACGTGGATAATCTGTGGAGGAAAACTACCACTTTTGTGGTGTAACCAGAATGGATTGAAAAGTCAAACTGAAACCTTCGAGAGTCTATAAATATTTTGCGAGCACAAGGCTAGCTGTATAAGTACAGCCGATATTCGAACCGAAATCAAGGAAACTTCGGGTAGATACGGTTATTTCTTTGGGTGAATCTTCGGATGTCAACTTGGAGACAATGATGATTTAATATCTTTCATAGAATAGAGTGAATACTTAGTGTACCTATAATCTGCAAAAGGAATTGCATTGTGTGAATTGTAGAGTTTCAATGTGATTTCATACCTTGTGTATCAGCTAAAAGATGAATAGTATACACTCTCTTAGCTTATCATTTTTCTCAAGATCACTATGAATTACTGCACTTGAGCTGGCTTATTAGATGTAGTTATATGGCTTGTATTATTAGACATGTTTCCTATCCATCACTTCTTTAAGGAGTCTTACCAAGCAAGAGGTAAGCAAATAGTATTCTTGTTCCTGCTCAACACTATCTATGCAACACCATCTATCAAACACTAACTAGGTTCCGAACAATGAAGAACAGATCTGCTCCGCGCACAAGGTATAGCTTGAAGGTTTCCATCATTATCGGAACATGCATAGGCCGCTATCGCTGGAATGTATAGCTCGGATTCATCAAAAGGATTTCGTGATCCACAGTCTAGAACAGGGACTACCTGAACATTCTTCCAGAATGCCATACTTTTTGTGTCCATCTTCTTGTAGAATGTGTCAACATCAGACATTATCTCAGCTGCGGTGTCCATTATTGATCCCATGTACAAATAAATATTGCGCTCTGGGTTTGAAATTCGTGTCCTGACGAGTACCAGAGCTTGAGCTTCAGAAGATTCTCATCAATGTCGATGAATCTGGTAATGACATACCGATTGAAGGGACGATCCAATTCAAAGGACCAGACAGATGTTACACAAATACTAATCCTCTTGATATTTGGGCAATGATTTCGAATGAATTCTAAACCTTTGACAAGTAAAGATCCATGGTGTACCATTTTATTTGAATGAAGGACAAGGTGGGTAAAGCTTTGAAGGTCGATTGATATATCGATCGGATGCGACTCAATCAAATTATAATAATTCAACAAGAAAACATCGTGATTAGGCCGCAGATAATCATAATGCACAAAGGCATAATACATCTGTGGCGATTTTGTAGGGTATGCTTTTCCATAGTTCGACTTGATTCTGACAAATCCACCATCGCGATGGACCGATTCATTAGAAACCCGGCATGTATTAAGTAAAGAGAACAGGCCCGGAAACTTTCGTAAATTGAACATAGGATAACTCGGATTGGATAAGGGCCGAAAAACTTCGCGCTTCCATTGAATGACACGTGCGGCTGGCATTGCGTGTTTGCATATCTTTAGTTGTAACTCGATAGGTAAGTAATCAAATTTGTGAAAGGTTTTCGTGTCTCCAGTAGAATCATAGATTCGTGGAAGAGGTGGATTAATGATAACTTCATTGTGTTAGCGATGTCATATGTCAAAGACATAGTTAGAGATTCAATAGTCCAAATTGCAGTCCGGTGATCAGACACTTTCAACTCATGAACTGTCCAGTTCATTTCAAGTATTGAACTTATTCTGGATATGAAAGCCTGTGTACATTCTGCCAATTTGGGTTATCCATGGAAGATTACTTACATTGAACTACCTCATCAGCTGTTTCCTCTTCGAGAGGAATCATATCATTATTGTGAGAATGGGTGATTTCGAGTGACATGGTGTTGAATTGTAAGGTGTTTGAAACCTGAAAGTAGCTTAAGAAACTATAATTTGATAATAGAGTAAGTAGTTGGAAATATTCTCGGTGATATGGACATCTTATAAGAAAAGTGAGTTCGCTAGAACTTAAAAGCATATGGTAGGTTGCAGTATTAGCGACTACGCTTAGCTGCTTTGTAATATACTACGGTCGATGCAACCTTACGTGGTACTCTGCAGTACTAGGTGACCAAATAATATCATGCATCTCATCTACTGTCGACCAAATTATCCAAAAATCCATCAAATCATTCATATCTACTTGAACTTGCTGCACCGTAGAATGATCAGTATAGTGTGCCAATTGGAGAATACTTAGCTATGCCTAGAGATGAACTTTTTTATTCAATCCACGGTACCACGAGAACTCAATTAGTGTTGATCAATGTGTTAGTTTTGATGGTCAAATACGACCTGATGTCAATATCCTCCTATTCATCTAAACGAATCGTACAGAGCGCTCTAACCGTTTCCAATTACTTGAATAATGAAGCCTGAACTACAAAGCCGGTACTACGGTAGTACTACAAAGCCGGTACTACTATTTTTCTCGACCGTACCCTTCAGATTTTACTATATTATTCACAAGAGAAAGCTTCTCAATTCCATTACTTTATCTTTCGAAATTGCGAACTCGACTCTCAACACGCCCCAAAACTGTCACGAAATAATAAACATACCGATCACATTGACGAATTATTCTTTGCACCACACCATGTGTAAAGACTGTCCTCCTTTAACCCCTTGCGAAGAGGGGTATCAAGATAAGCGAGATCCACGCGATGGAACCTTCGAAAAATTTACCACGCTTCCAGAGGAAGTTCAATGCGCGATCTTCAAGGCGGCGTTACCAAGCCCCCAGGTCATCGATATGGCTTTTAAAGTTACTGAAACCCACGATCACAGTGCGCGAAAAATAGTTCGACAGCTGGAGGTTTCCATACCCACAAATCCCAGCATGCTCCCATTACTCAAAGCCAGTACTACTTCAAACGCCGAGGTATATCGAAACGTTCAGAATATTCAAATCACACGTCTGGGAACGATAACTCCTTTCACAATATCGAACCTAGTGATGGAGATTCCTCCGCACATTCGTAATTACGAAGTCGTAAACCGTTGGAAAGCATCTACGAAGCCTAACACGAGAGCTTATACTTACATGAGAGTAGATAAAGATATCCTCATGTTGGATGCGGCTAATGTCTTCACTTTGTACAGCTTTGGTGGTACTATCTCGATGTCCAATATCAAGTGTCTAGCGCTCCAAAATGCCTCCCTTGATGGCATGACCTGGGAGCTTCCCGGAAACATGGTTGGTGTAAATTATGAGCTTCTTCGTCTGCACATTTTTTTCAAAATGATCAGTCTACATTGCCCCGCACTCTCAAAAGTGTACTTTCTTCTTGATGGCCGCAATTATTTTCATCCTAACGAACCACCCGTTAAAAGTCAAAAATTGGAATTTTGGATCCTTAATATGGACAGCGATTTCTTCACTCAAGACTTTACTGGTATGGATACGAAATACAAGGCAGAAGGAGAATGGGAAATATCAGCGAGGTTGAGTCTTCAAGGGGATGCTAAATACGTAATGAGAGATTGGAAGGACTACAGAAAAGCTATCGTTCGAAACATTGCGCTGGATGGAGACGTCGTGAGTTTTTGGAAGACCAGGGAACCAGTCATGGGCCTGGTGGGCTGGTTCTTTGCAGATGCCCAAGTTGACCCTTCAGTTGTTCCTCTTCCGCGAATGTATGTACCATCTATGCTAGCTTGGTTACCGGCCCATGCTGATGGTACTATCGTGGATAAGTATAAAGGATTGGCACAGCTATTTGACGGTGCTCCGTGGTAGATTTAGAGACAATTGGGTGAGCGGGCAGATATCTAGGCGAACAAGCTTTGTGGAAATCTGATGGGGTAGGAAGTCTTGCAATCTAAAATGTTTTAGCAAATTCAATTGAGGAAACCAATGCATTAAACAATGAAACCGTGATATTTATCTCATGTTAGATCTCCCTCGTGACCAGTAGCTCTGTTCTCCTTGGGAGGTAATTTCTATTTGAGAAACCCGGCCAAAGATCACGTGTAAAGCAAAAGAAAAAAAAGAAATCATTCAATGTCCTATTAAGCTTGATGGTTTTGAGCTTCGAAATCTGACTTATACCCTAAGTTTCACTTTGAAATCTTGTTTAATGAGACGTGCAACAAAATTAACATTTTCAGAGACTAAATCACGGGGCACGATTAGCTTTTCTCGGCTAAGCTGGTGTGGAGGATAGTCACGTGCTATGCGGTTGGACTTTACTTTGTCCAATCCGACCTCCACTCTTCTACGTCATGATTGATGGACTCCGAATACCGATTTTCAAAATTTATATCTCGGAATGTTCTGATAACATCGACACGACAATCTTTCTCCACAGCAACAGCAGCGAATTCGAGGATTACACAGTAGGTAGGTAATTGTTGATACATTTTGCTAATTGTGAAATCCTATTCAAGACCACAATTCCATGGAATCTTCGATCAGTCTATTGGATCTAGATCACGACAGTTATGGATCCCATATACGCTAAGAGATATCAATGCCGTCAGTACATGGAACTACCGCATACCAAGCTATGCAAAATACTGGTAAAATGTAAGTCGAGGACCATGTAGATATACCACTTCCCCGAGTATCCATTGTATTGATAAGCATTCTCTTTCCTTGTTTTCTCTACATTGTATGATTTATATTTGGGATGTATAAAAGTCGTTTTCTGGAAGGAAAGTTTAGAGTTAGTACTCGAGATTTTTGCACTTTTATCACTCCAAATACTGGAAAGAATTCAATCAAATATATACCAAATAGAGTTTTAGAACCCATCCTCTACCCCGCTATCATCAATCAAAAATCATATTTCAGTATGACCCCAGCCACGAGAAGCAATGCCTCTAAAACCTCAATATCCCGTCCTCCTTCTACATCTACAAATGAAGACTCCTCGCCACATCCTCAATCCCACCCTCATAAACCAACCATAGCCATCATCGGCACCGGCTGGGCTGGCTGGACACTCGCTCAAGAACTCTCCGCCACCACCTCCTCCTCATCTCCCTATAACATAATCGCCATTTCCCCCTCTCGAACGATGGCTCTCACTCCCCTCCTCGCCTCAGCCGCTTGTTCCATCTTCGATTTCCGTCTCGCCGAAGAACCCGTTCGTCGGCGAGATTCCAAGTTCGAAAAATACCAAGCTCTAGTCACCTCTGTTGATTTCAAATCGCAAACCATCAAATGTAAAGCTTGTATTGGAGGAAGTGGCGTTAGTGGCGAATCGATGGATTCCCCAACTTATAGTGATATCAAAGACGATGAAGCACATTTCGATGTGAAATATGATAAATTAATCTTAGCTCCTGGGTGCGAAACAAATACTTTCGGAACACCGGGAGTGAAGGAATTCGCTTTATTTATGAAAACGGTACCGGATGCGAGGAGATTGAGAGAGGGAATTCTGGACTGTCTGGAACGAGCTTCTCTACCTACAATATCGGAGCGAGAAAAAAGGGACATGTTACATTTCGCCATTGTTGGGGGTGGACCCACCGGTATCGAATTGGCGGCTGAAATTGATGAATTGATTCAGGAACATCTTGGAGCGGTATACCCGAGACTAAAAGGATTATGCACGATTAGTATCTACGACGTCGCCGATCGACTACTCGGACAATTCGACGAAAAACTCAGCGAGTACGCGATGGAAAAATTCGAAAACAGAGGATGCGTCAAAGTGAAAACGGGAAAACACATCGAAGAAATTAAACGACATAGTATGACCGTCAAAGAAGAAGGCGAGGTTGCATTCGGAGTAGTAGTATGGGCCGTCGGCAACACAGCGGGAAAACTCGTCGAAGATTTGAATTGCAGAAAAAGCGAAGGATTGCAGAGAATTCTCACGGATAAATGGTTGAGAGTCCTCAAGCCTGATTCCGACGGTGTAGAAGGAGCAGGCGCGGATATTATCGAGAATGTCTACGCCCTCGGAGACGCAGCCGATATCCTCAATAACGAATTACCCACCACTGCGGAAGTTGCGGTGCAAAAGGCAAAATGGCTAACAAAACACCTTCTGGAGAATCCAGAAGAAGAACTCGGAAAACCATTCAGCTATGAACAAAAAGATTTAGTTGCTTACATAGGACGAGGTGATGGGGTTATACAGGGAAAGAAAGATTGGACAGGTGCGTCAGCTTGGTTGGCGTGGAGGAGTGGGAGTATTGCGTGGACGAGGGGCTGGAGGAGGCGGGTGATGGTGGTGGTGAATTGGATTGCTAATTGGGTTGATGGGAGGGAGATTGCTAGACGGTAGGGGTAATGGGGAAAAGGGGGAAAACATTAGGAGGATATGTACAATACTAATACTGTATACATACTTCTAAAAACGGCAAAAATGCACGCATTGTATGATTTCTGCAAACATAATTTTATCTGATTATTCGATACCTCTTCTAAGTCGCTAAATAACCAGTCCAAGACTTCACCCTTTCGTTTTCCTCTATCATAGATTTAGCTCCTGCCTCCAATTTCACTTCAAATACTTGTAGGGAAGTCCCATTATCACGTTGTTAAGTTACACATCCATATACAAGTAGATTGTGGGTATAGCTATCTACAATTTCCCCACCTATATCTATAGTCTACCTCTTATTCCAAACAATTCCTCATCATACACCTACACGTCACTTTTCAACAATATTCATAGTCAAGCAGAAAGAAAAAGATATCACTTTTAGCATAATGAAATGAAATGATTTTGAATTTATTTTGTAATTTTCTGTATTGGATCTCTAACAAATATGATTATCTCATTACTCAAAACATCAAATAATCTCATATCTTTTGCATCATATATACATTCCCTATGCTTTTTCCCATCGGAGTCAATTCAGAGAGTAGCCTAGGCATCATAAATATCGCACAGACCCGCGTTTTTATGATGTCTTCCCATATCACCTCTACCCACATGCGTTCACCAAACTATGCCACCTTGAAATCAAGTCGTCTATATCATATATGGTTGCTCTTATGCATCATACAAGTTTCCGTGGGAAGAATCGGACCCCGCACCTGTAGCCTCATCTTCCACATCATCTGCAACTTCTGCGGCCTTCATGTCTTCATCTTCTTCATTTGCGACATTCTCCGCTGTCTCCGCCGTGAATTCCTCAATTTCAGGTTCATTAGCTGTCAGTGTAGTATTCGGTGGTGTACTCGTCGAATTTCCACTAGTGATTTTTCCAAATTCTAGAAATCCCTGATATGATGGCGCATTTGATGGCACATTTGATGGCGCACGAGCAGATGGTCCACCAGCACCGCGAACATGAAGACTGGTCCAATCGATAGATACTCCATCAGCAATAGCTGCTTCCTCTACCATTTCTCTAAATCTTTCCCCCAAGGTGAGTGTTTGAGTAGAGCTATGGCGCTCCTCTTTCTCATCTCCTTCTGCTTGTGTCTCAGCCAATTCTCTCGAGACTTTCGAATGCACCATCAACTCATTTTGCCGATCATTTCCGGTGGATCTTGTCTTTATGGACTTTGTGCGGAGAGATTCCAGATGATCTTCTTCGTTCATATGATAATCCTCCTCTGCTACATCTCCTTCAGGAAGAGTCTGTACGGCCGCTGTGGTTAATCCGGGTCGAATTCTCGTACCAAACCCTACGCCGCGAGCAGGATGGGATGATCCAGTCTCACCACTAGTAGAGGCATTAACAATCTGATGCGAAAGCATTAAGCCATCAATCCAGCGACCTAATCCCAATTCTTGTTCATGAATCCGCTCCCGAAGTCCTCTCTTATAAATTCCAAGAATAAAATCTGAAACTTCCCACCCCAATATAATGCGTAAATCACCTAATTGAGCCACATTGCGCGCAGTTTCAACACCCGAAATTGAGTGTCTGCTCTCGGTCAATTGGGATGGAAGAGGCTCAAGAGTTTCTGATTCCGTTGTAGGGTCCATATCCTTATTTGCATTGTTCAGAGAATTGTTGAACTTTTCAAACGCGAGTTGCGGGTAAGAAAGAGGAGCAAATTGTTCTGGACCGGGTAAATTACCAGTCGCAGTAGGGTAGAATCGAACATCCTTGATCCAGTCGTATATCGTTTGGTCTTCGAGGATGTTCTTGAGATGTGTGTTTTCTTGGTCGTTCAGTGTGCTTCGTCTTGTCAATATCACCTCCTCAATACTTCCTTTCAGAACCAAAGTCTCAACATGTACAGGGCGGAGCTGACCGATGCGGTGAGATCTCTTGATAGCTTGTGCCTCAACTTGTGGTGAGAAGACTGGATTGACGAAGTACATTCTTGATGCTGCGCTCATATCTAGACCAAAGGCGGCTTGATTAACATCCATGAGCATAACACGGAAACCAGCGACGGAGTTGAACTTTGCAACGCATTTCGAACGCTCAGAGGTTGAATCTCTCTTGGTGTATACCAAATGCTCGATGTTTACACATTTCAATGCCTGCGCAATATAATATCCCACGTTTTCGGCCTCGTAAAATACAATTATCTTCTCGTTTTTGTGATAAAGAAAAATCTGGTCCATGAGATATGAGAGTTTGGATGAAGCTGTGGATGTGATAGTAGACTCTCTCCACATGGAGTTCTTCACTGACGTTGAGATATCGGGGCTTGCACTCGGTCTGTGATCTGTAAAGCCTGCTTGTTCTATTCTGAACTCGACAGGGTCTACATCAGCGTTTACTGCAATCCTGCGCATCAAGTTCTCTCCAAAGTTAGTGAGTTTAGCTGTATCGAAGACAGAATCGGATGGATCGACGAGGCCACTACGACGATATGTATAAAACGCCTCTTTTGCAGCACATATCATACTAGCGCCCATCAGGGTTGGATTCCCATCATGGTAGTCAAGTGCCCACGCACGCCTAATTTCTTCCGCCAGAGGATTCTGTACATACATGGCCATTTCATGTATTTGACTAATGGCTGTGAATATACCATTCGAAAGGGCTAGCTCTCCAACTCGAATAGCTTCCTGCAAAAGCTTTCTGTCTTCAGGATTAATGTCATCCTTTGCAAGAAACTTCTCAGCATTTTGAAGCGAGTTCTCAATCATTGCCCTGGTGTAACCTGACCAAGTGAAGGAAGCCTGTCGTAAGTTTGAGAACAAATTCAGAAGAACTCTCCTATTTTTCGGATGAAAGAAATAGTCTACACCTTCTCTTTCCGAGGTAACGGCATTTATAGTAATCATCATTGAAAATATATTCAACGACAACTTATCCTGGAAACAACCTTCGAGGTAAACAGTTTTCTTGTTTAATGGGGGAAGTCTAAGTTGCCCCATGATGTCATTTGCAGTATGTCGGATGATCATACTTTCCAAAGTAGACTTAAGAATTCCCGGATCGCCATGGATCTGTCGGTTGAATCGTGGTCTGATGACTAGATCTAGCCACGATGCTTGATCTCCCACCCCGGCCGTGTTTGCCCATGGTCGAGCTTTAAGATACGACTTCAATATATTCCCAAGCTTCTCGAGGTCTTTAGTCTCTTTTTGGATAAACACACCTTTTGGGTTAGTGCAGATTTTCTCTGGAGGCGTCTTGGCATTCTCTTGGTCGATGGATCTCGTGTCATTATTTCTGAGCTCATAAGTCCTCGAAAATGCGTCTTTTCCATGAAGGCCGTTTGTCGGGGTTCCAGAAATAATCCAGCGCGCATCAAGGTGCAAAAAGTCAATCATGATTATCGCGTTTGACTGGCCGCTTTTCGTTACATTCCCGAAATCATGTCCTTCATCGGTGATCAGGCGCTTGAAATGGAGATCTCGAAGTGGAGAGCGGTATTTAAAGACTTCTGCCGGTGCATTTTCTGGGGATATCTCGCAAGAGCAGTTAGAAGCTTCCGGGCTTCCGAAACAGTGCTCGCAGGTAGTAGTGCTCTGTGGGGACGACAAAGTCTCTTCTGTAGCCTCTCTTTCAAACCTCCTTCTGCTAAATAAAATGATGTCGTACTTTACCAACTCATGCGCTGCAGGTACTTGAATTTTCATATCATTCATAACCAAGTAACTCAAGCTGGTGGTATGTTTCTCGATCTCTTGTATCCATTGGTGCACCAAATTGGGTGGAACAACTACAAGCGTAGACTTTGCGAGCCAAATCTTCTTCTTAGTTGGGGTTATCGGACGACGGGTCTCGCGAGCTGGTGGGTCAGGCTCATACCAATAGTAGCCAATTCCTCTATTTAACGCGGCATGCATTTGGCTGAATCCAAGTTCTCCTTCGGATTCCATCTTTCCAAGGACTGTCTCCCACGGAATTCCTTGTCTGCCGACGGCCGAAGCGCACATCTCGAGAAGAGAACCCGTCTTTTTCCGCGTGGGAATAGAGTTAATGGAGTGCTCATCTGGCATTTGAGGTCTCAGATATTTTGTTGATAGAATCAAAGCTAAGCAGATTAGACTCTTTCCTAGACCCATGTTTTCTGCGCATATTCCACCCCTTGGAGCTTCGTAAAGGCGTGGTTCCCTCAAACAAACGTTCGCACTCAAATCACAGTAAAAACTCTGTCCATACTGATCTTGAATTTTTCGAAGACGTGGATCCATAATGTACCCTGGCTGTGTTTCCCGCTGCAGCATCATAGCAGCCGTTTGACATCTGTTAATGATTGATGAGTTAGTCCTTGCTGCTTCGAAGTGAAAGATGAAATAAAGATAAGATCACAAGACAGCCATGCTACAATCGATTTCAAAAGTTTGCCTCGAAATGGTAACGCATAACTAAGTGGGGAGGACTGCGGAAGGTGGGAGAAATTGAGAGATGACTACTTACTGATATGGATGCAATTGCGTATTTGGATTCAGCCCCTGGACATTACCTACCAGGAGAGATCGCATCGCATCTTGTACATAACGATCTCCAACGATCACCCCTGGGTCTGGCTTTGGGGATGGTAGATTGTTAAACATGTCAAAGAGCGAGACGACATCTGTAGATTCTTGGTCATCCAATTCAGAGTTGATGTGCTGAATTGGTTTGTCATCTGACCATGTTCCTTGCCAAGCCGCATTCGAAACGTCTAACTTGTCTAGTAAGGCCTCCATACCCTTACGAAGTTGCTTCATCGAACTGAAAGAAATTAGCACGAGTCTGGAACCAACGCAGTATCCAATCAACACTTACCGATCTAACACAGCATTCCCAACATCATCCGGTAAGATATATACCCTTACTTGACCAGTATTCTTATCCTTTGCCTTAAACTCCATTCTAATCCAACCAGCATTGTGTATACCAGTGTACTCAGCAAGGGCAGCAGAACGAAGCAATTGACCTTGTACAGTATTTGGTAAATACAAGATACTTTGTTGAAAGTTGATGATGTCGGACGGAAGATGAAAAGCATGCCAATCTCGACACGTGAATACTTCTTCCGTCAAGAGCGAACACTCTTGCTTGTGTATTCGAATCGATCCTGCAGGAATATAATTGTTGAGATCTGAGAAACATGAGCTCTTGGAACATGATATTGAATCTCGAGAAGGAGGTGATAATGCAGCGAAACTTGAGTCCGATCTAATCTGTTGGGTCGACCAATTTTTTGGATTTGGATTCTGTCTGGATGCGCCTTTCTTCATATTACCCCTATGAAGTGTGATTAGTAGGAATTCTCAACACCGAACCGTTCATTATCTTACCCAGATACTCTTCATTCCTACAGATTTCTTCGTCTCAAGAGGATCATCACTGATGGGAGTGGGATGAGCCATGTTGGTTCTGGAAGATCAAAGTGACCTCGAAGAATGAAACGCTTAGAAGGTTGCAATAATTCAAAAGGTTGAAGTGGCTGATGAATAATGCTTCTCAATATTGAAGAAGACTTTTCAAAAGCCAATCAAGTTGAATAAAATTAGATAATGTGATGAAGACAGCAGCTTCAGGCAACACTGCCAACTTAGCATCAAGCAAAGAATATGAATTGTTGTAGATTTAACAAGCTCATAAACCAGAAACAAATGTAACAAAAAGTGTGTGATATCTATTAAGGACCAAGAATTGAAGGTTGGATGTTGTTATCAAGAAAGTCGGGTAACAAGTAGAGAAAGTGTTTAATATCAAGAACGAGGCTTAACAAGTTCGAGTGGTACGACTTAGTGTGTGGAGGCGAAGACACTAAGGCAGATTGGGAAGATCCCGACGTTCCGATGTTGTTGTGGTCACGTTTGTTTGTCAGCATAATCAACTACACCTCATCACTCTTCAAAGTTCATTTACGTTCGAAATTTGATTTATGAGAGATGTGGACTGAAAAAAGCCAGTTCAAGCGCAAATCAGGGTTGTGATTGGCCTTGAGGTAGATTTTGCCCTTCTCATTCTTCATAGATGATGTATTACTTGTAAGTGAATCGGTATCACAGCCTCTAACGCGAGCATATTCAATATTTCAAAACAATATACAGATATACATAGTGGACAGTGAAAGGGAAAGCTGTAAATGGTACTTTGAGAGATTCTGGAAGAGAGTGCATGGACAAGATTGCTCTTTTATGTCTATTGGCCGTCAGATCCACCTGCATCTATTGAGTCTTCAAAAGACAGAGACAAAGGTACGTGGACCATCTAGGTTTGCTAACTTGGTTTCTACAGGATAGAACTATGCTTTCTTGTGAGATACTTTCAATAATCTCCTTGAAACTTGAGTCACACTCCTGTGACATGGCACAATATCACGAACCTCCTCAATACGTTTCCTCAAGTAATCTCACTACGACTTTTCTTCAGCCCTGCAAATATCATCATAACTGTCCTTTCAATAACTTCATGATAGAATTTCTCTGGCTCACCAAGAAACTTCAATCCATCTCAACCTAACACTCAGCCACGGGTTTTAACTCGGCCCTCCTTCACAAATTCTTACACATCCTCCCTATCTCTGCAAGATTAAGGAAGCCCATCCAATATGAATCTAGTCTAATCTTACAGTTTTTCTGCTCAAGTGATCCTCTATGTACAAAGGCAATTGATAAACGCCTGCTTGTTTCAAATACTCCCCCAAACTCCTTTCCATAACTCATCTCATAGATCTCATAGACCTCATAGACCTCAAACTCCACAGCTAGCTAACATCACCCCTTTTCCTACTAGATCTGCAATCTCCTCAACCTAGGTATTCAGAATCAACAAAGTTTAATTGTGAGTTCAAGAAATCTTAATAGATCGTGAAATCTAATTTGTTAGAGCCTCCTTACATAGAAAATGACTTCAGAAGCGAAAGCTAAGCAGTAGCATCTAGTACCTTACAGACAGAAGCTCTTTTGCTCAAGGATGTCATCATAGAATCTTGTGCGTTGGATAATTCAATATCATGGAGCCATGACTTTCAGTTTGAGAGAGGGACCATAAAACTGCAGAGGGAAGGGGCTCTTCATATGTTGCTTCCGTTACTGAGTGATATGACTAGATTAATAACGAAAGAATTTGGATGTTTCCAAGTGTTATGCTTGAAACTGAGGAGCCATAACGGATGGAAGACATGCATTTGAAATATCTATACAGTTGAGATAGACAGATATCAAATGGAGGAGGATTTCTGGAAGTAGGCAGAGTAGAATAGGGAGCTGTAATGTTCTGATGGCAGTCCAGATTCATACATTTATAGGATTCCGAGAAATGCAACATGATAGCAAATTTCCATTGTGTTCAAGCTACCAAAATGATTGCTTCTCAAGTTTATTGATAGTTTTTTAAATCACAAATCAATCAACAACCTAACATCCATACCAACACCTCACCTAACTCCTAATAACAAAGCATCTCCTCCATCCCATCACAACAAACAAACATATATTTATTCTCACAAATAACGCCAAAACTCAGAAAATTCTAAATCTACCCCCAACCATCCAATGCATCAACCTCCAAAGGGATGCGAAGACTCAACACCTGTACGCGGTGCATCCTACGAACCTCCAGCTCTCTCTTGAGAGTCTGCAGAGCTAAGATTGAGTCGCAGATAGAATTGGAAGAATTGAAAGGAAAGAGGTTCAAAAATATAGCAAAGGATTATATTACGATTTTATAACAACAATACCTACAAAGAGTTGAATATCAGCTTTAGATACGGATACAAAGGTTATGGAAGCCCCGGTTAGATTCAACATCTATTATCGATTACTATTTCAAATATAGAAATATAATACACAATAGGTCTCTTCTTTTAAAAGAATCTTTTTGATATAAAGCTTACCGCCGCTCTACTCATATTACAATCCTTTTTTATACCCTTTGGCTTTCAGCCACTCGAATATTACGATAACACAATATAAAGAATGCTATCGCTTTCAAATTAATACTATACTCTGGGCATTGATACAATACAACATTTTTCTTTTAATTTTCGAATTTTCGAATTTTCCAAATTGATTTGTATATAGATAATAGGGCTTAGGATTCGGCCCTGCCCCACTATTTTCAACAGTTTCGATTATACACATCTAATAAAAACTGAAGAATATCAAGCTTATAAAGATATACAAAGGGCTAGTTTAAAAGAGATAAAAACAAAAAAGAGTGGTGCCTTTTTCTACTATCTCACTAATAAAAGGACCCTTTGTTATATTGAAGATAACTCGGGAGGGGATAACTCTTGCCTTTTATAGAAAGAAAGGGATAGCAAATTGGATTTAGGATTTTAAAAAGAGAAATTGGATATTAGAATACTTTAATTAGATTAGGGGTAGGGGAAGAGTAAAAAAGGAAATGTCTCAAAGGATGAAGACTATTTAATCTTTATTTGCATTCCAAATAGAAATCGGGCATAACACTTTAGCATTCGTTTTTACTCCCCCAAATTGAATATATCTACTATAGATATCCATTAGCAGTTATTAGGTTCTTAAAGCCTAGCCATCCTAAATAGTTTTGGACTGAGAAAAGGACGTTAATTAAATCAATCAATCAATCATCAACCTCCAAAAAAACCCCAAGCTCGCCAAAAGCTCGAACCACTCCCCTCCTTCGGCCCGAAGTTCTCCCATCTAATTACCGTCCCCAATCACATATTTTCCATGTGACATCTACACAATCACAAAAGATTTGTTGCATGTCTGAAAAGTTGTTTAATCAACTATTTTGTCATTCTTTGAATCAAAGAGCTTTTTTTAATTTTCGAGTTCGAATTTTGGTTTTGCAACTTGATTCAACTTTTGATTTCAACTTTTTTTGGCTGACCCAACCCAACTACTTCATTTGAGGACATTATTGAAAGGCTACCACAACGCTGAATTTCTGACTATTGTTAATTTTCTTTTGCTGTGTATGTGTTGTACAGAATGTTGAATTTAATTTAGTTCTTTTATTTACTTGTATGTTGCTTTGTTGTGGTGATAATTGATGTCACGGTGACAAACATTATGCACGACTTGGAACCCTAAATCTACCCACATTGATCTTTCCAGTCTGTCTATTTATAAGAAAACAATATCTAATACTCTAGGAATAGATACAGAGAATGTAAAAAACAACTTTTTGCCTGTTCTAATATCGTTTTGATTCCAGTGTTCCCAGATTGACTATGAGTGTAGAAGGCGATGTCATGATAAGCGAATCAATCTTCAAGATCATTAGATCGTATACTATTAATACAAGGATTTTGTGTCATTACATATGAAGAGGTGTTAATGAAGCTCTTTGAATTTACGGCCTAGTTCTACTTAGATCTGGATACTGGAATAATCCTACATGTATATAGCTAGACACTCGCTAGGTCTTCGTACTTGATCTCAGATTTTAGTTGTAATCTTACATTCTCACTTCTAGCATTTTTGGTATAATTCATCACTATCATATTCAAATTCTGAGTTTTCTTTATGCCTAAAGAATGTATTACTATTCTAACTAGAATATAGACACAAGCTGATGCTAATCTTAGCTCCCCATAACACTGCAATACAAAACCCTTATTCAGTGTTTACCCGAGCACATTCACAGTTTTGCCGAATCCCCCAGTCCATGATAATAGAACCCTATGTCTTGAACTATATCAAGTACTTAATTGTTACATTGCTCATCAATCAAGCCCTGCTTCGTCTACCACGGTTCCCCATCAAAGATTTGCCTCAAACCCGTGTACATGTGCATGGGCGTTCCATCCTTGCGGATTCCTAGATAAATCTCATTATGTCTTGAATAGAGCTCCGGATACTCGGACTTGCAAGAACAGGGACTCGCCTGAAAATGGTCTAGGCATCTCAGCATTAACACTGGAGTCGATCTGATATTCTCCCAGTACTTTAGTGTTTCTTCCCCAGGCTTATCCCACATGTCGTTCTCTGTGGTATTTATGAAGCGATGAAAGCTCTTTGAGAGATGTTTGGATTCTCTGTCAATGTATTTGAGATCTTCCAATGCTGTGTGTATATACGCAATGTGGTTCGGATAAGGTGGATTTCGAAATCGTTTCTTCAAGGATTGTTTCAATCTCGGAAATTCCCAGTCTAGATCCACACAGCCTTCACTAATATCAACAAGTTGCCGGTATTCGGTAGCGTACCAATCTGCTCGATCCGGACCGTAATCAAAAACAAAATACAATGTGCTCAAAGCCGGACAGTGGATGCTGATTGAAATGTAGAGCTTGGCATAAACACGCATATATGAGGGAGGATCGAAATCAAGATCTAAAGCAAGGTATGTGATGTTATTCAACGGCATGCTTCCTCCCTCCCTATTCAATGATACCAAATTGATAAAGCTCACTAAGAGAGTATCAACAGTCTTTCGAAGATACCTGGAACAATCAGATTGATTGCAACTATGGAAAGCCACAGGGGTAGGGAAATTTATCTCGATTTTTTCGTAATTCCGGAAGACCTCTGCATGTGAGTTCTTGCATGCAAGCAAGAAAGGGAGTAATGCGTGACGTCTGCTTTTTGAAAGAAAACACGAACATCTTGCCCTCTATGTGCGGTTACATCAAAATCCCAATATACGATTTCTGGGTCGGGGAAAGCTTCTTTGAAAATCCGACACTGTATTTCAACTGGGAATGAGGAAAACAATGGGAACTCGTTGAATCTTTCTGATGCTGCTGTTGAACACGCTGTCGTCAAAATCTTGTCGGCCATGTTGTTGTGTGTAGTCTGAATATCGCAAGTTGTAAAGGGAGAGTCTCTGTTCCAGCGATGGATAATTTGTTGAAATGGCAAATGTTGCGTACAAGCGATATGATGTTGTTGAGGTCAAACACCGCAAGTCTCGAGTAATTTCGATGATCGAGACGTCGAAGATTTGCGTATGGTGAGAATGAGGAATCAGAAAAGAACTGTAGTAGCTGTACCGGTTCCGTTAACTTGACAAAATGAAATACTAGGTATACAAGAGCGATTTTCTTTGCACATGAGTAAGTTAATCAGGGCCAGCAAGTGAATAAAGCACCTAGACGAATGAGATAGTTACCTCGGTAGAGAGTGGTTTTTGTCACCAGAGATCATTCATCTCACTGGGTAGAATTTTCATCCTGATATCATTGCGTGGTTGCAGCCGATCAATAGAATGGCAGATGCTTAGCCTTAAATCCTGGGAAAGCTAACTTGTGAAAATGCTTAATAATCTCAAGGTACACAAGATGCACTTCTTCTTTACCAAAGTTTAGAGCTGACAAAACCGCGCAATTTCTGAGTTTCATGAGGGATCTAATGTTTTGAGGTCATATATGGATGGATTTGGGGTTGAAATGAAAAGCAAAGCCAACTTCTAGATCTCAAGAACTTAAATAGTTTGTGTAGGTATAGATAAAAATATATTACTATTATGTTGTGCGTATAACTTAAAAGTACTTGAGTTTCGAAGACTTGGAGATAGTGATATTTATATACAGACTGGTTTCTTGATATACATCAACGAATAAGAGCTTTCTCTTATACAGATTATCCCTTTACATTTTTAAAAGCTTACTTCACTTTAGATCTCTAGGGGTTCAATTTATAGGTAGTTATGGGGTACTTGCTTATGGTCAGATGAAATTGGATAGCATTGAGTGCATCTACTTCGAGAATGCTGCTACCCGAAAATGAGCCAAGATTCAGAAGTATTATATTTCATATGCACGAATCAAAGATCGCTTATCAGTAGAGTCAAGAATAACTCAAATGGGGTACTAGAGCTCCGAACTCAAGACTGATTTCACTAAGAGGGAAAGTTTTTCAGAAGAAGTTATGTGAAGAAACACTTCATTATGTGAGGTTGTCTAACTAGGTGCTTTGTTCATCTAGTCAGTTCTCCGCTCTTGAGTTTCTGTTCTTCAGATCCTCTCAATTAGACATCCTTGCCTATTCCTCACCGATGATGTTGTGCCACCGACGTGCTCTCTCATATATCTAACTTGAACTACCACGGTTCACCATCAAATATCTGAGCCAGCCCTTTGTACTTATGCACCGGACTTGCATCCTTATGGCATGCGATGTTGACGTTCAAGACGGGTAACCCAAAGCCAGGTTGAAGCACCACTGTGTTCAACTTTGCATGAATGAATATCCCTGCCACTTTCAAATTCAGTAATCAAGCACACCAGAGCGGCTACAGGCCTGCGAGTCTTCCAGTATTCTAGAGTTGCCTCTCCAGGTGAAGGCCAGGGATCACTTTCTTTCGTATTCAAAAAACCGACTGAAGTCTCCAGCAATCTTGTCTGCGTATCCTCTGATATTATTCATTTGTATCTGCAAGTACATTCTTTGCAAGTATCTTTGTCGGTCGCTTAGGCCTGGGGCGTACTGTACGCGCAAATCAAGATCCATCAATCCATCTGAAACATCCAGCATTCGAAGTAGGTGCGTGCTTGATGGAGACTCTATGGGAGAAGCTTCTGTCTCAACTATGAGCCACAGTTTTGAGAGAGCCGGACAATGGTTACTCAGGAACGTGTATAGCTTGGCTGCGTTGTTCATTCTGGCGCTAAAGGTCGTACGAGGACAATACCACGATTCTTGAAATACATCCAACGCCAACTGTGTAATGTTCTCTACAGATAAGCTTCCGCCCATGTCATATAATTGCAGCATCATTGTGGCCTCGACAAGAAGAATATCGATATTAGGCCGAAAGTGACTGCTGCGCTTCCACACATAGTCGTCAAGTAAAGGCGGGGTCATGACTTCAAATTTTAGAAATCTGCGAAAGATCTCTGCGTGTGATTCTCTGCAAGCTAGTAGTAAACTGTTCAGCCCATAATTTCTAGGAGGAGTAACAGTAAATGATCTATGATTTCCCTCTACATGGATAAATAAAAGCAATTCGGTGACCACAGGACCAGGTTGTGCTTCTTTGAAAATTCGGGCTTGAAGTTCGAATGGCAAGCGTGAGAATGGCCTGAACTCGATGAGGGCTTTTGATTCTTGCTGAGGTGTTGAGTTCATGACGGCGACTTTGTGAAGATTTGTCGATGGGTGTTGTATTTTTGTGGATGTGGCGACTTAAAGTTTGGGGCCAATCCTCAGTCGAATAGAAGATGGTATTCTAGAGACCGGGTATTCTATAAATCCTTCTGTGTGTTGTATCTGAAATGGAATTGATAGATTTTACAACATGCGAAGACGATGTATACCTAGGTATATATCAACATCGATGCAAGTATGGCGCAGTGGAAACGGTGAATCGAGCAGCTACAGTGAATCCGTAGAATATATAGATCGGAAAAGACCCTGACCGTGGATTGGCCAGAAGATTGCATCGTTCATGTGTTTGCAAGCGAGCTGCTCTGGAGAATTGATTGCACAGTCTCGGATTCCTTGAGTCAACGAAGAATACATCATTATTCTGAACATTGTGTTGACTCTTGCTCTAAGTCACAGTTCTCAGAAGAAGATATCGGTGAGATAATATGAGACTGTGTGTTCCGCTACATATATACCGAAGCGTCCAAATCTCCCTCTTTTTCACAGAGGTTCCCATCTCAAACTTAAGACCCCATAAGATCATTGTGCTCATCACTTCATACTTATACTAACATCCATATCGATACCGATCAATCACCAGGTCCAGACACGAGACACGCCGTTTTACACGCTTGCTGAACATAATCGCATGATAAACTTTCACTTTAGCACTTACCAAACATCAGACAAATCTACAATCATTACGGAACCTAGTCACATAACAGGGTAGACTGAGCAGACTTACCGTTTTTACAAAGACGCACTGTTCCCGATTCAAAGCTCAAACACTTTGCTCCCCTCTCAGACCAAATACTAATTGTATCTTGCGTGTGACAGCTGCGGTTTAATGACCGAGAAGAGAGGAGTTTATTTGGACAGGCTATCTCGCAAGCAACCGTCTAGATCGACCTCAGATTCATTTCCATTTCTTGAGCCCATCGGGGTTTAGTTGCGGACTAAAATTGGGATTTAAGTGAGGAAAAGGTAGTGTGATGCTTTACACATTAAATTAAAGTAACTTTCTCTCAGAGCTGATTAGTCTTCCTCCATTTTTTCAGGACTGCATTCCTCGCTTCTTTCCCTTTCCTTATCCATATCTCTTTCTCTCGATGTCTCTCTATCCACACTCATATCATCTCTCGGGGTATCATTGCTATATCTCCTTTGTCTTTCCTCGTCTCTATCATCTCTCTCTTCATTCCTATAATCACCCATGTCTTCATCTTCTCCATTTTCCTGCTTCACGTGATTTGTGTTTTGCGATTCAAGATGTAAATTATCCAGTCTTGGAGACCCATCTTCATCGCCCACATCGACCCATATCCGAACTGTTCCATCCAAACCAGCACTAACAATCGCTCCATTTGGCCCCGGAGCAGTATCAACCCAACAAACTACGCCTTCATGTCCATGAACTTTCTGTATCAATTCCTTCGTGCTAACATCCCAGAAGAGAATGTCTCCATCTTCACTACCCGAACTGATGAATCCTTGATTACCACTGAAACCAAAACTTCCACCTAATGAGTATTTATTATTAACGTGGCCTTGATACGTCTTTTTACATGTTCCAGCTACATAGTCCCAAAGTCGTATGCAAGAGTCGAGTGTATGCGCCAGAATATACCGGCCGTTTGGTGAGAATCGGACTGTGGTTACCGGCGCATTATCTTCGTGTACAAGAGTTCGAAGACATTGACCAGTTGCAGTATCCCATACACGACTAGCATATAATTAGTACTTCCGATACAAATTTATGAATGGCTAGCAAATGGACTTACATGAGCCCATCAGTAGAACAACTGCATACTAATGTTCCATCTCGGATAAAATCCACCGCACCAACTGGATCAGAATGCGCTGGTAAACTTCTCATCTGCCTTCTTGCACGTAGATCCCACAAGAAGACTGCTTCATCATAACTTCCACTGGCAATCACATTCCCCTTTGGAGAAAAAGCGACCGAATAAACGTAATTATGATGACCAAGTAAAGGCGTAGGATATGGTTTACCAGTCGCTCGATCCCAAAGTCTAATAACCTTATCATCTGATCCTGAAGCTATAGTATTTGAATCCGGACTCCAAGCAATCGTCGATACACCTGCAAGATGCCCTTCCATTGTTCGCAAATGTTTTCCCGTTTCCGCATCCCATATTTTGATTGTGCCATCTGCAGAACAACTAGCTATCCATCGACCATTGGGCGAATATCTTACTTGCGCAACTCCTTTGCGATGTCCTCGTAGTATGAATTTGCATTTGTAGTTAAGTTTTAAAGGTTTATGAGGAGGTGTGGATGAGGATTGCGCCGAGCGATGTGAATCTTCAGAGGTAGATCGACTTCTTGATTGATTTGAATTTCGACGACTTCGAGTACTTCGTGGACTTCGATGGCGGGGATTCGTGTGGTCCAGTTCATCGGCGCTACCATCACTAGAATACGGTCTGGATTGTCTGCGTGTTGAATCGCGACGCGTGCTCGTAGATGGACGGGTTACTTTATCATCTGCCAATTCATCCGGCGAACTATAGCCCGGTGTAGAAACTTCGCTATCGTATCTTCGACGTTTTTTTTGGTGTCTTTCTGCCATATTGAATGGAGTTGTAGCTATCTCATCAATGTCGGATATTATTTCAAGCTTTCGAGCTCTTGTTACATTAATGACGACTTAAATTAATTAAGCGCTAGGATATGGAGGAATTAACCGCGACGCGCTTACCCTTGTATAGCATCGGCTGTTTTACCGGACGGGACCCATGAACCCCTGGTTTTGAGTCCTTGGTGTTGAGGCTAGAAACGTCATGACGGTTAATTCAAGGGAAGGGACCGAACTGATGGGAAATGGTTCAAAACACCATAATAGCTACTCAATGCACACTTTGAACTAACTGTCCGAACTTTTTCTGCTTACCTGAGTTTGGCTTCAATAGAATAGAGTGATAGAATTTATTGTATGCAATTGCAAGGGTCAAAATCTCAAAACGGAATTCTTTAATTTCATTTCTTTCGCACTACGCCGCTCCTGCCTCAGCAGATCTCCACGATATAAGACCTCCATTCTACCACTTCTCTCTCCCCAAACCTTACGTCAATCGTTATGGACTCCCCATCACTAGAAGTCAATGAGATCAATGTGATCACCCTCAATTGTTGGGGTCTCAAGTTTATCTCGACCCTACGGAATGAACGTCTTACGGAAATTGGGCAAGCCATTGGGTCTGCAAGTCCTACACCCCATATAGTTGGTCTACAGGAGTGTTGGACACAGGAAGATTACAAGAGCATACGAAAGGAAACGAAACATATTTTACCTTATGGAAAGTTTTATCACAGTGGCATATTTGGAGGAGGCTTGGCAATCTTGTCTAAATGGCCAATCGAAGAGAGCTCGATGTTCAGATATCCTCTGAATGGCAGGCCTACGGCGTTTTTCAGAGGCGATTGGTTTGTTGGAAAGGGTGTTGCTGGTGCCAGAATTCGATTTGGACAAGGGCCAAAAGATATTGTGGAGGTTTTCACTACACATGCAAGTACTTTGAATCTTTTTGCTCTACCAAAACTAATGTACATAGCTCCACGCACCTTATGAAACAGAGCCAAACGATTCGTATATCTGCCATCGAACAGCACAAGCATGGGAAATAGCGAAACTCATGAGAGGTGCCGCAGAGCGTGGACATTTAGTTCTTGGCCTAGGAGATTTTAATATGATACCATTATCCCTCGCCCATCGACTTATCAGTACACATTCACCCACTCGAGATGTCTGGATGGTCTTGCATCCTGATTGCTCTATCGGTGCTGCGATTGATGAAGTCGAAAAGGCTCGAAGACGCCCAATACCAACTGCGGAATTTAATTTATCGGAAAACGGTGCAACTTGCGATAGCGTGTTAAATACTTGGCGTTGGAACAAGGGAGAACAAAAACGTCTTGGTCCAAATCGCCCAGAGATTAAGATCCCGGGCGACACGCCCGACCCTCGTGCGAAACGACTGGACTATATCTTCGCCAACACATGTTTCGATGAAAACAATCCATCAGCAGGAGGATGGATTGTAAAAGATGCACGTGTTGGCATGCTGCAACGACATTCCAAATATCAATGTTCATTGAGTGATCATTTCTCCGTCGAAGCAACATTAGTACATACAAAATATGCGTCACCAACCGAACAGAAAATACAAAATAAATCCGCCGTTTCTAATGGTGTCTACCTCCAGACCGCCCCCTCAGAATCTCATCTCCTCAGTGCTCATACACAACTTAAAACTTCTTCATCACCTCCATACCTGCCCATCTCAACATACGATGAAATCATCGCCATGATTCATACCTACCGACTCCGGGAACGTCGTCAAAGACGTCTTCGTTTAGGCCATTTCGTCGCTTCGGTATTTATTAGTATAGGTTGTTTTATCGCTGTTTGGTGGAGTCCTCGAAATTTCGTTGCATTTATACTTATGCTATTGAGTAGTTTGGGACTTGGAGCGGGCGTTATTGATGGGTTAATTGGGGGGCTTTTTGTAGGGAGCGAGATTAGAGCACTTAAGGAGTTTGAATGGGAAATTAGTAATGCAAGGGCGGTGGCTAATGGGGAACCGCTTGATCTCGCTGAGGAGGGTATCCAGGATTGGTAGTCCTTTCCTGTGAGGGGGATGAAGGGCAGTGTTAATGTTTAATTGGTATAAAAAAAGATGCGGAGTGTATTACTAATAGATCATGATATTGTTTGGGTATATTTTATTCTGTTACGAGGAATTGTACTATACGCAAATGAGCATTCTTTTCTCAATGTACCTTGTATTTCTTCTTTCTTCCTTGCAACTTCTTCATGGCATGTAAAAGGCAATGGTAGCAACCTTAATATGGTCGAAGATGCATACTTCAGTCGCTCTTTCTCTCTTTTTATCTTCATAATATTACTTTTTTAACACTTTCCTTCCTTTCTTACTCTTCTGTGTTATTATTCGACTTTCATATCTCATCTTGCTTGTCTGTTCTTTCCCCCCCTTCATCTGTTCTCTTAGGAAAATCTAGCGTGGGACGAGGGTGAAATACAACATCAAAACATCAAAACATCCGATACATCTTTTCATTCTTTTTTCATCAACGTTTACGAAGGGTATTTAGTGTCCGTGGGTACTGTTATATTGATTGGGGACAAGTACCGGGGAAGCCTGGACGAAGAGGGATTGTGCGCATAATTACGAACAGTGTGAAGGACGACTCGACTTCGTAGCTTGTTTGTGAGGAAGGCGAGGGGGATAGAGTATTAGGAGGAGATATCCCGATTCATCTGGTGTATATTACTAATTCTGGGTTCTGGAAATACGTGAGAGTGGCACGATCATTATGACTGGTCCGAGAAGGTTACCGTCTCCGACGGATGAAGAGCGTCTGGTTGGGATGGAGATGGAATTGGACCTGGAAAAGCATGCGGAAGAGACGTGAGAAAGAGAGAGAAGAGAGAGAAGAGAGAGAAGAGAGAGAAGAGAGAGAAGAGAGAGAAGAGAGAGAAGAGAGAGAGAAGAGAGAGAAGAGAGAGAGAGGAGAGAAGGTTAGAGAGAGGAGAGAATAATGGAAGAGAGCGGGATGGAGCGCGCTCGGATAGAAGCGGAACGTAGAGTGAGGGGGTTGAATCTGGAGATGGGGATGGCACATAGGCATGGAGAGGCTGTTGGAAACAACATAGGGCCAATGGATATAGAATTTATTTTGAGAGAAAGCAACCTGCAGGCTATAGGTGGAAGACGTGGAATAGAAGAACGTGACATGTGGCAGGAGGGTGGGGAGACCAGGTACCAAGAAATTGCGCGCGATCAAAATTCAGTAAGTCGTAGACGAGGAGAAAATAGGGGACTGGGGGGTGCAATATTTTCGTCAATGGGAAGTAGTAGCCAAGAGGCTGAAGAAGAAAACCGAGGCGGTGGAGGCGGAAAGAAGACTTTGTCCGAGAGACAGGAAACTGAAGAGCAACGACTAGAAAGGCACCGAGCAAATGAACAACGGAAATACCTAGAAAGAGTAAAACGAAAGCAGGAAACTATGAACGGGAATGATCCGATTAAAAAGGAGAAGCTTGAACAGAAAAGGATTCAAAGAAATAAACAACAAAAACAGAAATATCACGAAAAAAAAGAACGAGAAGAAAATCGAAGATGGTGACGACGAGTTGGAGAAGGCAAGGCTAGCGGCTACAAAATACCAGCGTAACCTCAAGGCAAATGACAGACTTCGGAAATGGAGGGCCGGCTCAAACCATGGAAGATGATGATCTGTTGCTGAGGGAGATAGTCAGATCGAAAGTATTTCAGAAAGAAAAGACCCACAATCGCTTCCAACAGAAGACAAAAGAAAGGCGAAATTCACAAACCCAAGTGGAAGAGGAAGACAATGACGAAGATGAATCGGAGGAGGAACGGGAAGGCTATTGGCAAGAAGAGAAAGATGATGAATAAGAGAAATAGTAGCGACTACACAGAAATTGAGAATTGGGAATTGATACTTAGAATAGCATTAGCATAACCAAACGAATTAAGCTCAACAGCCTATAGAAGCTTTTATTTTCCTCAAATAACTGAATGATTGTAAATTTGGTGCATTGTCTAATGTGATTGGATTCTGAAGTCTAATAGGGATTCATGGAATGACTTGGGATTTGCTACAAATAAACTCCAGAATCTCCGCCCTTCCCACATCCTATATTATATTCTCATTTGGGGTATCTATTATTAAATATCACATATTACACACTCATCACTTACTACAACCACCTAACGTCAACGGTATCGCCTTTTCCTCCGCATACCTCCTCTCCTCTCTATTCCTCCTCTCCATCCAATCCACCACTCCCTCCTGCACCTTCCTATCATCACAATACGCACTCTGCACCGGTTCCCCCAGCACCTCATACAACGGCAACGCTCCCGTCCACACATCATCCCGCTCGCCCAATCCTCCCCGCTCCAAACTCTCTACATTCCCAGTCCGGATTTTCGCCGATGCACTGCGCACAACGACTTTGATCACCTGCACCGATTTCATGGCTTCGGGCGCCACGGGATTAGTCTGTGACCAGCGACGACGGATCATGTGGTTTGTGAGGAGATGCATGGCGTAGTGTTTTTCAGATGCGGAAGTCACGGGTTCGGCGGTGCCGTGGATGATGCAGGAGCGGTAGTTGAGGGAGTGGCCATTGGGGGTGAAGTGGAGGATTAGACCGTCGACTGTGGGTTGTTAGTGAGAGCACTCTTGCTTTGAATGGGGGTGAATATACCTTTGGTGCTACTGATTACAACTTTCATGTTTCCTCCCTGTTTCGTCATCCGGTTTAACATCATGGCGGAATTTCCGTGGAGATATACATCGAATGGTCCTTCTCCGAAACTTTCCTGTTCCCGTACATACTGTTCCTCGGTTCCATCATCTTCACAGATGGGTTTGTGAGGATCATAGTTTCCAGCTACAGCGGTCATTGGTAAGGAAAATGGTGAGGGTTCTCCATCTTCATCTGGTACTATGAATGAAATCGTAGAGACGAATGTTTGAGAGAGAATGGAATGAACCGTGCGATAATCATAATGTGCTATGAGGGATTAGAATTTGTTTTGTAAGGAGGAGAGTGGTAAATACCTCGTTTTTTGTATACTCTGATGGTGTTTTCTTTTAATTGAGGGTATTCCCCGGATTTTTGTTCGGGTGTCATGGAACCCATGATTTTGGATGTGGATATGGATGTGAAGGGGTAATTGATAACGAAGTGATACAATAATGTTGTAGAAATGTTATTCTATACAGAAAGATCCCACGAAAAACACAGAATGAAATTATGTGACCACAAGAAAACAATCATCTGAGCAATCCCCTTTATACCAAACAACATCCTCCAAGATGTCACAGCAAACCTCCTTGACGCTACCAAAGAAGGTAAGTCGACACGACCCCCTGATCCGATTCAGGTCCCGTGCAAGGACCTTCCTATCCACCACCCCACCAATCTGATCATCGCTTTTCTTATCTGATCGATTGATCAGAATCCATTGGTTTTCATTCGACAATCGCATGCGGTTCCGGATGTGACGATTTCTTTCGAAGTTTGAGTTCGTGTGGGAAGGTGGGTAGGTATGAAGTAGCTGTGCTGCGTATCTATGGGGAAGGGCGAGGCGTACAGGCGGTCTGTTCTTTTGGGGGGGGGGTATTGATATAAATATAGATATGTATCTCATGGAAGACGTGATATGTAGCTTTTGAAAATTTGTTTTAAGTGTGTTCTTTGCATTTGGTTAACGTTGCACATTTCGCTCCATTTGTTTCTCTTCAGATATTGAAATTGGTTTTACTGTGTTTGTACAAACACCCGGGGAATCAAATCGATAGAATCAAGAAAATAGAAGATCAGTGTCTTCCAATTCTTCAAGCTATGGCTCCCTCCATCGCAGAACTTTCGTCATCTTCCTCGACTCCTGTCACGGAAGTTCCTGTGTCCACCACTTCTGCGCTGGCGGAAGAACGACCTTCGAAAACCTCTACAGTTTCAACATGGCAAGCTATCGCTAGTCGTCGCCAAAAAGAGATTTTCTCTTCTATTCCCTCGGAATGGATTCTTCCAGCAGACCTTCTCAAACCTAAACGTCCTCTTGATTTAGTAAAAACGTGTGGTTTGTTGAATGAGAGAGAAGTAAAGATTGTGTATAGTACTGCGGTGGATTTGCTGGAGAAAATGAGAACGAGAGAGTACACAGCTGTGGAAGTTACAACGGCGTTTTGTAAAGCGAGCGCTGTTGCTCATCAAGCGGTTTGTCTTCAATTTCCTTTTTTCTGGAATTTGATTACCTAGTCTCAGGCATTGAACTTTCAATGAAATACCCGAACAGAATATGAAAAGGACAGGAGTAAAAAGAACTAACAAAACAAAAAACAGACAAACTGTCTCGCCTGGACCATGTACCCCAGCGCCCTCTCCCACGCCGCCAAACTCGACGCCCACATGACCCAAACCGGATCTCCCATCGGACCCCTCCACGGTCTACCCATCTCCGTAAAAGAACACATCTACCTCATCGACACACCCTCCACATCCGGTTTCGTAGGCTGGGCCGATAACTTCTGCACTTCCCCCTCCCAAGAAGGAATGTGCATCCAAGTCCTCCGCAACAGCGGCGCAGTATTCCACGTCAAAACCACCAATCCCCAAGGACTCATGGCTCTCGAAACATGCTCGAATCTCTATTCCACCACTACCAATCCTCTGAATACCTTTCTCTCCCCCGGTGGTTCATCAGGTGGCGAATCCGCACTCGTAGCCATGCACGGCTCGATTCTCGGAATCGGCACCGACATCGGAGGAAGTATTCGCAGTCCCGCGCTCAGCTGCGGTATCTACGGTCTCAAACCCAGTGTGGCGCGACTTCCGCATTCCGGGCTCTCGGGCGCATACGATGGCATGGAAAGTGTGATTGGGGTTATCGGACCCATTGCTACGTGTTTGGCAGATGTGGAATTATTCTGCAAAACGCTTTTGGATGCGCAGCCTTGGAGAGGAGAAGTCGGATTACTTCCTATCCCATGGGGATGTCGCGAAGGTGTTGCTGCTGAGAAGGAAGAAAATAGGAAATTGAAAATCGGTATCATATATACCGATGGAGTACACACGCCTCATCCACCCATCACCCGTGTGCTGCACACCGCAGAATCCACACTCAAAGAAGCAGGGCACGAAATTATTCACTTCCCCACACATCTCCACGCTCCTCTCATCTCCACCGTTGACGCGATGTATCTTCTCGACGGGGGCGCCGAATATCTCTCTCACCTGTCTCTGACCTCCGAACCTCCAACCTCCTTACTCCAATGGCTTTTAGAAAAGAAAACCACGAAAAACCGCACCATTGCCGAACAGTGGAAATTGCATAAAGAGAGAAATAGAATCCAAGACGCATATGCGAAATTGATGTTGGAGACGGGGGTAGATTGTATCATAGCGCCAGGAGGTGTAACGGTAGCGAATGCACATGAAGAGGCGAAGTATTGGGGGTATACTAGTGTGTTTAATGGGTTGGATTTACCGGTTGCGTGTTTGCCTGCTGGGGAGGTGGAGGAGGGAGATGTGTGGGATGGGAATGAGGGTGGGAAAACGGATATGGAAGCTCTTTGGGGACCTGGGAAAAAAGGCGCGCAGAAATATGAGGGAGGAAGCGTGGGATTACAGATTGTTGGGAGGAGATTGGAGGAGGAAAAATTGTTGAAAATGGTTAGGATAATTGAGAAGGATTTGGGATTACCTGGGTCGAGCTAGAAAATAGCATTTAGAGGTGATTTGAAAATGAAAATTAGAGATCAAAGAAAGAAATATCAAAGTAATTCATATAATCTTTGTAAGAATAAAAGTACTACGAATAGTTCCCATACCCACATTCCTAAAGGCTTAAACCTCCAATTTCCCAATCAATTCCCATACATTCATAATTCAAACCAAAAGTATACAACTCCCCATCTCCCTAATCGTCATGGTGCAATCAATCAATCTCCCCTCCCTCCTCTGCAGCTCCCAACTCTTTTCCAAAATCTCAAACGCACTCCTCGAATTCCCAAAACTTCTTGAATCCGTCACCGCTCCTCTCGACGTCTCCCTAAAGAATTCCTGATCTTGTTTCGAGCTTGCCAAACAACCTGCTACACTCAATGGCCACACTAATCCTCTGAACATTTGAGGATTAGGGATCATACGCATGGCGTTTATAGTGTTGTGGAGCATCATATCGATATCTTCCGGGAGTAGGTTATCCGTGATGACCATTTGAAGATAGATGAGAGATGCGCAGGCAAAGATGTGGGTTATCAGGAGGATGGTATGTTTGTTATACAATTCTGTGAAATAGAATGGCGGGGTTCCTCGATAAATTGACCTTAATGCATGGAGTTCCTCTAACGTTTCTGAATTTTTAGATTCAAGACGACCTCGAATATTCTGTTCTGTGAAAATTAGTTGTTGCTTGAAATCTATGGTAGAATCAGATTCGTGTTTTTGTCTCCAGGTTCCTAGCCAGGCTATCTCGCTAATCATTATCATAACCCAGTTTTCACATCCCATGATGGAGGCTAGTTGAATTTTGTGGTCGGATTTGGAGGAGCCGGGTTTCTTGGCCGAAAGCAATCGATTGTGGAATTCGGAAAGCCAAGGATGGGATCCGGTTGATACACAGGCTCTATGAGTTTGGTGTTAGTAAAAATAGAGAAACCAAGTTTGCGAATGACGCTCCGCTGGCCCTCCGGGGGTCATTGCCATGGAGGCCGAACAACATCACATGTACGACCCTCGAGCGCAGCGAGCTATGGGGGTTTGGGGGCTTGCCCCCATAATGACACTCCTTATCAATGGAATACTTATTCAATTGATACAACAATCGGAGAAAGACAAGACTTCTGCGATCTCCCCTCCCACCGCCCTTCAATCTTTCCAGCACAAAATCGAAATAAGCAAAACCAAAAACAACTCAGAAAACGCCAGAAACCAAGAAAACTCACAGCGCATCCATCCAAATAATCGCCCCCGTAAAAAAATCCAACGCAGCACTGTCTCTCGAAACCAAACTTTCACTCAGAGTTGATTCCGGCGAGCCTGCTCCTGGAATATTGAAACATTGAAATGAAGTCAATAGTGTTTCTGGACCTGGTATACTACCATTTGAGACTTCGTGAAGAACTAATATGAGTTCTGATGCTGCTCTGAGATGGACTTGCCAATTGCTTACACCCCCGTTGAAGAGCTTTTGGGACTTGTTAATGATTGCGTTGTGATTTGTGACGGAGATGTGTTATGGAGAAGAGGAATGCTTACCTCGAAAGATATCAATTGTATCATGCAAGCCAGAATTTGGATATTTCCATCGAAAGCCCCTTGTTCAGAAGCATTTTTATTATTCGTCTGAATGAAATCTTGCAATCCTTTCAGTGCCAAGTCATAATGATGTTGTAATTCATGCAGATAATCTATTTCCGCTTGACCACTTTCCTGTTCTAAGAGGAGAGATTGACGATGGAAAGCACTCAGACTTAGAGCTGCATGATAAAGAGGTTTCGTTTTTGTTAACAATGATAATAACCATCCTCTTCCCGATGATAATGATGGAGTATGAAATCGGAATGGGATAAAAAAGACATGATCAAGGTAATGCATCATCAAACTTGCTTCTTGATCTTCGATCCATTTTGGGAATAACGGAGACTTAGGGTCAATGGGCTTATCATGCTCCTTTTCAATAGGTGGTGTAGACATAGAAACGTCATTGTCGATACTTGGTAAATCGTCTCCTTTCTTAGCGATTTTCGTCGTAGTACTAGTACTAGTACTAGGTGATTTTGGCGATTTGGGCACCGACGATATAGAACCCGTATTTTTCCTCGCACGAAAAGCAGCTCTCTTTTTACTTGCAGACACAGCAACAATCGCTTTAATCTTCTCCAATTCTTCTTTTGCAAACTTTGGATCATCGATCCATTTTGGTTTGGGACCATAGTGACATTCTACATTAACATCCTTACATCTCGAACAACCTATGAGAATCGGACATTGATGAGTTTCATTCGGCAAGTAAAAACTAATCATGACTAACCGGGTTGTACTTCATCACATTTCTTTTTCCGAATTCTACACGTCCAACAACCTCGATTACTTCGGACTGCGATTGGTGAATCGACATTAGAGCCGGAAGTGTTATCCATCGAGTACGGAAGAGAGGAAATGGTGTTGAGCTGAAGCGGACACTTGCATAAATGATTACCTGATACACATCGTTGTACACAAATAGAATCTAATATCGTGATTACAGACTCGTGTCTCTTCGTACTGTGTGGCCAGTATAATTCACGACACCTCTGGATATTGTATCGTCGAATCAGATGAGGAATTAGGAATATATGAGTGTAAGCTAATAATGTCCCCGAGTACCATTTACGGTATATCGGGTAGATAATACACGAGAATTTGATTGCAAAGAGGCGTGTGTGAGAGAGTGTGTTGAGAATGGAGGAATGATTGAGTTCTCAAGGGAGAAAAGTAACTGGAGACGAGAAAAACTTCACATCGGCTCGACTTACTCAAAAAGGGAAGTATTTTCAATCCATTTTCGATTCATGCAAACCGCCAATTCCACAACAAGTTGACAATCCGCAGCTTCTTATCATTCTTATCAGGTAAAGTTAACATCACGAGTTGTACGGGTGAAACAACGACCAAACAACCCTTCAAGAATACTTTGGCTTGGATATTGCACGAATCTCATCTATATTTCTGAGGTGCAGATAAATTTCCGAGAGCGACGACGAATAGATGAATCTTATTGGGAGAATTCTATGCTATCTGTCATTCAACCACTCGCACTTCCCGGACTAAAGATGGTCTTTCCTAATATATCTTGATTAGTATCACCTCAGTCTTATTGGTGAGTGTGAATCATAATAGGTAGACATGGTAGGTTCAGCTGTTTGATATTGAAGCTATCTCGTATTATTTCGATGGACGATCATGCAAGCCTCAAGCAATATAACGACGTTGAGGTTACCAAATTTCTCAATATTATGAACATCATCATTTGAACAATTTTCGAGATGTTATTGCATCCAAATCTATAATGTCGTCTAAAAAGGGAGCAACGTCTATAATTACCCCAACTCAATTTCAAGGATACTCACTACTAAAATTCTACTCAGCTCTCTTCCTTGGCACTTTTATTCTTACCATATGGCATTATGGAATCCCTTCACAACTAATATCGCCTGCAAACCTCGGATTAAATAATCTAGCCCCAGTCATCGCGAAAACAGGTTGGCAATGGAAAGATGTAAGTTCCTTTTCCATGTAAACTCCACATTCTCACATCTCCAGGTCGAACCAAGCGAATCCCTTATCTGGCATACTTGCTACTCAACTTTTCAATGTGCTCGTCTTTCCCTCCCACTAGACTGGCTTAACACCTCCAACCCTTCCAGAATTTCCCTCGCAATCATCAAAATTCCCGCAACAGATCTAACCAACTACCTCGGTCCCGTCTTCACTAATCCCGGAGGACCAGGCGGTTCAGGAATTTTTTCCCTCCGAAGAAACGGACACAATCTTCAAAAAATCGTCGGTAAAAACCACGATATCATATCTTTCGATCCTCGAGGTATAGGGGCCTCAACACCTCTCATTAATTGCTGGGGTTCCTCACGTCAAAATGCAAAGATTTGGAAATTAAGTGATGTAGGAGTAGTTGATTCTCATCCGGGGATTCTGAACGATGCATATGCGAGAGCGAGTGCTCTCTCGAAAACTTGCGAGGAAAATATGGAACGGGAAGCGAAAGCTAGGGGAGAGGAATCGTTGTTGAATTTTGTGAGTACGACGAGTGTGGCACGTGATATGCTTGAGATTATGAGGAAGACGGGCACGGAAAAGTTGAGGTATTGAGGATTTAGTTACGGGACGTTTCTGGGTGGTGTGTTTGCGGCTATGTATCCTGATTTGGTGGAGAGGATGGTTAGTGATGGTATGTATTCTGTTTAATGGTTTTCTTTATTTAAGTGCCCTTTCTGCTCTCTTCTTCTCCCAGGTACTCCTCAATCTTACAAAAATACCACTTCTTCCTGCTCTGGGAATTAGAAGAAATGGGAAAAGAAAAACAAAAAGACTACATAACACTCTTTCTTATAAAAAAAATATCATCGAATTGAACCTCATAAAGCAATCTCAATACTAACTCCAACCAGGCAACGTAAACTACAACGAATGGTCAACTAACACTCACACCTCTTTCCTCCACGACTCCGAAAAAATCATGTCAGCATTCTACCACTATTGCCACCTATCCGGCCCCACCATCTGCGCCTTCTACTCCCCCACCCCCTCCCAAATTTCCACTCGCCTATCCACTCTCCTCTCCCAACTAAAACTCCACCCTATCCTCGTCTCCCCCCAAGACCCCTCTTACCTCCCGGAACTAATAACCTACTCCTCCCTCAAACATCTCATCTCCGCCTCTCTCTACCGCCCCATCCTCCTCTTCCCCTCTCTAGCCACCGTCCTCCAAGCCCTCGAAACCGGCAACGGCATCCCCTTCATCGACCTCACCTCCACCTTCGGCATGCGCGAAATCTTCACCTGCGACTGTCCCCACGATTTCTGCAGCGATCTCCCCTCTCCCATCGATGACGAAGACTCCGATTCCGAAGCCACCGCCGACGCCAGCGCAGCCATAATGTGTACCGATGGTGGCCCCCTCCCCCCTAGTCTTTCAACCTTCAAAACCTACGCCACAAACCTCATTGCTTCCGCTCCCTCCGCCGGCGCCGTCGGCGTCGAATTCAGACTTAGCTGTGTGGGTCGGTCCGTCCCCGCCAAATGGCGCTTTACAGGCCCCTTTGAGGGGAATACATCGCATCCGATTCTGTATATTGCGAATGCGGCGGATAATGTGACGCCGCTTGTGAGTGCGCAGAGGAATGCAGAAGGGTTTGTGGGCGCGAGGATTTTGGTGCAGGATTTGTTTGGTCATACGAGTTTGAGTGCGGGGTCGGGGTGTACGGCGGGGGTGGTGAGGGGGTATTTTCAGAGGGGGGAGTTGCCTGAGGTGGGGAAGGTGTGTGAGGTTGAGGGGGTGCCTTTTGGGGGTGGGGAGATGGGGGGGTAGGGGGGCTTGGGGTGGATAGGGGGATAGAGGGGCAAGAGGAAATAGATAGAGAACTTAGAGAAGCGGCGTGGGAGTTAATGATGAATCATGATATGAGATTTGAAGGAGGAGGGGGGGGGCATAACGATATAATAATATTTTAAAATGAAGTTAGAGTTTAAGCGTATAGTGGAATTAATCTAAATCCGAGGATAGAGAATTAAGAAGAACAGAGGAACAGAAGAATAAATACTAGTTAGTATACATGAACAATTATCTACCTACCTACCTATATCAAGATTAAATTTAGATATCTATTGGAATGTAAGTTTTCCTTTCATAATCTAATAATAAATGAGAACTGAGGAGATAATTTGATAGATTGATAGATTGATAAGAGAATTAATTGATTTGTTTATATGAAAGAGAAAGAGAAAGTTTCTATTATATATAAATCTATAAATCATACCTACTCATATCCTAACTCACGACATATACATATATATACATATCTATACACCCAAGATTCCACACAACAATCCACCAGATCCATTATCCAAAGTTCGAGCGAAGCGAGCTGAGGGGGTTTGGGGCTTGCCCTCATGAATTTGGATATTTATGTTACTATTATTATTATTGGATGAGTAGGGGATGATTTGGATATGATTTGGATATGATTTGGATATGATTTGGATATGATTTGGATATGATTTGGATATCTATGTTGTTATTGTTATTATTGGATGAGTAGGGAGGGAGGGATGAATGAATGGGAATGAGTAGGGAGGGATGAGTGGATGAATAGATGAGTGGATGAATAGATGAGTGGATGAGTGGATGAATAGATGAGTGGATGAGTGGGTGAGTGGATGAATAGGGAGGGATGGGATAGAGATGAGATAGATAGAATAGGGATGAATGAGGTTTTGGAGGGATAGAATGAGATGAATGGAATGAGTAGGGAGGGATGAGTAGGGGAGGGATGGGATGAGATAAATAGAATAAAATAAATAAATAAGGTTATAAAGAGAGGAGTTCGAGGTGTAAGTAAATACTAGCTAGGTATATAGATATATAAATAGATAAATGTATATACAGAATACGAACTCAAGACCTACCATAGGATTAGAACGCAATATCATACCTAATACTCAACATTTCTTTAAATACCTAGGTCTCTATTGATATTTCGCTACCACTATTATTACCTACTATCTACTACTACTATCTACTACTACTACTACTACTACTATCTACTACCTCCTCCTCCTCCTCCTCCTCCTCCTTCTCCTTCTTCTCCTTCTTCTCCTCCTCCTCCTCCTACTACCTCCTCCTACTACCTCCTCCTACTACCTACTACACCACTACCTATTATTATAATATCTGGATATCTACTAGATATCTAGATAGCTATACCCTTCTTTCCTTCTTTCTTTCTTCCTTGCTTCTTCTTCTCTGAGATACTATAATCATAATACGCACAATTCACACAACCATGCAATTCCATATCTCATCTCAACTTATTTCAACTCAGCTCATTTCAACTCATCACATCTCATCTCATCTCATCTCATCTCATCTCATCTCATCTCATCAACTCCCAATAATTTATTTATTCATTCATTAACACAGCATACCATTCATTAAGTGTATTATATCATATCATATCAAATCATACCATACGCCATTCCTCCCATTCCTTCCTTCTTTCTTTCTTTCGAAGAGAAGAAATCAAAATTAAAATCAGAAAAATTCATCCATCTTCCATACCCATTTCCCATACCCATTTTTCAATCCCCCAGCACCAGTACCTTTGCACCAGTTTGCAAGAAATGCTATGCTATGCTATGCAATCTTATGAACATGATATGAAAATAGCATGAATCAAGTCCAATGCAATCAATCGCGAAAGCACAAATTTCCCAAAGATCCTTGAACGCACCCCACCCCATGAATACATTCTATCCAGCCAACCAAACCCATAAAATTATCCGATACAAAGAAAAGATCGAATGAAAAAATCAAGCCAAATACTTATAAGTAGGTACTTTAGCATCTTCAATTCTTTCCAAATATTCTCTTTCGATCAAACTTTCAATACGTCGTTTCATCATATTGATATTAGGTTGGAAGCGTTGTGAAAGTTGTGAAATGACTTCTGTAACGAGTTGTTGATGAGGACATTCTTTACGTGCCCTATAATTTTTGTTAGCACATGAATCATCAAATTGGGAGTAGGGAAAACATACTTCATGATTCGGACAATGACTGTATCCATAACATTTCCTCGATGTTCATCATTTCTTTCCTCGGTCAATCTTCTTTCTTCAGCTCCTTCAACCTTGCTAGTTTGTCCACCCATTGCTTGAACCTTAATCTTGACAGCTTTACTAACAAAACCGGCATTGAATGTAAACACATCACCCATTGTAGGTAATTCATTAGGCTTTCCAGGTTTCTTGAGAAGAACTCGAGATTTTGGTGGACCAGAGAGTTGCATCAACGCACGTGGTAAATCTTTATCGCTAATATTCAAACGTTCTTGAATTTCTTCATACGATAAAGTTGCACCGTCTGGTAGATCATTAAAAAGCATCAAAATGATCATACCATAAGTATTCACATTTAATTCGTACTTTCTTTCTCTGCCCTTCGGTCCTGTTTCTCCTGGAATGGCTGGGAAATGACATTTAACATCAGCATTTCCCAAATTACCTAACCAAGTCAACATTCTACCATTTCGATCTTTGAGATAGAATGCCTTGAATGAATCTTGTAATTTTTGTAGCTCCAGAGGCCAATTGCAGTATTGTCGAGGTCCGTCTTCAGACGAAGGAATACCACCAATGATTTCCGTAGGCCAACAATTGGTAGAAAGAACAATAGCGGATAATTCGATTGGCTTTCGATCCTTATCTCCAACGTTCTCGATGTGCTTTTTATAATTCTGGGTAAGTTCTTCGGACATGGTAACATCCTTGAACATGCCTTCCAGCTTTGTTGTAAATGAATTTCCGATTTCCAACTTCATTCGAGAGATCATTTGCTTCTCCACATCAGTGCTTTCGGATTTATTGAGCAACAAACGTTTTGCAAGATGTTTCTTGTAATATCTCTCAAACATATCCTTGTCCTGAATATATCGAAGTAAAGTGGTTGCCTTGTCTAATACTTCGTCGATCTCAACCTCGGTTTTGCCCTTGATGCCACGCTTAAGGTTATCGTCGATAAACAAGGAGACGTACTCGGAACATCGGTCGAACAGGTTAATGAAATCCGAAAAGCTCTTAGTGATAGCTGTTTCTAGAATGGTATCTTCATTGAAACATTTCTTCCACATATTGTCGAATTTATCCTTCAATCGTAGGACCTCATCAACCCACTTGATGGCTGCAAGTGTTTGCTTCGCGGCAGCATTCATCGGCTTGGCCTTCTTCTTCGCACCTTCAGCTTCATCCTCTTCTGCTTCGGGCTTGGTATCCTCAGCTGCGACAGGAGTTTCGAAATCTCCACTGGCGATAATTTTATTGATTTCCAAACCAAGTTGGACCACACGACCTTGTAGTGCAATCTTCAGCGGTCCTCTACCTGCATCTATCCTAGTGATAAGTTGATATAGAATGGATAAATCCTCAAATCGGTCATTTTCGATCATGGCCTGCAAACCACTTCCTTCCATTGCAAGAAATTCATTCAGGTGACTACTGATCAATTCTTGTTCGACAACTTTTTGAATCTTCCTACTTGTGAAATGAGCGATAGTCGTATCACACCTGTCAGCTTCCTCGTCGAGTCGTCTCTTTGTCTGACGTAACCAGGTACTAGCAGGTGAGTCCCTCAATAAAGTTTGACATTCTGCTTGGTAAAACTTTCTGCTAGCTGCTAAAAATGCAGGTTCGAAAACAGTAATGTATAGCTTCTCACTTTCATTCTCTGCGTCGGTTTCGTATAGACCCTCTAGCATGTAGATGACAGAACGGATTAAATGTCGATTGATGACATCACCTTCTCTCTCCATTCCAATCTGATCCAATATAACCGAATTTAGAATATCGAAAGTGATCATGCTTGAATTGTCTAGAAGTGGTGAACGTAAAATGTGATCCCGGAAAAGCCCCATAGCTGTAGTGTAGATTGAAGCCTTGCGATTATCGCCACAATAAACTCGATCCATATACATGAGGACATCAGTTGTCATACCCATACATAAATTGTGATCCGTCCATGAAGCCTTTAGTCCTTCTAGAAATTGTTCACCGGTAAGTCTTCGTTCATTTGCGGCAGTTCCAGAGACGCCACCAGCAGCGACATTGACCAGATTTGGAGTAATAAGTTTCCGAATCGCTGGCATGACTTTCCCGGCGAACCATTGCTCCTCGAAAACTTTGACTCGTTCATATAGTAAATCGCCATCTTTCCTCAGTACGATTTTATAAGAAGCCCGGTACAATTGTTCGAAAGAGAGTGTGCCTGCATTCTTTTCGTGGATTTCCTGAAGTGCATTTTGTAAAATCTCCCATTGAATGTCGAACTCGTTTTTTTCGCCGGCACGTCCAAACGCCTATAGAGTAGAAGAGTACCAGTTAGCAAAGATACCAAGAATGTAAAGATATTCGCGACCAGAGAAAGAGTGCTTCGAGGTAAACTACCATCTGACTTGTATTAAGAGCATGTGCAATGGCCGCATCAAAAGACTGTCCTTGAGTGGGAGGCATTTTGAATTACTCGATAATTTAACCTTGGCGCAAACAGAGTTTTGAAAGTTTATTGAAGTTATTCATTCGCCAGAAGGGGAAGGCAGCTTTTGTCGGAGGAGGAAGTATGGATGACCTAGATGGGTAGGTATTGAAGTGGAAAGAAGTGAATATATACATACCCTACGAGGCGCACGAATTCTAGCTCTACCACGTCCTGAAATCATCTTTAAAAATCTTTCAGATTCCTCTGATTATTCAATTTCTCCCAATGAATGTTTCAATATGATATGTCTCTTCCAGGTTCGAAGAACTTCTAAGTTTGCT